ACAACAACCTAGGAAATCCTTGTACGCTTTTGTCAGAGTAATTTACCCCTCATTGTCATTTAGCTCCACTATTCATGAATGTAAATAAACTCATATAAACAATTACAACAACAATTTCAACAACCAACCAGTTTTTGACGTTACAACTCCTTCATTTATTGCAGCATCATCTTCTTTCTTAAAAGGGAGTCCACCCACAACAAGGTCACTGTTTTTTTTTTGATGACTTAACATAAATAAAAAATCCCTAATGGAAAAACCTGAACGGTATAAACCAAAACCGAACGCAACGGCACGAGAATTTGGAGAATACTGAAGAGGAAAAAACCATTAGGGATTTCAGCCGAAGTTCCGCGCCCTGGGGGACCCTTAGAAACAAAAATCTTTACTTACCTTTGCAACGATGCAAACACCAAAAATAAAGAAAAAACCGTCAATTTCTCAAAAGACACCTTCAAGTCCAAAAATCTTTCAAGTATTTTAGTTATGGATATAATTCGCCATTTTTAACGTACATACAACGTACGTACAAACCGCCACATTTTAGTTTTACCGCACGTAAACCGATCAGCGAACTCGACAATTTTCTACTTTGGACGAGAAAATTGTGTAATTTGGATGGGAATTTCTTTTAACGTGTGTTTTTCTTATCTAATCCACATCCGAATCAGTCGCACCTAGCGCCACCTTAGCAGTCCCTATTTTGCACCGTTTCATTCAGTGCTTTGCACGCCCGGTGCCACTAACGCTAAAAGTTGGAGCAAGCGCTTGCTGCATGACATGGATTAGATAAATGTACTTGAAAATGTTTTAAGCAGACAGACGAAATTAACATGTAACGAGTATCCTGATTTGATGCCTATTCCTTTTGGCTACTCTGCGAGAAATTCATAAGTTTGGAATAAATTTGAGGTGTTGCAAATGCTAGAAAAAAGGAGGGTTTCCTTCAGTTGTCAAGGTAACTTTTTATTACATACAACATCTAAACACAAAATTACCGACCGTCAACACAAACCCTTTTACAAATCTGTAAATATCTTATAATTACATGGAAAAACAAGAAAAACAAATGGATTTCATTAATCACGAATAGTTTTAAATATTTTATCAGTTTTTTTTAACATTTGAATGCATTTCTAAGCATACGAAAAATGCGAAGGTCATAAGGGTTTGTGGCAAATATTTTGCAAAACCTCTGCTGGAGACACTTATCTAAACATTTGTCAGATTTTTGAAACACGAAATCATGGAATCATGTGAAAAAGTCGTTATTTCATGTAGTCAATGTAATCATGTAATCACGAAATCATGTAATGACCTGTAAAAGTCGTTATTTCATTTCATTACGTAATCAAATGGAAAAAAGTCGTTATCTCATAAAAGACGTTTGGTACAGAAGGTAACGATACACTGTAGTTAATCTAATGTTTAATCTGCTTTTTCAAAATATCAATAAACAATATGTCACAGTTGAGAAAATTTATTCGAGTGCAAATGAAGTTCAGTGGCATCGTTTTGCTTTCGTACGAACATTAAATTGAAGAAATAAACTAAAGAAAATCCATCAAAAGCAAATGCAACATAGTTCTTCCATCTTCTTAGTTACTGATGTTAATAAATGCTTTAACGACCTGGTAGGACCACTTCGCCACACAAGTCTCGCTAGTGGCTAACGATTTTTTATTGTATTGTATAATGCCGTTTAAGCCTCGGTCACACTGTTTGACGATAACGATAAATTATAAGGAAATTCAATGGTCACATACTAACGATAAATCGTTATCGTTATTGCTGCAATGTCACCGCACACAAGAGTTTGAATAACGAGCGATGTTTTTTTCGCATCGTTATCGGATCGTTATTGGGTGCGGTGTGACCGAGGCTTTAACCATTTATCAGAAAAAAAAATATTAAATAAAAATAAGACTTACGATGACCATCATGAAGAAAATACAAGCGTATTCACCTAGATCATATTTAACGAAAATGATGTGGTTAGCCCTTAGCTATCAATTAGCAAGAATGTTGTTGCAAGCAACAGAGATAGTGATGAAAATATGACAGGTCTGATATTCTCCATACACATGTAGAACAGATGGTAGTAGATATTGCAAGAGCAATAAAAATGGTTGTAGGTAGCACATTTCTCAGAAAAAACGTACATAAAAGGAAGTAGAAGCAAATTGGTCGATTGAGTTTCAAGCAGCCGATGTTAACCGAACGAGAAAGTGACAACAAAATTGTATGAAGTAACGAGTTTAGCCAAAGAGCACAGTTATGAGTATGTGTAAGATAGGTACAACACCAAGCCAGAAAACAAAGACCGTACCTTGGACGAAATAATGGAAATTGAAAAGGACGAGCAAGAAAATGAGTAAGGAAAGAAAGGGAAAAGAGAAAGAAAAGTGAAAGAGTAATCAGGAGAATAGAAAATAAACTGTATGGTCAAAGTACAAGTAACATAACATACGTACCATGACCAGTACGATTTGTTACACAGTACGTTAAGAGACAAAAATAAAAATGTTGTAACAGACACCTGTTGAAAGGCCACAAACCACCAACGCTGTACTTACTGCTTCCCACATACAAGTGTCTCACTGTTGCAAAATAGTTTTAAAAAATATCTTGTGAATATCGTAGTCCAGTCTTTAACGTTCAGTGGTTAGGTTTCTTGTATTTTGCTTGAAGCCAAATTCTGTACATTTTAATTTGACGTCCTCGGTTAACTTGTAAACGTCTATCAACATAATTTTGCTCTTCGACGAGACCTTCTTTCGTAAAAAGTGTCCTTATTTCATCTTTAATAAACATGAAGATGAAAATAAAAATAATTACAACATTAATGATGAAATATTTCATTGCATATTTACCTTGTGTGAAAAAATAACACCGAGTGCCATCTCCACGTACATAAAAATTGTCAGCTAAACATTTTCCTGTGTTGTGCATACGTCAATAAATTATCACATTTCGCATATAAAGACTATCTTTCATGTTTGTCATAACGTCATGACGTTATTACCTTTCTTAAAGCGAAGCTGAGCCATATCATAGCGTCCATAGTCACGAAAGAAAACGTAACCTCCTGGCTTTAAATACTATTTAAAAAATACACATGCAGAAATGGGTTAATTTACTCTGCCACAAATTATTCGAACTAAGCCTACATTAAAAATATCAAATACAACATTAAATAGCCACTGCAGTAAAGTATAACACAGGAACGCTGTAACATTGATAATTAGGGGGGCTTATACTAATGTTATAATCCCTAATTACAAATGATTTCAAAAGATACTAATGAAGTAAAACGTGCATTTATGAATATTGATGTTCGCATCCCTGAATGGGAATCTGTGTACATTATCAAATTAAAATCAAATCAAACAACAACACAAACAAGCAAAATGGATTCTTTCTCACTTTTGTTAATCTCTCAACTGTCTGTTGAAACCTAAAAATAAACAAACGGCTTAGTTTATCAGTCAAAAAATGTTCAAGAGAAACTGTTGTTGCATCACTCGTTAAATGACTTAGTGAGTAATCAGAAAATGGCAACCTTATTCAATCTTTCAAATGTTTGAATTAGCATGATTAATATCAGTTTGAATGTACCTTTACAATGACATATAACCTGTGATGTCTCACAAACAATTAAGTCTCACAAGGCACAATGTGTAAATCCAATTGATCATTTAGTGTGTAAGACATTTATTTAAAAAAATGTCAAATTTATTCGTACTTGAGAGGACTTATCGCTGAAAGAACAAATACTAATAATATAATGTCCAGGGATTCAGGTGGAAATGGAAAATCATTTTCTTTGGTTATATCACAAACAAAAGCGTAACACCGACCATTTTTGTATTCCTCTTGATCCTAACATAAAAATATCAAATAGGCAAAAATGTTGGACTATGATTTCACATTTCAATATAAATTATGTACATAAACACAAAAATAAACTCAAATACCTTCAAAAATAACAAAATGTTGCACTATGATTTCACATTTCAATATAAATTATGTACATAAACACAAAAATAAACTCAATACCTTCAAAAATAACAAAATGTTGCACTATGATTTCACATTTCAATATAAATTATGTACATAAACACAAAAATAAACTCAATACCTTCACCAAATCAACAGCAACACTGGCAAAATCGCAACAATAAATGAACAATTCACAGTCACTACACAAACAATTTCTCGTAAATAAAAACACAATTTTATTTATAACTCTAATGGTTTGCTTTCTATACTTATTGTTTTGAAGAATGGGAAATAGAGTATTACCAGCACCACAGCCAACCTAATTAGAAAGAGATGAAAAAAATGTGTATCAATGAATCATTTATTAAAAAACACTTGAGAAAAACGACGATTTTTTTGAAAGCAAACATGTTTCGACATTATCAGAATGCCATCTTCAGTGCAGAATGGTTAGTGTTAAGTAATATGATACGTAATATGATATGAATAAATTAATTACAATGAATAGGATTATGATTTAGTTACAAAATTATAAAATTATAAAATATTTACAAAAAAGGAAAAGAAAAATAAGTATTAAGAAATTATAACAAAAAATGTTATTATAAAGTAAATATAGTGTTGTAGTGGTGAACTTGGATATTTAAATCGGGATTAGTTTTATTAATGTGTAGAGCTTCCTTGATTTTGAGTGAGAAAGTGGATTGATCAGTGTCGATGATTTTAAAACAGGAATGTGAGAATTTGTTTTTACATGAAGGAGAGGCTTGAAGATGTTTGTAGATAGTGGAGTTTTTGTCTGTGTGAGTATGTTCCTTTATCCTGGTAGATAATTGGCGAGAAGTTTCACCAATATAGCGGGAATTACATCCCGCACATGAAAATTGATAAACTACCATAGATTTGGAAAGTTCGGGAAGTGGGTCTTTAAACGAAAATAAAGATTTTATTTTAAACGGTGTGAAAATAAGTTTAACGTCAATGTCAGTGCAGTAGCGTTTAATGATTTGTGTGAGTTTGCGTTGTGTGTGTCGTGAGTAATCACCTATGTAAGGTAGTTTGAAATAACGTTTATTGTCAGGTTGTTGTATATCGTTAGTGTTAGTTGTGGAGTTAGATGAGTCAGTGCTTTTCTTGTTGTCCAAATAGTGTTGTATAGTGTTGTTGATGAAATGAAAAGGAAAGGAATTACGTTGGAGAGTGAATATTAGTTTCTTTAAATCACGTTGAAAGCCGATGTCTGTGTTGTTAAGTTTCCGTGCTCTGTCGGTCAGTGTTCGTATCAGTCCAATTTTGTAATTTAATGGTGTGAAACTAAAAAAGTTAGTCAGTACTCCTGTATATGTTGGTTTGTGGTACGTAGAGGTCATACAGTTTTCATGTGATTTAGTTAGTAAGATGTCAAGAAAGGGTAACAGATTATCTTGTTCGGTTTCGTATGTAAAGTTTATGCTTTGATGTTGTTTGTTGATGTATTCGTAAAAGAAATAAAGAATTTGTCAATTTCTTTTGACGTTGAAAACCTTTTTACCAACATACCACTGACCGAAACCATAGACATTGCTATTGATTTAATTTTTACCAACAACCGTACATTCAAAATGAACAGAACAGAACTAAAACTATTGTTTAACATCACTACGGCCGAGACTCATTTTTTATTTAACGGTAAGTACTACGACCAAATTGACGGGGTAAGTATGGGCTCACCCTTGGCACCCATTCTAGCCAACATTTTCATGGGTTTTCACGAACGAAACTGGTTAAATAACTACAGCAACAACAAACCTTTATTTTACCGCAGATACGTCGACGACATTTTTTGTATTTTTCATAACAAAGACGAAGCATTACTCTTTTACGAATACATCAACAAACAACATCAAAGCATAAACTTTACATACGAAACCGAACAAGACAATCAGTTACCCTTTCTTGACATCTTACTAACTAAATCACATGAAAACTGTATGACCTCTACGTACCACAAACCAACATATACAGGATTACTGACTAACTTTTTTAGTTTCACACCATTAAATTACAAAATTGGACTGATACGAACACTGACCGACAGAGCACGGAAACTTAACAACACAGACATCGGCTTTCAACGTGATTTAAAGAAACTAATATTCACTCTCCAACGTAATTCCTTTCCTTTTCATTTCATCAACAACACTATACAACACTATTTGGACAACAAGAAAAGCACTGACTCATCTAACTCCACAACTAACACTAACGATATACAACAACCTGACAATAAACGTTATTTCAAACTACCTTACATAGGTGATTACTCACGACACACACAACGCAAACTCACACAAATCATTAAACGCTACTGCACTGACATTGACGTTAAACTTATTTTCACACCGTTTAAAATAAAATCTTTATTTTCGTTTAAAGACCCACTTCCCGAACTTTCCAAATCTATGGTAGTTTATCAATTTTCATGTGCGGGATGTAATTCCCGCTATATTGGTGAAACTTCTCGCCAATTATCTACCAGGATAAAGGAACATACTCACACAGACAAAAAACTCCACTATCTACAAACATCTTCAAGCCTCTCCTTCATGTAAAAACAAATTCTCACATTCCTGTTTTAAAATCATCGACACTGATCAATCCACTTTCTCACTCAAAATAAAGGAAGCTCTACACATTAATAAAACTAATCCCGATTTAAATATCCAAGTTCACCACTACAACACTATATTTACTTTATAATAACATTTTTTGTTATAATTTCTTAATACTTATTTTTCTTTTCCTTTTTTGTAAATATTTTATAATTTTATAATTTTGTAACTAAATCATAATCCTATTCATTGTAATTAATTTATTCATATCATATTACGTATCATATTACTTAACACTAACCATTCTGCACTGAAGATGGCATTCTGATAATGTCGAAACATGTTTGCTTTCAAAAAAATCGTCGTTTTTCTCAAGTGTTTTTTAAAATTGCTGCTAATTAGAAATTATGAATCATTTATTGTTTTTTCAAATCAAAAACAAACCTCTAATATTTTCATTTTTGCAGTTGAACCAGGATAATGTCCAGCTTGACCATCATCACAAGGTTGTAAAGACCTTTTTGACATTAATGTTGATTTGGCAGCAAGTTCTGGAAACTCAGTAAACAACCAATGTCGATCTTTAAAAAATCTAAAATAATACCTTTGCATCAACTATCTAAATTTATAAGAAATTACAACCGTCTTGTATCTATGTACCTGTTATTATGCTGCATATAAAAATTGTTCCAATAGTCATGGGCATTGTTAGTGTACATCTCTAGTCAAGGAAAGTGATAATCAATAAAGATCAAGGTATTCAAAATAAACTACTGCACTACATAATCTAACAATAAAATTCAATACCATTGACAGGGAAATAAATGTCATTCAATGATTTTTGCATCTACACATTTCAAAAAATATTATTTATGCTATTTGGTTAAAACACAATATGTTTTCAAATGTTGTTTGACAATCAAACATGCAATTGGTTCATTACATACTGATCAAGGTAATACCAATTTTAATTAATCTTATTTAAATAAAAAAATCTTTTTCAAAAATTTCAAGAATTCATAATAAAAAATCAAAAACATTATCATTATTTATACAGTATCAGCATTATACCTTGTAAATGAGCTGGAACATATGTAGTACTATTTTCTTGAACAACCTTTATCGCACTTTCTTCTTGTTCTTTACTCCATTTAACATTATCCCTTTATAGAAAAATAGGCACAGAAAAATAAAATTGGAAATTGCATTTTCTCCCCACCAAATGTTGTCTTCTTCCTCTGTGGATGGTCACAACATCAATCCTGTCCATACATGATCCCCACCAATCAAGCCATGTTCCCCAGAAAAATTTAATTGTGTTCTCCAAACTGCACACCAATAAAGAATATTAAATAAAGTTATTTCGATAAAACTTATTTGACAACAGTGCAATTTTAATTGTGTATGTTTCATATCAATCAACTTATATAGTGACAAGAAATATCACGGATCATCATACATTTTATGATATCTGCTGAATATTAATGATTGCTTCAAAATACACAAACTTATAAAAAAATTTATCAGAATCATAGTTTTATAGAAATAACTTTATATCACATCGTGCTTTATGTTAAGTTAGAAGTTAACTTTAAACATCAGCTGAAACTGAAAGTTGTAGAATTAAACGAAGTAATTCAAAATCCAACAGCTTTAACTTAAAATATATCGGTATTTACCAGGCATTATGTTCAAAAACTTTAGAGTTGTCGTTAAGAAATCGGTTTCCAAATTGAGGTCTTTCTTTGTCATCCATTGTAGTAAATAAATCTGGAACCATTGCTCTCACAATCAAATTTCCTAGTTCCTTAGAAAATGCTTAAAAATTCCTAAAATTTCCATTAAATTCCTTCAATTTGTAAAAATTACTGATCACATATGCTCAAAATGTGTTTTTCATGATTTTTCATCCTTTTTTTGATGTTTTCAAGTTTGTTAACGTTTTATTTGTAAATAAACATTAAATATCATTAAGTGTATGTTAATTTAATATATAAAAACGTATCCTTAACACCTTAAAACATCCTTAAAACCTTAAGAAAATCTTATTTTTTAGGATAATTCCTTAAAAGTGAGAGCACTGTATGGAACGCAATAGTTTTATCCTGACATATGTTTCGTGATTTCCACTGATATGTATATTACACTGGTTAACGCATCCATGTATGAAATAGAGCAGGGGTGGGCAACTTCTCCAGTCGGCTGGCCAGATATAGGAAAATGAAGTTATTGGTGGGCCGGATTATTACATGAATAATATTCAATATTCAATGGTCGGATACAGTCGGCGGGCCAGTCAAAATCACTTCAGGGGCCGGCCCCGGCCCGCGAGCCGTATGTCGCTCACCCCTGAAATAGAGTAAGATAATTGAAGCCAAAAGCTGGCTCACCTGATTATGATCTTCGTGGGGGTATCGGTTCCACTTAACCATACTTTTGTATTACAAAATCACAGTTTTTGCGTTTTTATTCGTTCTACAAACATTTGATTCGAGCAAAATTTTTGTGAAAGGACAGAACAACCGGCAAAGATATTTAATCCATAAGGTTTGTCTTCTTGGCTTTATAATGAGAGAAAATTGAGATGGTACAAGGTCGACCTGCATTGTTTTAAAACAAACAGGAGATTATACGATGCTGCTGCTTCTTAAAAAATGTAGAAATATTACAGAATCCTACTACTGCTACCAAAATTTCATCTGCAATGACGTTTATGGAAGATTGCTACAAATTTACTTATTTAACAACACTTTGTTATTCACATCTCTAATATCATAATAATTTTAAATTACGTCTTTATTATATCAGTGAAGAAACAAAACAAATCGACGTAGAAAAATAATCAGAAAGACATTTTAATGAACAATAGTAAGTTGAAAACGGTATCATCAAATTCTACGAGATGTACATCATCAAAATATGCGAATTAAAGTACCTCTGTTATCATTAAGCGAAGCAAAGTTTTCAACCAGTTCCTATGTGAACAACTTCAATATCGATGAATATGTTGAAGACATGAATACCTTTGTTCTTATTTTGTTGTAAATTTGTAATTTAAGTTTTCATCTTCTAAAAATGCATGTTTGTAAATGTAGATCGTCCAGGTGGGTATAGTCCTGAGAAGGACTGTTTTTGTTGTTGTTGACTGACGTTTCGACAACCTTAGCGGTAGTCATCTAAGGGTTGTCGAAACGTCTAGTCATCAAAAAGGTTGTCGAAATGTCAGTCAACAACAACAAAAACAGTCCTTCTCAGGACTATACCAACCTGGACGATCTACATTTACAAGTAAATAGCATGCTTATTAACAATTTGATATAAAAAACATCTGCGCATGCGCCAGAGCATGCGCAGTCCACTCGATAATTGTTCATAGTCATAGCAACGACTAACTATATGTACTTGCTTTACATTTGTGGCAATTAGTTCACTTAGTCGCAAATTATCAAAGATATCATCTGGGCCTTTCAATTTTATGTATACATATATAAATCTGAAACTTCATATAGTAGATGTCAACTAGCAGTGGAAGCTGGGTGCAATATAGTATGCAGTGGCTTAGGGGCCCACTCTCCCTGCGTACCACGAGCAAAGCCTGTCGCAGGTGATCTAGGGGTCTGATGGGCGGAAACTTGCTACGCATTGGCATCCCAAAGTAGGATAGCGTGGAGGGGCCGAAATCTCCTACCGAAACGTTAACATGCGGCGTTCTAGTGCCTTACGCTTAACAAGGTATCGGGAAGCATGGGCCGAAAACGGGGTTTTTTTGCTTTTCATTTTTATGTTTTTGTTCGTAAAAGAAACTAGAACATCCAAGAATACTGCAAAGGTTTAAAACACTTCTGCCTCTTTGACTTATAGTTTAAACCAACTGTAAAAACGTTTATACGTTTTTTACATGTTACCTTATACAATATAACTCTCTCATCATGAACAAAAGCATCCATGAAAAAAAGGGATTATCTACTTTTTTATAATAGTTTCTACAAAGATAACATACAACAAACCAAGCAATTTGTATCGTCTAAATTGACATCGCTTTCAACCTTTATGTTATAAAATTTTGATTCATTTTTGATAGTAAATTACTTTTTACCTTACAATAATTTCATCATTCAATCTAAAAAGTAACTTCTCTTCTCGAGTAATTTTGCAATTAAGCAGCACACTTTTCGGATTCAAAGGAATTGTTTTGATCGCATAGAGACAGCCGTCCAATTTACTTCGTACCTAAGCGTATGTAAAGCATTTCCAAATCACGTACAAAATTTCCTTCAAATGACCAAATTACAGCCTATTTAAAGATGTCGCATGTAATAAAAAGTTACCTTGAAAACTGAAGCAAATCCTCCTTTTTTCAAGCATTTGCAACACCTCAAATTCATTTTGAACTCTTGAATTTCTCGCAGGGTAGCCAAAAGGAATAGGCATCGACAAAAAGTTTGCAGAGTTCACTTTAAATCTTCTTGCAAATCTCTTTAGGTGATTGCTTCCTTTTCACTTTCGAAATCAGATTCTTCGTCCTAAAGGAAAGACGCAGGTAGTTGTTTTTACATATAGCAGTTTCTAATACTTTATTCCACGTGAGCCAACGAGCTTCCAAACTGCATATGTGATTCATTGATATGTGATGCGAAAATGGCAAAAGGTTGTACAGTGAAAAAAACTAAAAATTTCTACTAAATTTACACCCTACAAATGAACAAAACAATCTATTAACTAGGTAGAACCATTCACCTCATTTTTTACAACATCAATTTGAACAATTTCACTCTCTACATGGATGTCACTGTCATCTTTCTTCGGTTGTGCTACAAATTATAGATGAATTCCTTTCACGAAAAGGCTTTATATGCATTAAGCTATTACTTTTTAGCACTTTTTTTGTCTTTATATTATGCAAAACAGCTTGATGGTTGGTCAGACTAACAATCTCGTATCCCTCTAGCCAATCATTTCCATTTTATCACCCTTTCTCCCACCAAGCTTGTTTGGATTGGCTTTCATAACAGCTTGGCCAACATGAATATCCTATGCTTTATAACCCTTTGCATTTTTGAGTATCATATTTTTAGCATTAACATTATAGGCATAAACATAATATAAGCATTAACACCTTACATAAACATGAAAGGACATCCGGGTAATTTATTAAAATTTTACAAACACAGAGTTGTTAAACTTTTTTCTTTGATCACTAAGAATTTTGAGAGGTGCTCCCCATTGATGGATCCACTTCACAAAGACTTTGTAAACACATTCAGCCAATTTTGACTTGATTGGCTTAGCTTTAACCCACCTTGAAAACAAGCACGTTCCAGACAAGACATACTTATAGCCCATTTTTCCATAGTTTTCCCAAGGCCCTGAAATAAAAATGTGCAAGCTTAAAATAATATGCATTAATATAAATGATGATAGAAATACATAAAGTAAAATGTACAAGAATGCAGGCTAATAGTACATACATAAATAGGCTGAAGTTCTGGAACCATTATTTTGATTTTCACCACTTTTTGGCATTGGGGGCAGCTGGAAATCTATGTTAAACAACACATAACATAGCATCACAATGTTTTAGTTTGATTACTATTTTAAACATATTTACAAACTCTTTGTCATATTCCTCCAATAGAAATGCATGCTGACATTTGCCTGTGTTTGTTTTCCCCCCATGGGACCACCAAACTTTTCGCTACCATGGATATCACTTAGAATGTGATCAATCTAAGAAAGAAACAAAATTTGTAAGCCAAAAAATGTAAAGTAACCTAACAATCCATACTGCGCACCTCAGCTCTTTCAAACAGCACTTACTTTTTTACCCATTGATTTCCCTTGCTGTTTGCCAATGTAGAACAGTGTGCCACTGGAAGTTGTTTAATATGAATTATGAAATGTAAATTTATTGAAAGACGTTTGTCAAATTGTTGCTCGTGGTACACAGCCAGAGATGTTTCTCCAATGGTATTCACACGAGTTGAAGTAAAAAGTCAAAACATATATATATACCATAAATATACCTTCATATTCGAATTTCTTCGACTAAAATGAGGAAGCGTGCTGTGTTCATATTCTTTGGCTTCACTGATTTCTCTAGATTAGAAAAACTTGGCAGAGCTTTTCTTCCATTTCTCTAGTAATGTAGCACATCTTCTATCGATGTTTAAAATATATAAACATGCCAGTATTGAGAAAATTCGTGTAGCACTAGCACATCTAGTAGCAACAATCCGCCATTACCGCCATGTTGGTCCAGTGGTGCAGTGCAATTGGTCTAGTGGACCAGTCCTCTTTATACCTGAAGTTCTTTGTATAACTCAATCACAGTATAGAGAACATACAGTAGAGCCACTCCGTTAAACTTTTTTGAGCCACGTATATCTCATTACGCATGTGATTACCATTGTGGCAGGCAGTCAATTGCAATTTCTGACAAGTAAGAATGATGAATTGGCTTACAGCAGCCAGTAATCTTATTAAATATACAGCAGCCAGTTGCACAGCGAAGTGGCCCTACTGTATATTCCTATACTGCGACTCAATGTTCACAATGCGGCTGTGGTTAACCATATAGGTAACTATGTAACTATATTGCAACATACACTAGTGCTTCGCAAGGATAATAAAAAGTGGCCACATTCTCAAGATGACCGTATAAAAGTGGGGGCCGTGAGGGGGGGGGCATTGTATAGTAAAAATTTTTAATAGCATTTCGTAGCACATTATATATTCTAAAGTTTACCATAAAGTTAAGATTTAACCTAAAACTTTTTGGCACACATAGTTTAAGAGCCTTCGCAGATCAAAATCAAATGATCTAGTATTTAATGAAATCATATTTTCGTCTTTTTTAAGAGGAATTTTGCAACTACTTTTAATGTTTTTGTTTCTTTTTGAATGAGGCGATCTGTACCTTCTTTGTGGGCAAAGGAGAAAAATTTTGAAGACTTAAAGACTTCTAGTTCAAGCTGAAAATCTTAAAAAATACCTAGCATAAACTGCACAAAGATAATCTTTTTTCTTCTCATCAAATCATTTACTTTATTGATATTACATTGTATTTAGTGATAAATAAGAATGAGTAGAAAAGCAATTATTTGAGTGAACAATGGAATTCGCATCAAGCATGAAAACAACGAAGGCAAAATGATAGTTAACAATAATACGACGGCAGAAGTCATGAGCTAAACACGAGTTATTCAGGTGGTGTATCATCTGTGGATTATATATCAATATGCTTACAATGCAAACATCTGTTCTCTGTTCAAATATGGTCTTCATTGAATAAATTTACGATAAATTCCTATAAATTTATAAAAAAATGAAAAGACAATGAGCTATTGATTAGATATGTCAACTGGCTTTTCGGTGAGTAAAATTTTACTTGTTTGATTTTCTGTGTAATGAATTATACAATGTAAACAAAGTACAGCAATTTAACGTAAACTTCTCAAAAATTCTTTCAAATAAATAAACACATTCTATTTGTTCTATCTATATACTATATTGGAGTTTTCACTTTCTTAATTTTGCCTTTAAAGCTGAATTTAACGAGCGAAATTTTCACTTGAAATATTACTGAAGCATCCTCGATCCAATCTTCGCAATTTTCCTGTACCTTTCATTGTAGAGTTAGATGTTGAAGTTTTGCACAGAATAAGCTTATCATCAATCTAGTGAAATTCTGCATAAACGATAAAACGTTACACTGGTACAACATTGCCAACGACATTTGTGCATGTATATAGACATCACATTCGCCACGCTAATTTGCATGCAGTACGTCGACTTTGCTAAGCAAAACTCCTACATTACACAATACTCTCACACAAAACCAGGCGGGCAAAATTCATCGGTCTAACTGTATGCATGCATGTATAGCTCAAACATAGTGTTTAAGAACGTATTAAAATCCAAACTGGAAATTTTGAACTAAAATGCTTTGTTTCGGTTGGAGGTGTTTGATTGATTCAATTGAAGTAAAAATTTGAAAACTTAAGTATTATTCTTTTCTTTGGCTCATTACTTTAGCATTAGAATAAATGATTTTATGTTTAAACAACAAGGCACATATCTTCACCATCACTGATCAATCTGATTTTCGTTCAACAATTGTTTTTTCTCTGTCATTATATTTACAAATCAACTTCTTCAAATCAACTTATCAAACGACAAATCAACTTATCAAACACATCAACGTTTATCATAAATAAAACTTAACCACGCTTAGTGAACATAAATTTACCGCTTTTGAAGTGTGAAATACCAAAGTGTAAAATGTATGAATTATGTTATAATAATAGCTGAATTTATGAAATATTTTTTAAATAATTTCAACAAGTGACTTGGTGTGAAAAATAAGAAAGATCACATGAAGATGTATTCTCAAGACGAAAAAGGAGCTGTTGTTAAAGCAGAAAAAGAAAAAATGTGTCGAATTTGCTACGGAGCAGAATCAGTTTGTGACAAACTAATATCACCATGTTTATGCAGAGGTTCAATGATGTATTCACATGAAAAGTGTTTATTGCAATGGGTATCTTTAAAAGGATCAAAATATTGTGAACTTTGTCTTTATAAAATGGAAATACACAGTCAAGGAATGAAACCATTTTGGAAAGTAATATCAAGTTTTATTTTCTACACGTAATTTTAGAGATTTATAGATATTTATGAAAAAAGATTTTGAAAGTTATAATTTATCTTATTTAGTGGCAGAAACCCAAATCATGTGATGCAGTGACGACATTATCACTTTTCTACACAACAATAATGTTTATATTTGTTGCCATAGTGATATGGATAGCAAGCAAAAGATGTGCTTCTGAATTGTGTATTTCGCTGTACTGTCTGTGTTTTGTGGCAATAGCCTATTTTTGTTATTGTTGTGGCTATTTGAACTGCATGAAACCTTACTGTAAATCCTTCTGGGATTTAAATAGACGTTGGGCAGTGGTCAGTCGAAGAACGTCTTTCCAAATTGATTCTCGATTGGAAACATACGTCTAAAAATTTACTCAAGTAATACATGCAAAAACACTTTTATAACTTCATTTCTACTTAACACTACGAAGATGAAACATCTTTTGTGTAGCAAAAGTCGTATGAAAAACTGAAGATAAAAGAAAGACTTATTTCTGCTAAATAATAATATACTGCATGTAATACAGAGTATGTTAATCATTTAAAATTGTTGTGTGTTGTCAAAGTCTGTGCAATCTTTACATTACGATTATTTTTGAAAGTAGCAAAAAAATTTTTTCAGGTATCGCAAATTGCAAAAAACTGAATATTTTCACGTTGTTAAAGCCACAAGTGCATTTTCTAAATGTTTTAACGTCAATAATACGATGATGAAACACATAAGAAAAAATATTCACGTTGTTAAAGCCACAAGTGCATTTTCTAAATGTTTTAACGTCAATAATACGATGATGAAACACATAAGAAAAAATATTCACGTTGTTAAAGCCACAAGTGCATTTTCTAAATGTTTTAACGTCAATAATACGATGATGAAAACACATAAGAAAAATATTCACGTTGTTAAAGCCACAAGTGCATTTTCTAAATGTTTTAACGTCAATAATACGATGATGAAACACATAAGAAAAATATTCACGTTGTTAAAGCCACAAGTGCATTTTCTAAATGTTTTAACGTCAATAATACGATGATGAAACACATAAGAAAAATATTCACGTTGTTAAAGCCACAAGTGCATTTTCTAAATGTTTTAACGTCAATAATACGATGATGAAACACATAAGAAAAATATTCACGTTGTTAAAGCCACAAGTGCATTTTCTAAATGTTTTAACGTCAATAATACGATGATGAAAACATAAGAAAAATATTCACGTTGTTAAAGCCACAAGTGCATTTTCTAAATGTTTTAACGTCAATAATACGATGATGAAACACATAAGAAAAATATTCACGTTGTTAAAGCCACAAGTGCATTTTCTAAATGTTTTAACGTCAATAATACGATGATGAAACACATAAGAAAAATATTCACGTTGTTAAAGCCACAAGTGCATTTTCTAAATGTTTTAACGTCAATAATACGATGATGAAAACATAAGAAAAATATTCACGTTGTTAAAGCCACAAGTGCATTTTCTAAATGTTTTAACGTCAATAATACGATGATGAAACACATAAGAAAAATATTCACGTTGTTAAAGCCACAAGTGCATTTTCTAAATGTTTTAACGTCAATAATACGATGATGAAACACATAAGAAAAAATATTCACGTTGTTAAAGCCACAAGTGCATTTTCTAAATGTTTTAACGTCAATAATACGATGATGAAACACATAAGAAAAATATTCACGTTGTTAAAGCCACAAGTGCATTTTCTAAATGTTTTAACGTCAATAATACGATGATGAAAACATAAGAAAAATATTCACGTTGTTAAAGCCACAAGTGCATTTTCTAAATGTTTTAACGTCAATAATACGATGATGAAAAACATAAGAAAAAATATTCACGTTGTTAAAGCCACAAGTGCATTTTCTAAATGTTTTAACGTCAATAATACGATGATGAAAACATAAGAAAATATTCACGTTGTTAAAGCCACAAGTGCATTTTCTAAATGTTTTAACGTCAATAATACGATGATGAAACATAAGAAAAATATTCACGTTGTTAAAGCCACAAGTGCATTTTCTAAATGTTTTAACGTCAATAATACGATGATGAAACACATAAGAAAAATATTCACGTTGTTAAAGCCACAAGTGCATTTTCTAAATGTTTTAACGTCAATAATACGATGATGAAACACATAAGAAAAATATTCACGTTGTTAAAGCCACAAGTGCATTTTCTAAATGTTTTAACGTCAATAATACGATGATGAAACACATAAGAAAAATATTCACGTTGTTAAAGCCACAAGTGCATTTTCTAAATGTTTTAACGTCAATAATACGATGATGAAACACATAAGAAAAAATATTCACGTTGTTAAAACCACAAGTGCATTTTCTAAATGTTTTAACGTCAATAATACGATGATGAAAAACATAAGAAAAAATATTCAATACGCAAATAAAAATTCTATGATATAAAGACTTACGACCAGACTCGGAGAGTACCATCTGAGCTCGCAGAAAGAAGAAATTCTCCAGTTTTATCAAACAAAACAGTTTGAACTGCCTCTTCATGACCAGTAAGTTGGGAATGTTTTCCAGAAGAAATTTCATACATTCTTATTGATCCATCATTACTTGCCACAGCCAAAACTGAAGAACTTGGATCAAAGGAAACTCGGTTAGTTGGATGAGGACCAAAATCTACAGATGCAAGACATATAAGAGAGCGAACATCCCAAAGTTTGATAACACCATAAGAATCACAAGACGCCACAATATCTCCCTATAAAAATATTCATATCTATATAAAGTATTTCTCATTTATCTATGTAAAGAAAATCATCAAAAAGCCGTTACTACATACCCTTAAATTGAACACACCATGGTTGACAGAATGCATGTGGCCAAAAAAACTCTGTCCACAAAGTCCCTAGAAAAATAGGATTAAAAAATATTTACTTTATACAGAGTGTCTATTGTCTTGTGTTTTACTAAAATACTCTTTGGCAGTAGTAATTATGTTACACACCTCACACTTTTTCATTTTATACAGTATTATGTTAAACACCTCACACCGACATTTCAGGGCATTTCTTACACACATTCCGACAGTGTTAAGCTCTCTCCCCTCCCCAACAGTTTTAATCAAATTCAAAAGAACAAATGCAAACAAAAAACATTGGGTGGGCAGAGATAGACAAAAACACCACGTATATAGTTTATAATACGACGATGCCGTATCAACAATGTCTGTAGAAGTACTATGAATAAAGGCTATTGGGTAAACTCAAACATTAACTCAGTATTTCCCACAATCCTACTTATGACATAATTTAATACCGTTCTTGCATCCCACATTGAAAGAGTCTTGTCTGCTGAAGAAGTCAGTAAATAGTTGGAATATGGTAGAAATGTGATGCTGTTTACAGAGTCTGCATGTCCTCGAAGAGTGGAACGACATCTTTCACTAAAATTTAACAAATGAGTTTACTGTGTTATTTACTATACGAAAGAATATTCCTTCAAAAGAGAATAATGATTAAATAAATCGAATAGAAAATCAAGATCAATGACAATAGTGCATGACATTTCAGTATATTGATGGGAAAGGTTTACGACAAGTTGATCAAACAGGACCCTGCTCTATACCAATGTTATACGCAGTTTTGTGGCCAAGCAACTACATAGAAGGGATCTTTATGATACTTAATGCCTTAATGATCTTTGAGCCTTCGCAATCTTCCTTTTAGTCTTAATGATTATTGGAAATCTATTTCATTTATTTGATAAAGACGATAGCCCACGTCTGCATAAGACTATATGAAATGATTCAATTCAGAAGCTGTGTATGTCCATATTAAAATTAAACAACATATAGAGTTAATAATTTAAATGTAATAGATAATTGTAACTAAAGAATTATCCTTTTTTAACCTTCTTTTGATCATGATTAAGCAGTTTCCTTTTTATAGTGAATAAGCCTGAATTTAAAAAGGTTTGCCGTTTGTACGACAGTCATTCTTTAACCAGAAAGAGTGAAAGTGGTACATAGCTACCAAAATATCGTATTCATAACGTTTTAAATTATTTTATATGGTTTTAAATCGTTGTTGGATTTCGTTCAACTTACACAAATGTGTGCCGCATTGTTCCTAAAAACTATTTCATTTATCCCTAAAATTTACTGCAAGTTTCGCACGAGTTGTGTTAAAATACAGTATGATAATACCTGTTTATATCCCATATTTTCCCCGTACAATCCATTGAGCAAGTAGCAAGAAAATCACCAGCAGAATGCCATGAACAACCCCATACGGCATGAATATGTTCAGTAAAAGTAAGAACGCATTCAGCTTTATTGAAATCCCAAATTTTTACAGTTGAATCTCCAGAAACTGTTGCAAGACTGCCACCGCTAAAGAAATTGATATTTAAAATGAGCTTGACATTGAGAAATAAACCTGGGATTCCATAGTGCTGGTACAAAGGCTACTTTATGGAAAGGTAAACTATATTGTCAAAAGACTTCCTAGTAACCTGTGACATGAACAACTCCCATGTTTACAAACAACCACAAATCAAAATACACTCTCATTCCTGCTTCAAAATTTTACGTAGACATATGTACCTAATCACCTTCTTTGTAGAACTAAAGAAGCTAAATAGAGATGAAAAAAACCTGACTTGAACATACAAACTCAAGATTTTAACACAATGTTCTCAAGTTTATCACTTGCCATGAAAATATTACGTGGTCTAAAATCGTTTATATGTATTCTTTACTTCCAAAATATAATATCGCATGTAAAAAATTTTGTCATATTAGCAGAGCTTAATGTAAACTTGCTATATCTTTGCAATAAATTATCACTTAAGAGTCCGAAAGTATGTAGAAAGCAATAGCTTGAAAAGAAATTTAAAGAGAAATAAAAAATATGCACTTAGAGATTGTACATTCATTTTTGTTAAATCGTCAAAACCCAATGATTTTGCTGAAACCCAAATTGTCTTCATTACGTCCAATTTTTACTAGCATCTTAAAACTCTTTGTAAGATAAAGTTGCTGAGTCAAAAAAGAATTCACAAAATAAAGAATAATGAATTAAATCCTCCATCTAAACTAAAATTTCAAATTAAATACTTCATAAGTAAAACGATCATTTATCAAAATATATTTACGTCACTTTGACGGATGCAATTGAATAAATTCTCCCATTTGGCTATATATATTATAAATATACGTTTTTCACTAACCCAGGACTAAAATCACAATCAGCAATCCAATCTTTGTGTCCTTCACCTGTCATTATCATATTACCACTGTAAATACATCAATAAAAAAATGAGTTAAAGTATACATAGATAGTAGCATGGCAATCCTGCAGATGTATTCTTGCCATGTAAAGAACATTCATTTCTTTAGTAATCTATTGTTCTCATGGTGAGTGAACACAAAAATATTCACATAGAAGGAGTGAAATTTCAAGCTGGCTATGATACTGTTAATATGTATACATACGTAACTACGCTTATATCTCCAGTGCTAAAAGGGTTTTTACGGATTTGTATTGAGCGTAAAACGTTACTGAACAAGTTCTACAAAGCATGTTAATTTAGAAAAATAGTTTTTGAGAAATATTCATTTCAAACATTGTAATTTAATAATAATTCCAATTCCATCATGTAAGGAAATTCTCGCTCGAAATGTAAAATCTGTAATGTGCTACCCGCCTTAAAATCAAATAAAAACAAATTTGTATTTTCCACAAAAGAGGAGTAGAGCTTGGCGTCCGTTTGTCTTGTTCAACGGTTTTTTTTAAAGTTGTATATCTCAAAAAGCATTTCACAAAATTAAAACATAGAAGTTTCCTCTGTGGTCAATCTGTAAAAATCTTACAGATGTTATACATAATCACTTTAATAATAAACCTTGGAACAGCCCACATTTTCCATGTTTTATCATCGCTACATGTTGCCAGCACCTGTTTTCGTGGGTGCAATGCAATGCTGAAAATAGATCAATTTTAAATAATTAAACCTTTAGTTATGTTGTTCAATATAAATATAGTTTATATAAAAAATACATACATATATAAACCATAAGTTAAATACATTTCTCAGTTTCTTTTCACTTATGATTGTCATAAATAGTTAACACTAGTTAATTCAAATTACTTAACACAATAAATTTTTACTTACGCACTGACAATAGTTAACACAATAGTTAATTCAAATTACTTAGCACAATAAATTCACACAATAGTTAATTCAAATTACTTAACACAATAAATTTTTACTTACGCACTGACAGCCATATCATGAGCATCAATTGTATTTGTGAGTCTGAAGCCTCCAGCTCGAGTAAGATGTGGTGATGGATGTTTAAAGTAGTTTAACAATGGATTTACATCAACATCATGTGGAAACATACTATCCTACACAAAAAATAAGCATGCAGCATAAATTATTTTGCAAAATGACCATGTATATAAACTACGTATATATTTAACAAAGAGAAATGAGCACAATTTTAAAATTTACTGCTTGCAGCTATGCAGGCGTAAAAAGACATAAACTTTATAACATATGATCATGAAGAGAATGATCGTTATCAAATAACTAAATTAACAAAATAGGTAACATGTTAATCCCTTAATAGAAAATTTTATGAAAGTAATGATGGCACAATTTGATGAACTACAATAGGACAATTCAACTTTACTCACATTTTGAAGTAATATTCTAACCTTAGGATGTATCATTGGTTTATTTTCTGATGGAATATCATTCATTTTTTTCTCACATTGCATTTCTAAAACAGGATGAGTGTCTAAAGTAAAAACGTTTCCATTATTCCTCGCGACTGACAGTTCATCATTATTCTTTGTTTAACATTTTTTATGCCACTCTTCTCGTTATCATTCGTTTTAAAGCCCATTCTCTCTTACCTTTCCCTTCCACTACCTATTAATGGTCCACTCCTTGTCAATGTTGTCTCCAATTCACAGTTTTACTTAACGTTATCTTCCTAACAATATAGCCCTATACCATTCTTTCTCAATCAAATCCTTTCATGTCCTTTTCTTTTTTCTACGTCAGAATTTTTTTTTCTTTCTTTATCAAGTACACCCTGCCTTACTACTTCGCTATTAGCATCGTGTTCCTTTTCTTTATAAATTTCAACTTTATCTTTCCTAATTCCTTCTTCTTTACTTCTCAATACCAAACCTATGGACGAACATCGTAACCTGTTTGTTTTGGCAATAAAACAATCCTTTCCGTCGTCCTCTGGGGCAATCAAGATTTTCCCAAATAACTATTATTTTCAACTTTCTTCACCACAAACTGTAGCAGTTCATTTCCATCCACGCCGGTCAAGTTATGTGTCATTTCACGTATTATTGCCCGTCCTTTTCCTTATTTCATTTTTCTACGTTTCTATGTTTCTTATCTTATCCTTTCTTATCTCCCTCATTTCACAGTTTCTCAAATGTTCTTCTTTCATAAACTTTTCCTTTCACACAACACATACTTGAGTCCTAAACCTCTATATAATGTCATCTATTGTCAAATTGATTTTAAACTGAAACGTAGTATCTTCACCTTTAATTGCATCATTTTTCCCAATTTTTTCGTCAAGAGAATTACTCAATGTTGCTTGAAGACCAACAATCTAAAGTATTTATTATTTAAAATTAATAAAGATGACTTCATGTAATACAGTCAAGGGAAAAAGGAAGGGAATGGAAAAAGATTACAGATGTAAATGGTATATTTTTACCTGTCCGATAGCTCTATCGCGCTCAAGTTTCGTCAACATCTTTTCCCTCAAAGCAACCTAGCAACAGGGAAATGTCTGAAATTGAGCCAGTTGGAAAACAGTTCAAAGCTATCTTTATCGCGTGTTATAAAATGTTGATTAGCCTATATCAGTTTTAATCAGAATTATTTAATGAAGTATTCATGCATTTTTCGTTACTTTGTCATAACCAAGTTTGAAACTGTCGAACTGGTCAATACGACAGCAGGAAACGTCAACTTTTTCTTGTCACAAATGTGACGCAGCACATTTGCCATTGTATCTCCGAGGAGAACAGTGAAAAACTTTAACAACATATGTTTTCAAGTTACCTTAAGACATAATAAATATTTCATACTTGTTAGGACTTAATCATTGCCTATACTTAGTGGTAAAAATAACTAGAGAAATACAGTGTTGATACCACACAGTTGACGGCAGAACCATTCAACAGCATATACCCGTGTTTACTTTAATCATAAGTCATAGACCAAAGATGCAAAATTTGTTTTGTGTTTGCTGGAATTACATATGGTGATAGAAAATTCAGCTTTACCTCATATTTTTGTTTAAGGCTTTTCAAAGCTGGTTCATATGAATCGTAATGTTTCTTTAACCTGCAGAAGACAACAATAGAACGACAAGCTTTTAATGGAGGTGTCAGTTGAAATAAAATAACTGACTAAACATAGCTATTTGGTATTTCATAAATGTTTTACCATAAATTAATTTATCTAAAATAGCTACCTTCTAAGATCATCTATCAGCTTATCTTTTTCTTGAACAACACGTTTATGATGCATTCTATGAAAATCTCTCTCCTTTCTTAACCGAACACATGACTGACGTGTATGACTACAGTAAATGACCAATTACTTTCTTTCTTAATGATTTCAACAAATGTGGTCTGTTTTAAAGGCAAAGAACATAAAAGCAAATTCATACGGTCTCTTACTCTGCTGCGTCTTTATATCTTTTTATTTCTTTATGTAGAGATTTTACAAGATCCTCCAGTTTTTGTTGCCTAGTATTCAATAAAATGTTATATGAAGAGTATTCAATAAAATATTACTTTGAGTATTCAATAGAATGTTATATGAAGAGTATTCAATAATAAAGCTACCCTCATATAATACAGTGGTGCAATGTTCATATCACCATAGCATAGTATGGTCCATGCATTACTCATTTACCCTCCCTTCCTCCCTTCCTGTGAATACGCCAGTGGAATAAGGTATTAGACTGAATTAACAGAATATTAAATAGAGAATTTAGACTTAGATACTTTAGTAGAGAAAGTATAGAATATTAAATAAAGTACAACATAGAGCAACAAATGAAATATTTGATGATCATGAAGCAAAAATATTGATGCATTGCAACATGTGCTTAGCATGACACCTGGTCATCAAGGAAAACAGGATAGAAAAAACAAAAAGAATACAAAACCTAGCATAAATGTCAGGAACATTCTCAACAACTTCCTTGCTCAGCAATCCACGTTCACATAGTTCATACCTATTGAAGTAAGAAGACATACCTGTAGAGTTATCATGTCGAAAATAGAATAATATCACAATAAAACTTCACACTAACCAAACCAATCAACCATCTACAGCAATGTGACAGTGTATCTACAACAATGTGACAGTCCATCTACAACAATGTGACAGTGTATCTACAACAATGTGACAGTCCATCTACAACAATGTGACTGTGTATCTACAACAATGTGACAGTCCATCTACAACAATGTGACAGTGTATCTACAACAATGTGACAGTCCATCTACAACAATGTGACAGTGTATCTACAACAATGTGACAGTCCATCTACAGCAATGTGACAGTGTATCTACAACAATGTGACAGTCCATCTACAACAATGTGACAGTGTATCTACAACAATGTGACAGTCCATCTACAACAATGTGACTACAACAATGTGACAGTCCATCTACAACAATGTGAATGTGCATCTACAACAATGTGACAGTCCATCTACAACAATGTGACAGTGTATCTACAACAATGTGACAGTCCATCTACAACAATGTGACTGTGTATCTACAAAAATGTGACTGTGTATCTACAACAATGTGACTGTGTATCTACAAAAATGTGACTGTGTATCTACAACAATGTGACAGTCTATCTACAACAATGTGACTGTGTATCTACAACAATGTGACAGTCTATCTACAACAATGTGACTGTGTATCTACAACAATGTGACTATGTATCTACTACAATGTGACTGTGTATCGACAACAATATGGCTGGGTATCTACAACAATGTGACTATGCATCTACAACAATGTGACTATGCATCTAAAACAATGTGATTATGTATCTACAACAATATGTATCTACAACAATGTGACTATGCATCTACAACAATGTGACTATGCATCTACAACAATGTGACTATGTATCTACAACAATATGGCTGGGTATCTACAACAATGTGACTATGCATCTAGAACAATGTGACTATGCATCTACAACAATGTGACTATGCATCTACAACAATGTGACTATGTATCTACAACAATGTGACTGTGTATCTACAACAATGTGACTATGTATCTACAACAATGTGACTATGTATCTACAACAATGTGACTGTGTATCTACAACAATGTGACTGGGTATCTATAACAATGTGACTATGTATCTACTACAATGTGACTGTGTATCTACAACAATGTGACTGTGCATCTACAACAATGTGACTGTGTATCTACAACAATGTGACTATGTATCTACAACAATGTGACTGTGTATCTACAACAATGTGACTGTGTATCTACAACAATGTGACTGTGTATCTACAACAATGTGACTATGTATCTACAACAATGTGACTATGTATCTACAACAATGTGACTGTGTATCTACAACAATGTGACTATGTATCTAAAACAATGTGACTATGCATCTACAACAATGTGACTATGCATCTACAACAATATGTCTGGGTATCTACAACAACATGAGTATGTATCTAAAAGCTGAATATGAAAGGAATAATACAGCAACAATAATTAAGACATTACCATTCAGTTTGGAAACACTCCAATGTGTTTTTCATTTCCATTTTAACCAGAAAGTTCCTTACAAAGTCATCAGTCAACTCTGGTCTCTAAAATAAAAAGTCAAATTTATAAAATTGCAAATACTTGAAATCTATATAAATGTAAAGAAACTTGTTTACTGAATTATTTATTTCCAAAAAACTTTCATTTGCAAGTCTGCATTGTAAAATGTTTTTTATAGTAGTAAATAGTAACAGTGGTATAAGCGTGTGGTTTTTAAAATGATTATTTCATAAAAGAAATTTTCCAAATTCTCTAACAAATAACAATGATATAAAATAGAAATGTTTATAGTATACTCCCTCACTAATGTAACAGATGGTTCTGATGACTTTTGTAAAACAGGCTTAGTCTAAAATGAAACATTATAACTTTATATACATTTATACATCAAATAATCTAATAAATACCCAGGGCATTTGATAAATTCTAAAACTCTAGCAATTCTTTTGAGGCGATAGAGAGAAGCATTTATATAATTTTTTCTACGATTTTAGTGTGTGCATCAAAAATCAATGAAAATGTTTATTGTTGTTTCAGTAAACCATGCTAATACTGTCATATGAGGGGGGGGCACCCATTAGAGATGGGGAAATTATTAATGAGACATCTACGACAAACTCATCTTATACATATATAACTTATAAGGGGCATTTATTACATCATTTACATTATATTCCATGCAACATTTTTTGAAAATTGTTAAGTAGAAAAAACCTGTTGTAAATATTTGTCTACATCGTCCTCTTTTAATGCTTTTAAGGCATTTTCAAAATCTTCACTTTCCTCTAAATAATTGAAATAATTAACATCCCATTATATAATTAGAATGAGGGGCCAGTTGCACGAAGCCTGGATAGCGTTATCCATTGGATAGCAAAAATTTTCAAACTTGTAAAAAAGGTGTTATGTTTTTCTTACAACAAAGAAATTTTGTAATATTCGAAACAATATTTTATTTCAGTGATAGCACAGTTCAAATCGTATACTTTTTCCCAGAAGAAATTTTTTGAACGTTCAAAAAATTTGCTATCAAGTGGATAAAGATATCCAGGCTTCGTGCAAGCGAGCTCAGAAGAAAAAAACTAAAATTCAAGTCGTGAAATTTACCAGACACCGAAAAGTCGTCATCAACTTGAATCTATAAAAGTATGACGAAGATAAGACAGGAACATTAACGGTTCAAGTGGAATCATTGATAAACAAAACAAAATCTTTAAAAGAAAATCGTTTATCTTTTAGTCAAAATTATTTTAAAATGCATATTTTCGCAAAACTGTAAAAGAAATAGAAAAAATGAAGCCAAGGAGTTTTCACAAATCACTTTAGAACCTCAACCTCTTCACACAAGAAATCGTCCTCGTCGTAATCAGGGATTGCCGTATCTATGAATAAAATAGTTAAAAAAATTTTTCTATTAAGAAGATTTTTTGAATAAAAAACACACGTACAAGTATCGAAATTTAATTTACAACAACAAGACGACGTATGATTGAGGTTAAGTAAGATTCACACAGTAAGCTTGGCCTAGGAGAAGATCGGTAAAAACTTTAATCCAAGAATACACTAAAATTTATTCATGATATGTGTTCCTCAGCAAGATATCGAGAGCTTAATAAAGGATACGCTCCAAAACATAGCTTTCGTTGTCACTATCTTCCATTAATTTCAAATGTCGATCTTTTAAATCAGACGCCATTTTGAAAGTTTTTGTCACCATGGTAATAAAAATAATAAAGTATTCAACAATGATTCAACAGTGATGCGATGATTTAGGCGGTACATAAGGAATGAAACTCTAAGCTCTAACGAGTGAGAATGAATGATGGCGACAAAGTTTTTTCGCGCTAAAATTTTCTCCCCAGTTATCATTCCAGTTATCTAAATAGTGAGTTCACTGGGCAGATAAGGCGGTTTGAGCCTGCATATTGTATGCTTCCTTTCCATGTACGATGTACTTTTGAAGCCAATTTTGCAGTTACCAGTGGCAGACAACCAGTCACCTCCCCAATCTATGCAAGATAAATTTATTTATAACCAGAGCGACCATATTCACCATACATGTAATTTTTATTAAATTTTGTTAGATAAGCACAACACTCCCCCAGTCACCTTGTTCTGAACTTCACTACTACATAAAGCAGGTGAGAGAAGAGTTTTCTCTCCTTGTAAACAGGTGTGTCATACTCAATGGTCATACTGTACATAACTGCTCAAGTTCAATGTACTTTTGATGTTCAGACAGCAAATTAAAAATCCAGGAAATAGTTTATCAGAATAGTGTAATCAACCACTTATACAATTCAACACTTTAAAAACTATTTTTCGCTAAATTTCCATCAGCAGACACTACGTAAATTTCAAGCAAAATTGATTTGTATAAAGGCGAAACTTTTCGCCAAATAATATTCATGGACAATTTATTGTATGACAAAGAAAACGTGGAGCCCTGACTGAAGCCAAAATAAGGTAATTTTATCAGGAATTTATCAATAATTTTCATACGCTGTATATACTCTTATCAAGGTGACTTTAAAATCAAAGCTCAACAGTCAATCCGACTTCATAAAGGGTTATTACAACATAAAAGAATATTGATGGAGCTTTGTATAGATAATTGGATCAGACTGATGATAACAGGGAGAGAGGGCCAACAATGAATGTTAATCATGAATGAAAACAAAGGCTTTAATAAAATTTATCTCATTTGCTTTCCTTAACAAAACCAGCATGGTGTATTATATTTTTAGAAGCAATTCTCCAAGATGAAGTGGCCACGAGGGTATCTATATATTTTGTCTTTTTAAGGATCTTATAAAGCGATCATACTTTATTAATTTAGGTAATTATTACGTATAAGGTAATTAGAAATTATTTTATTTACAAAAACGACTTGTTTAGTCCAGCAAATAAACGAAATATAAATAAAAAAAAATTACATTCATTCATTGAGATTAAAGCATATTTTATGAATTAATGACGCTGGTAATATGTGTCGAAAATTTACAGTTTCACAGAGTGATGGACTTAATAAAAAAGCTAGCTTGCATAAAAACTTACCTCAGTAAAAATAAGTATTCATGAACTTATTTTATTAAATACAAAACAAAGTACAATCCAAAAAAAGGACATGTTGTAAACTTAAATCAAAGTCATAAAACACGACAATATAAACTGTAATATTTCAGTTTATTTCAAAACCATCATCAGACAGAATGTAATAAAACCGAAATATTACAGTTTAAATTTATCTTGTTGTATAACTTTGATTTAAGTTTACAACATGTCCTTTATCGCATTATGTGTTATTATGTATTATATTGTACAACAGCGTTTGTATTTTCTATGGTAAACTTGAAATTAGCAAAGACCATTTGCATCTTACTATGTTTTCAGGAAGAGAATCGATAAACATAATTGCCGGAGATGTCATCAGAAAATCTTCACATAGATGTAGCTATGTCAAAGACATTGAAAATCAGGCATGCGGTTGTGTTCGAAACTATTTAGGTCTAATTAGTTACTTTGTAGGATAAGAGAATTCTTTCTTTCATCTCTGTTCTCATTATTTAGCGGTTTACGTTTGGCAATTTTTTATATTGACTCAATGACAGCACAGCACGCCTGTTTAAGATAGTTTAAAAATCCGATTTAGAGCACGAGCCGCGATAATTAGCAAATTTCACCCAAAACATAGATTTAGCTACATACGGAAAATACCAAATTATTCATATAATGTGGCGAATATATTTAAATAAAAGAAAAAAATTCTATTATTTATAGTTTTCCTATTAAATCCTGTAAAAATTTTCAAAGCAATAGCATATTTATATTGTTTGCAATATGCAATCAATACAGTAGGTGTTCTGGTTATAAAAATGTTAAAGATATATCTCAAAAATTGTATTTGATCTTTTGAGCTTTCATTAAATGGAAGTCTTGGGCTGATGGAAAATATTAATTAAACAATTGCTTTATGCAGACAAATAAGACAAAACATGACGATATGTTAGTTGTTATCTATAATTTACTGCAAATTAAAAGCACATTGCTTGAAATAACCAAGAAGATTTATTCGATCAAACATGACTTACAACTATATCATATAACTATATATTTTCAATCAAATCAAAATCAATTCTGGTTTTCATCACTGCTTCTTGATGAAAGATATTTTTATTATGCTAAATTTTTTCATCCAATCTGACATGCGCATTTGCAAAAAATTGCAGCTACAAGAAAAATCACACGGGGAGAAATTTATTTATGAATTTCTTCTATCATTTGGTCGGTTTTTCAAAGCTTAAATTTTCGTCAGAGGGTTCTGGAGTGTTGGTCTTTGAGTCGCGGTCTTCAGAAAAATCAAACATGCCGACTTAGTGCGATGTTTATTTAGTCGAACCGCAGGTTGTGTTTTAAATTACTTCGGCGGACAACGTTATTTAATTTATGACATATGGTTGGCAGACAATTGGTTTTCAACCATTTTTTGAAGCAAAATATCATCATAACGAAAAACACAATAATTTATAACTTTTCATTTTAAAATGCTACTTTTTTTCTTGAAAAATGATCTTTGGTTATAAATGGAAAGATGTGATAAATTTTTATATTTTGAGAAGACTTTTTAAAACACTAGAAAATAATTAATTTCTTTCAGCCAGTATTTTTATGGCTAACCCGCATTATGAAAGATAGGGTGATTGCAAATTAGTCTTAGTTGTGGAAAATGCAGTTGTTGACATCAGCGAATTAATGGAAATTGAATTAATAGGATTTTTAAGTATTTCAAGTGCTGTGTTGAAAGTTCATCAAGTGTTTCACGCTTAAAATATATTTGCGTTTATAGAGAAAGAAAAAATAGAAATAGAAAGTTTAAGATATTCATCGGAATTGTCTTTGATGTGAGTATCACAAGCCTTTAATTAGTTTTCCTCCGCCATAGATAGAAAGATAACAGTCATAAAGTCAGCTTTCTACGAGGTTATTATAATGTAATTAACAAGATAACACTTGTTCTTTTGATTAAATTACTTTCAACAAGGCACAAGTATTGGCCACACTGTAAGTGGTTTTCTTTTTCTTTGTAGCATGAGATATTCAAGCGTTGTTACTTACAATGTCAAATATATATCCATATTATAATCACGATGCAGAATCATAAGCATTGCTTAATTTGCATATTATGCGCAAATTATGTATTTTAATTGTCACTTTTGCAGTTTTTGCATTTTTCACTCATTTCCAAACAAATTTGAAATCCTTGGGAGGTACTTACTAAAAACCTATGTATGTTTTAGTTAGAATTTTTAATGGTTTTACCAGGTGATTCAATAACAGGGAATGCGGTGTTTGTAATTTGTTTGATACGCAACAACATGTCTTTAATGTTTATATTGCGTAGGCAGTGATAAAATTTCTTTAAAAATTATAGTTCATAGTCCATCACGTATTGAACAATTTCTTTGATTATTTAATATTTATGTACAGTTTAAAAAAAGTTGAGTTGTGTATGATATGTTTAACTCCATTGTGTTTCCGATAGTGCGCTCGCCGCTCGAGTCAACGAGAGCGACATGCAAGTGTTCAATTACCGCGACTTCACGTCGTGCGTCATAAAGGTTTGTTATGTTTCGGCATTTCTAGTTAGTTCATAGTATCACTGTAATAGGAAAGGACCACAAAATACAGATGTATATGTCACAGCAAAGAACTATGTTTTCTGGTGCTCCAGCCTTTGGATATGGGACCAACCATAATAATTACAATCTTACCACTGGAGAACAGGGTATACAAACCCCACAATCTTGTTACTACAACTCGCCAGCTAGATATAGCTTTAACAACTATCCAAGAACTCCAAATCAAAGTTTTTCGAACAGTTGTAGTTACTCATCACTTCCCCCAGTTCCTAATGGTGTACGACCGCAAAATAATTTTTACAACGATTCGTTCCAATCAAATTACGCGAGCAGAACTGGTTTACACGCTGAAGGATTGCTTCACATTCCTCGTCATCCAGCCAGAGATCTTCCTGAAGTTGATGATAAACCCATATCACCAGACCCTGGTAAGTATTTCTCATGAAGTGCTAATTTTAATGTATTTGTTTTTATTAATATTACGAAAGTATTTTCTTTCTAATTTTACATTTAAATCTTCATTACAATTTGATAGGTAAGCTGCACTTTGCAATGCATTACAAATGCTTGTTGCGCGCGACACACAATTAAATATAAATCGCTTTATTGCCTATTCAACGTTTGAAAATTATTGATTCGAGTTCGAAAAACCTTACATTTTATTTCAAAGATGTTTTTATCTCTCATATTCCTTTTTTGACATACTTTTTGACGAAGAATCAAATTGATGGCAAATCAAAATATGAGAATTTACGTCTCCTATACTCGAGAAGAAAGTGTGTAAACAATGATAGTGTGATTAACTGTGAAGATGAACTGGGATACAAACTGCATAACAACTGAACATACGGTCCTGGTAAATAAAATGTTAAAAATTGATGATATTCTATAGTTACTTTAGAAAACCTAAGCATATATTCATTTTCAAGACATTTAGAAGAAAATGCATCGGTCAAAATTCTGTTAAGAGAAGTAAAAATAGACTCAGTTTCTGAATAGTGCGAGCTTTCTGGACTATCAGGAAATATGTTAACAAATAAGTCGATGCTACAGAAAAAAATTGTATTTGAGGAATTACAATATTTTGGTTTTCTTCTCTTCCGTGCCTTTAGGGATGCGTTCAATGCATTCTTTGAAAACTTACCTACCTCACGACTTGGATCAAGTATCACACGACATAAAGAAAACAGGAATAAAATAACTCTTTACACTAAAAAATAAAATAAACCACGATCGCAATGCCGCTATGCTCCATATTCATCATTTCCCAATTTTAAAAAAGTCTGCAAAACACCTTTATCACAGCAGCTGCACATACATCTCGTATAGAAAACGAGTTGTATAAGAACCAGTTAATTGCCCGTTAGTTGACGGCTCTTTTTGTCCTCAAGTTAATGCATTAATGTATTAGTTCTATTAGGTAACATCATTATATAAAAGTAAGAGGATTTAGTTGAACTATATCGATCTCAGTTTTATCAAATTTAGCTAATAGGTAGAACATGTTAATAGGATTTTTTCAATTAGTTTTAACTGGCCAACATATTGAGCTACATATAAAAGTAATTCTTCCTCAAATACAACCTTGTTTTAACAACCAGCTACTTTTTTAGTACAAAAAGCGTTTGACTTCATCATTTGTTTAAAAATTAATGATGTACATTTTAAGCTACGTAAAGTCAGAAGTTCTACCTAATCTATTTACAATAATTGAAATTTAAGGAAAATGTTGTGAACGCGTATTGTTAGATTCTCAGCAATGCGAATAGATGATAAAACCACAAATTACATATTCCTGGGTGGCTAAGCATTAAACCATAACACAATGCCGCGCGCAAAATACTTTGAATACTTTACTAAATTTAGACATGTCGGCAACTTCTACCACAATAAACCAATCATAGACCACGTAGTTGGAAAATATTTAATGTTTTTAACACTATCATCACAACTCACAACCGAAAATCTGGCTGAACATTGGAAGAACAACAAACATTTACCACTGAAAACTTTAAACGTTACTTCTTGTAACCCTAAAAATAATTGAAATAAAATATTAACGATAATCTGCTATGAATGACATTCAACTCCATCTAGTAAGTTGGTAATACATGTCCCCAAAAGTAGTAATAACATCCCACTTTCTTTAGATAATATGACTCAATGTAAAATGGCAAAGAAACGTAAAGAACGTACAGCTTTCACAAAGCATCAAATTCAAGAATTGGAAAACGAATTCAATCGTAATAACTACTTGACACGACTACGGCGATACGAGATTGCTGTGAGTCTTGACCTAACCGAAAGACAAGTTAAAGTTTGGTTTCAAAATCGCAGAATGAAATGGAAACGAGTCAAGGGAGGAAAAAAACCCGAAAAAAAAATACCAGGGGGATATTATTCGCAGGATCATAATGGACTAGAAAACATCGTTCCCGAAATGAGAACGAACTTTTAACATTCTTACAATGTGGGTAACATCACACTACGAGCTCAAATGTGGCAACACATTTTATGAACAAGAATGTAAGCCGAATTACTTCTGAATCCAAAAATTTGAAGACTCCTCCAATGAAGACAACAAAAATTTACCTATACTACCAAGAATCATAAGGACATCCAAAGCTTATCATATATTACACCTAGTGAAGGCATTTTGTTGGATAATACTGAAGAGCATATAAAAATTAGTTTCTAGTTTTAAAGTCTTAACTGTAAATATTTTTAGTGAAATATCTTAGTGTTGCAATGTTAAAGCAGAAATGATGCAGCTAAGAAAAAATACAGCAAAAACTTAAACATGAACATGAGGAAAGAATTTGTCTTGTACAAAATTAACAATTGTTATTATAATTAAAAAACTAAATAACCATGTTAAGACACTGAAATCTTCTTGATACAATATGTTGGAAACAATAACGAAGGTCATTAGTACAGGTAGGATAGATACTATTATAGAAACTTAGTACAAGATTTATAAACAACTCAATAAACTAAGTGTTTATTAACTACCAACTACATGCAATAGTGCCAAAAAGCAAAGAGATTTGGAGAGGAACTTTCACTTTGATCTTCAAGGTAAAGTATAGTTCGAAAAAATGATATGACGATGACAGCAATGAAACGAAATCTTGCTGTCCATAAACCAGAAGATAGGAACTCCTTTATTTACAAAATATCTTGAAACCAGGAATGTGAACCGCCTATATAAGTCGTCCTTCTGTATGTACAGCAGTTTTTCTACAGACATTATTCAGAAGTTAAAAGCAGTCTTTTTATTCATCTGTAATAAAAAATAGAAAATCTTCACAGCTTTAACACGACATGAGTCGAGAGTATGGCATATAACAATGAAAAATTGTAATTTGTTTTGTTTAATAGTACGTACGATAAATTCAAAATATGATGGAAATAATCATTTTATTTTATTATATGGTACATATGTATGGTAGGTATATTATGGTATGTATGGTACATATGAATACATTTATAAAATAACAACATTACGCGTGCGCTGATTGGTCTATAGCTTTAGCCTATGCAAATGTTGGAAACCGATCTCATCCCAAGCAATTAAATCAATTAGAGAGAATCTGTAAATCAATCATCAATACATGCTAGAGAAAAAAATCAACATATTTATTGCAAATTTATCTGTTTCACATTCTTGCAAGTAAGAGTTTTTTGTGTTTGTACAGTAAATGTGTGTGTGTGTGTGGTGGTGGGTGGGTGTAATTATGGCAGCTATGTAGCTATACGTAAATCTTTCGATGATATATATTCTGTAGAATCCACACACATATTCTTTAAATTTAAGGAATCATCCTACATTTAACGTTTTGCACTAAATACAAACGAAAATGCCGTTCGGTCAGTTTTCATCAATTTTTGCTCAGAGACGATAAAATAGTGAATTAACGATGAAGCGCAAAGCCTTTCTCGTATGGCAGTATAGTTGATATGTTAATGAGCGATTACGAGATGTTGATAAAACATTTCCCGTAATTATAACATGAAATACAGTATTGGAATAAATTATGGAAACACGTTACGAATGTATCAAAACAATGAAGCAGAGTATGTTTATTTCCTATGAAATTGAAACATATTTATCTACTGGACATTTGACTCTTAGAATAGATGGATAATTAACACAGTTTAAGCTTAATGCTTAGAGTGGAACGCTCAAACTTTTACACAGCTCTTTCACACGATTGGGGACACTGGCATATAAACTTTGAATAAACATAAGTGGAATGTTTTTCCAGATGTCCTGAAGCACATTCTACAGTTGTTGTAAGTTTGTTGGAGGTCGCTTCAATTTTTCCGTCTCCATTTAAGTCCACACCTGCTCAATAATGTTCATAGCAGGACTTTGGGCGGGTCAATTCAGAACGGTGAACATGCCATCACGCATACTGTTCCCCAGCCGGTACTGTTTGATTACCCTGGCTGTGTGCTTGGGGTCGTTGTCCTGTTCTCCAGGTACTGATTGATTACCCTAGCTGTGTGCTTGGGGTCGTTGTCCTGTTCTCCAGGTACTGTTTGATTACCCTAGCTGTGTGCTTGGGGTCGTTGTCCTGTTCTCCAGGTACTGATTGGTTACCCTAGCTGTGTGCTTGGGGTCGTTGTCCTGTTTTCCAGGTACTGATTGATTACCCTAGCTGTGTGCTTGGGGTCGTTGTCCTGTTCTCCAGGTACTGTTTGATTACCCTAGCTGTGTGCTTGGGGTCGTTGTCCTGTTCTCCAGGTACTGATTGGTTACCCTAGCTGTGTGCTTGGGGTCGTTGTCCTGTTTTCCAGGTACTGATTGATTACCCTAGCTGTGTGCTTGGGGTCGTTGTCCTGTTCTCCAGGTACTGATTGATTACCCTAGCTGTGTGCTTGGGGTCGTTGTCCTGTTCTCCAGGTACTGTTTGATTACCCTAGCTGTGTGCTTGGGGTCGTTGTCCTGTTCTCCAGGTACTGTTTGATTACCCTAGCTGTGTGCTTGGGGTCGTTGTCCTGTTGGAGAATGAAGTTATCACCAATAAGAGCCCTTCCTGTAGGAACAGCGTGGTGGATAAATATCTGTCTATACTTGACTGCTGTCAGAGTATCAGTGATTTTGTACAGCTTTTCAATCCCACTGTAGGTTATGTACCACAGACTTGAAGTTATCTTCCACCATGCTTCACAGTTGGCAAAATACAGTTAACGTTGTATCTCTCTCATCTACGTCGACGAACGTACTGCCGCAAATTATTTCCAAACAATTCAAACTTTTTATCGTCTGTGAGCATCACATTTCCCCACTGCTCAAGTGTCCATCATTTGTGATATTTAGCCCATAACAGTGTTTTCTGTTTGTTGCCATTCCGGAGCAAAGACTTCCGTACAGCTACATAACCTGCTAGACCAGCAGCCGTCCAAAGTTTTTCGAACAAGTCTTGGGGACATTTTTTCCTTGTTGCATTTTCAAGATTTTGTGTTAGTTCTTTAATGGACTTTTGCCTGTTTCTTATGGACGTCATTTTCAGGTACTGTTCAAATGACTTAGAAAGTTTTTTCCTCCTAGTGCGTCCAGGATTACTTTTGAAATTGCCGTTCTGTTTATAGCGATGAACACATTTAAAAACCGTGCTTGCTGAAACTGCCATTCGGTTTGCAATCTGCCGGAAGGAATACCCTTCGTCATGCCAAATTTTCATCAGTGCCCTCTCCACTTCGGTTGTTTCCTTCGTTGGTGCCATTATGGTTTGTATATTGTTACCAACACAGGGATGTGGGTAAAATTTATATACTGAACATGAGTCCTATAGTTACGGTTTTTGTTACAACAGCTATCTAACTATTTAACTTGTCCATTTTTCCATCACTGCAATAGTTTTTATGGTCACATTTGTTATTTATTACACATTTTTTGATGTTTCCATAATTTATTCCAATACTTTACATCAACGCCAGTGTTCTTTTCTAAAGTTAATAGGCTAAAGTAAATAGGTAAAGTGAATAAAGTACACTGGTGTTTTCCATAGTAAACAGAATGATGGAAACAAATAATCAAATCAACACTCAAGTACATTCTTGTGGATATGCTTTATATTTGACAACTAAGAGAACAGTGTGAAACAACAACTAATGAGTTTTACAACAGTTGTGAATCTTGTGATGTGTATTACAAAAGAATTTCTTGACTTTTACATATTTCATGACCTTTGCAGTGCAGTTTAAATGATTCTTTCAAGAAACATACCACGTAGGGCGTGCTGGGTTTCACACAAGTATTACCAAATAAATATGTCAAAAAAAGAAGTAAATGACATTTTCCATTTATATTAAGAAAATATTAGTCCATTTATATTGAGATGGCATATGTATAAGAATTAAAAGACAAAGTGATGTAAAGGAATTATTAAACTACTTTTCATACAAGGTTTTCAAAATATTTCTCCTGTAACATAATGGGCATAGCCAGCTTATATAATTTGGGGACCAGTATTCATATATTCATGTTTAACCAACCATATTAAGTTTCTTTGCAATCAATTGTTTTCTGTAGATTACATAACGTGCATATATAAACATTGCCCTCACCACCTCACCTCAAAAAAAATAAATTATCAAGGCTAGCTAAAGCACTGCAATGCCATGCCAAAATATAAATGCCATAGTTAGAATTAACATGGTTACCTTTCTTGTCTGTATCTTCATCATTCTCATTTCTTTGTATCCAAGTGACACGATCTTCATAAAATTTGATGACAGTTTGAGGACATTTTAAGTTACATTCTTTAGCAAGAACAAGATCAGCATCATCTGAACCTTTCCTACATACATAAAACGATGAATGTTTATTGAATCTTTCACATTAAACAATCTCTATAAATACTTCATTGATTTATCACCATTTAACAAGAAAATGAATTTCTTTATCAACTTCTGTGGCACCAAGTATTTTATCTGCTTCAAGCCCGCGATCAAAACCTGAAATTTGATCAACTTCTTGACCATTTGAAGGTAAAACTTCAATTTCGTTTTCTGTTGTTGACTTATCACCTTCACCATTTAATGAATCTGACTTGCTTGACTTTGATGAGGTTTTTTTCTTCTTTTTAACTTTTCTAAAATAATTTAAGAAATATGTTTGATATTTCTAAAACAACTTTCGTTTTTTAAATATACACAATTGAAAACATTTTAAATAAATTGTGGTGCTTGGAGTTTAAGCAGCTTACAAATATTTGCAATGGGAAAGCAAACTGTCTAATGCAAATGTATTAATAATAATCATCACTATCTTCAGCATCAACTGCATCCTCCAATAAATAAAGTAACTAGACAATTGGATTTTTTACATTTGATTTTGCTTGGAATCACCTACCAAAGTAAACCGTTCTCATGTAGAGCCCTCCACCTTAAAAGAAAGTTTTCACAGTGCATTTTATCTAATGCAATGAAGCAACGTCAATAATCCAGGTAATTGAAGTGACTTTTTGTTTAACATTTTAAATGGATAGTGATAGCTTTTATTGAGTTTAAAACACAAAATTATGTATATGAAAGTAGGACAGTAGCTGCTATCCCTATGTGAAAAAATCACATTAAACAAATGTAACATCCACCACATTGGAAACTGCATTAAACTACAGTAAGCCTTACGTTTTCAAAGGTCTTTCGTGGCTTATGACCGAACTAGATTCTTCTGCTTTTCTTTTACGAGATTCACTAGTTATTTCTCTGGGTGCAACATCGCGTGATTTTTTGAATTCCTCGAGTAAGTCCGGACAATCGAGATTTTCAGCTGGTTCCCATGTGTTATCTAACGAAGAGTAACCCTTCCATTTTAAAAAATATTCATGTTTACCGTCTACCACACGTTCATCGACTATTTTCTCGACAACATAATCTTCTTCCTCTTCTTCTTGCTTGAGCTTCTGTTGATTTTTGCGTTTTCCCATTTCCAAAAAATACAACAAACATTTAATTGCAATCAAAGTTTTGAATCAAACTCCCAACCAAAATGGCGCTTGTTCGTCCACGTGACACAAGTTTCTTTCCACGCGTGGAAAATTTTGCTGTAGCCAATCAGAGAAGATTATTTCGAATACAGGCGCCAAAAATGTACGAATAAATAAAATATATTTAATTTTATTCTGCTCAATTTTTATTCTACAGATGTGCAAAATGCAGATAAACACCTGCAAAATTTTGTAAAAATAGTACTCCTAAGTAAATTACAGTTCTTCTTTGGTGGGCTGTGAAGGCAAACGATTGAAAAAAGATTCAAATTCTTCAGAAGTTCTAGATTTTTCATATTTCATGGCGAAATTTCCAAAGTTATAATATTTTATTGTTGGATAGTCATTAATCTCTTCTTTGCTGCACAAAACTAGAAAATGAATAACAATTGACACGTGAGAGCCATGATAAAAAAAACATAATAACTTTATAACTATTTTTATTCTTCTTCATTAATGACTTATAATGCCGTGTTGGCATAAAGTTACACGGTCATTCAGATATCGGTGGAATATTTTACAATTGAGAAAAATTTAACCTGTTTCTTTAGAACAATCAACAGCAGCAAACTTTTTATTGTTTTCTTTCAAAAGTTTCATCGCCGCATCTTCAAATTGAGGTTTGGCTATCTTACAATTACCACACCCTGAATAACAAAACAAACATCTCAATGATACAATGCAAATCGTCAAAATAACGGAAATAAATGCTTTTCATTGTTGGTAACACAAATATTTGGAGTTGAGTTATTAAATCGTCAAAAAAACATAATTTATCACAAAATACATACAGTAACAATTATGAAGTGATCGACAGAACATTTCATGTAGAAATGTAAAACTTACATGGAACATAAAACATAACCAAAGAATGTTGAACGTTTACTAAGTCCTTTTCAAAAGTATCCTTAGTCAATACATTAACAGCAGCAAATTCATTAAGTTTCTCAGAACCATTGTCGTCAATCTCTTTCACATCTTTCCTATAGATTATAAAATTAAGCATAAGTAAAAATCACTTGCAAACATGGTTAAAATATGTTTTGTATACAAAATTATTGCTGTGCTGTAATTGAAATATATGCAGCTTAAAGAGAAATCTTGTCATCGTGTTCATGTGACAGACACGATTCCTATTTCGATTCAAATGTATTCAGTTGGGCAGATTTTTCAAGTATAAGTTTATATAAACATAAAATCACAAACAGTTAGATATACATGGCAAAGTTCTCCACAACAATTTCAAAGATTACAGTTTTTCCTGAGTATTTTTATAAGAAAAGTCCTGCTAGTTTATGAAATCTGTAAATTTGTAATATGATTCATAGCTAAAATGCATACTTTAACATATAGTACATAAATCATTCAATGCCAGGCAAAAACTTACAGTTTCACAAATTTTATGATATCATCTTTACTTCTATTTCCATCATATTCTTCAATAAACTGGCCATATCTTTATACATAAAATCAAAATGATAAAAAATCAAATGAAGAAAAAAACATATGTTTATTCAATGGAAAGCTTACATACCTGAAGAATTTTACTGCAAATGAAACGAGAAAATGAGAAGACATTAAGTAAACAAAAAGTTTAAGCTATTTCTCAATTTTTATAAAAACTAATGCATACTTGTTGGATATCCAGTCGTTACATACTCTTTACTGTATTTTGAATGAATAGTTGCATCCATTGCAGCAAGTATTATAGTGGACTATTAAACATGAAAAAATGTACTTAAGAAAAATCTTATGAAAGATCAACCATAGTATGAGCTCTGAATAAAGTATTCACTTATGTAATAACATATTTTTTCTCACTTTTTCGTCATGAAGTTGTTGTGCAGCAGCAATATAGTCAGGTTTCATTCTTACACAATAACCACATCCTACAAACAGCAATTATTGTCACTAACATAGCCTCGCATAAAGTAAAAAATCTTTTCAAATGTTTAACATTATAAAATTATACATACTTGGAGAGTAAAACATCACAAGAACAGATTTTTGAGAATTTAATACTTCTAGAAAATTATCATCGTTTAAATGGCGAACTTTGCCAGGCACAAAACTCCACTCTGGCTCAGGTCCCTGTGGACTAATAAGTTCCTTTTCATCAATAAAAAAAGATATTTGGAAAGAAAACAGGATTGCTTCTCATATGAAATGAATTACTTTTTTAAAAACGTATCAAAACTTTCAGCAGTTCTTGGCAAGTTGTATTTAAACAAATCTTCTCCTTCCCTTCAACAAGAAAAATAAACGACGTTAACATGGACTGTTAAATAACATCTTTACACAATGTTTAATAAATGTAAGTTTTAATACTTACTTGAAATATTTAACTAAAAAAAAAGAAACAATCCCGAGTGAAATATGTGGGGAAAGAAGTATAAATAGAACATGTAAGAAAAATCAGAAAAATTTAAAAATCAACCGACAGTATATTTTCATTCGGGTTTTTGATAGCTTGCTGTATTGGTAATTAGTAATAATGCAGTTATCGCTCACTGGTTGTAAAAGTTATTGATAAATAAACTGTTCATTACTAAGATAAAGTAAACAGGAAGGTTTATAAATACTTACTAGTAGGATACCCTTTTATGTCGTATGTTTTACACAGATCAATTTCTTTTGTGCAGTCAACGGCTGCCATATAACCAACGTTCTGTTAAAGAAATCCTGTGACATCATACAAAAATTCTCTAGATCTAGATATCTCAAATACCAGAAATTGGACAGCAATACCTATGAATTAAAAAAATAACTACGTTGTGTTCTTAAGTTATTTAAATATGAAACCTTTTTTGCAGCATTTTCGTATTCCGGTTTTGTTTTCTTACAATGAGCACACCCTAAATGGAATGACAGATGGATAACATACTAGCAAATGTTAAAATACTGGAAAAACGAAAATACTGACAACAAACAGATACAGAGAACAGTACTGGTGGTAAGATGGATATTTAAACTAAGGATATCAAATGTGTAAAACATAAATTACTACAATTATAATATGAAAATAAACACATCTTCTAAATTTGTGGATGTACATCACAAAAACTTACATGGAGCATAAAACATAACAAGAACAGAGTTATGACTTTCAATGTAATCATTAAAATCATTTTCAGTTAAATGAACAACATGGGTATCTTCATCACTCCATTGTAACTCGTTCTTCACGGTCTTTGCAGGATTATAAGTTTCAGATGGACTATTTGAAAATTAAATTATAGCACAATAAGTAATTAATAATTGATATGTACTAGTTAGAACAAAAATTTAATTTTCATGAACGTCTTTTGTTTGTTGACTTCCAGCACGAATTCGACGACTAACTTAAAATTTTTACGTTTTAGTTTTTTAAAATACTAAAAGTTTATAATTAGCTAAGTTCTTGCCAACTTTCTAAAAAATAATTTAACACGTATAATTCAATGTTAGAAAAAGTATATGTTAGATAGGGTTATGTACTCACTCTTTTTCGTAACCAAGAACAAAATTATGACATTTGACAAAATACTAATATAAATAATATCATTTCGTAATTGAAGTGATTCCGTTGAGGATATTCTTTAGAAACTCGTTTCCCTCCAACATGAGAAAAAAACGGATTCAACATCATTATTTACCTTCTCATAAAATCAACTAGATCATCTTTCTTTCTTGATCGCGGGTAATCAAACACGTACTTTCCATTTCTGTACAGGAAAAAATGTTGCAGTTAAATTCATATTGCTTATTTCGTTAAATAGATCGCGATTGAAGTCATAATTCCATAAATTTAGCTATATGACTTACTTGAAGTATTTCACTGATTGATCATTCATACAACAGAAAAAGGGCATTAGAATAAGATAGAATGAAATGTAATGAGAGAAATTCAGTGTAAACTGAAATGAAATTTTTATCCATATCATACCAGAAGGATAACTATTGATTTCAAACTTAGATCTCAATTCCTGTTCGTTCAAACAATCAACTGCTCCGAAAACACCGTTGATCTGCAGAACACAACCAGAAATAACTTTAAATTATAAACTACAAAGATATCAAAGAGCTTGTTTTTAAAGATTGTAATTAAATTAAATCATGTCATGATGATATCAGTAAATTATTTTTAACAAAAAATTCTAAAAATCCTGGCTACACGTTCATGTATCAAATCAACAATAAAATCATTCAATACCTTCTTTGCTTTCAATTCGTTTGCTGCCTCAATAAATGTGGGTTTCATTGCTTTGCAATGGCTACACCCTACAAAAAATTTTTTTTAAAAATTAACATGTTGTGTTGCTTTAGCTCTTAAGGTACTTGAACGCTCTCATGATATCAACATACTTCAGCCGCCCTTTTACACTTGTTACAAAACACAAGCAGCAACTGCTTAGAAATTATTGTTACAAAACACAAGCAGCCACTTTTTAGAAACAATTGTTACAAAACACAAGTAGCCACTGCTTAGAAATTATTGTTACAAAACACAAGTAGCCACTTTTTAGAAACAATTGTTACAAAACACAAGTAGCCACTTTTTAGAAACAATTGTTACAAAACACAAGTAGCCACTGCTTAGAAATTATTGTTACAAAACACAAGCAGCCACTTTTTAAAAACAATTGTTACAAAACACAAGTAGCCACTGCTTAGAAATTATTGTTACAAAACACAAGCAGCCACTGCTTAGAAACTATTAATACGTCAATAACTAAGATAACGTCAATAAAACACCACATTTTACAATACTTTCCACGATAATGTCAACGAAAAATTACACGAAATCATTACCAGAAAAATATAAATGAAACTTACAAGGTGCATAAAACATAACCAAGACAGAATCATGTTTTGAAATGAAATCATCAAAGTTTCCATCATTCAAATGGTAAACAGCACCAGATTCATCAGACCATAGATCCTCCCGATTGACAGTAGATCCAACTTGTAAACTATTTACAAACTTTACAAAATCTTCTTTAGTTCGTCCACCAGTATACTTGTCGTCATTCTTACCATAGTTAAAATATTTGAACGTTGGATAGCTACAAACCATAAAATGAGCGCGCATAAAAATCCAACACAATGCATCAAAGCTATTGTATTTTTACAGTGTAGCGTCGATAATATCATTTGGCAAGAGTGAACTTACAGCAAAAAATTTGTGTCACTTGTTCATTTCGTTAACATATCAAGCCCGAAATTCAATTTTAAGACAACGACAATTTACACTTTTGTAACGACTAACAAAAATTGCGTGAAAACCAAATCTTGAAAATTGCTGCCTGTTTATGGGTTATAATGACGCGTTGATGTAATATGCCCAATTACTTCACCATGAATAATAGCACAAATTTTCAAGTTGCACTTACGTACGGCATTGAAAAGAAAAACTAAAATAACAACATACGGCCAAAAATACATACCCTTGGACATCATGATCTTTGCATGTCCCAATTTCCTTTGTACAGTCCACAGCTGAAAATGCAATCTATAAATAGATAATTACCATTCTTTAAGCACAAAAACAACATTCCTTTCAGAGCATAGAAAAAATTAAACCTTTTTATGTCCAACAAAATGACTTGCAGCTTCAGTAAACTCCGGTTTTGCTTTCTTACAATGACCACACCCTTGAGAACAATTACTTGTTCATTTAAGTCCGTTGATGTGCATTAAGCAAAAATAGAACTGTAAGTACATACAACTTATAAAGACTGAGTAGAGAACTCGCATAGAGACAGAGGACAGATTATTACATAAACACTGTAAACAAATAACTTGTATAAACACTGTGAAAAATGAACTAAACATAAAAACTGTGAGTAGAGAAGTTATATAAAGAATTTTAGTGGATAGTTTCAATCAAGAATGGAAGTAGACAACCTACATGGAGCATAAAACATCACCAAAACATGCTTCTTTTTCTTTATAAAGTCTTTAAAATTATCATCTTGCAAATGAACGACGTCACTTTGCAATTCGCTCCATTCAGGTTCTGCAGGTGGAGGAGGCGGTGGTTCTTTTGGACTTCATGAAAATAAAATACTAATAATGTTCACAAACTCCAAATATTTACTAAAACGCGAATTCCAGCTTCATGAGTCAATAACGGGATAAATTAATAATGAGAAATTAATAAGAACATCTTTTGAAAAAATAATTTAGACTTACTCTTTCATAAAATCGACTATTGCGTTTGCTTTACGTTCATTGATATCAAAAGCAAATTCTCCACCTCTACATAAATTGAACAATTCAATTAAGATAGCTTAAAGAACGTCAATGTAGCTAAATAAAATAATAAATGAAAGTTTCTTACTTAAAATACTTGACTGTTGCCACAATGACGTTGAAATAAAAGAAAAAAACGATCAATCAAAATTCCCAATAGACAATTGAACTACAATGTAATACTGTCAATTTCTCTTCATTTTTTTTTCTTACCGGTGGGAAATCCTTTAACTTTAAATCTCTCGCCCAGATCAGTCTCCTTAGTCGCATCTACAGCAGCCAACGTTCCATTAATCTGTGGAGTTAGTATAGACATAATATTTTAACAATGCTCAGTGACAAATTGACATAAATACTTCTAAAGTAAAAAACTTTGTCACATTTTATATTAACTAACTTACATTTTCATTCCTTAATGTATAAGCTGCATTAACATATTCAGGTTTCATAGCTTTACAATGACCACACCCTAAAATCAACAAATTTTGTTACGTATATAACAACATATCTAGAGGCAAAACCACATGGCAAATGCAATTCCAGTTAAAAACATGTTATGAATATTTACATGGAGCATAAAACATGACAAGAACTGAAGGATTTGACGCAATATATCCATCAAATGTTTCATCTGTTAAATGAACAACTTCACTAGGAATGTCTTTCCATTCTTCTCCTTCTTCGTCAACAGGATTATTATCTGAAGGGCTAAAATGCACCAATTCTTAGAAACGAAGTTAAATGAAATAAAAGACTAAAGTATAACAAAAAATGAAGTTTTAAATTTAGACCACTTCCGATTAAGACACTAAAGAGATTGTTAAATAAATATGTCAGGTTATGAACAAATGGAATAATCAAAGTTTGCTATAAACACCTAAGCAACCACTCCATTAAAGGTTCCTTTTCATGTTTTCCCTTGTATCTGTATAACTCCTTTCCATTCCTAAAACAACAACAGAGACATTTATTCAACGTCATCAAACAGATAAATATATCATATTTCTCTAGAAAATAACATACTTGAAGTAAATCAATGTTGGGAATCCAGTGATATTAAATTGTACTCTAGTGCTCATGCTTTCCGCCTTGTCCACATTCATTCCAGCAAGGAGCTTTGAAAGAATACAATTCAAAAAAAGAAATTACACCTTCAATTTTAAAGTATCTTTAAAATATATTAACATTTATAACTTACAACAAATTGTCTCATTTCAGTTGCAATTTCTTGATAAACAGGTTTCAGCCTCTTACAAAATCCACACCCTAAAAATTTTTACGATTTCTTACCACAAAACCTGTCTATCAAAACAACAAAATTGCAGTTCACAGTTTAATCAATCTCCAAGAAAAGGGCATGCACATGCCAATTGAACCATGCACATCCCAATTTTTGATCTTATAACCACTTCTTTTTTTAGAACTTTATTGTTTTCTAAATAAGTGAACACAGAAATATTTTTATAGGAGAAGTAAAATAGCAGACAGGCAACATCACTGATGTATAATATATTTAAACATGAAGTGTTTTCGCTAGCTAAAACAAAAACAAACATACAAGGTGCATAGAACATGACAAAAATTGGTTTCTTTTCTTTGTTGATCAATTTGGCAAAATCCTGGAAAAAAGATACACGTACGATGAAAAATTACGAACATCAATAAACATTCACTATTTCTTTATCATCAAAATTACTTTGTCGCCATCAAGATGTTGTATTGTCTCAGCACCAGGTTCCTCCTCCCAGGGCACATCTCCCATTGGATCATTCATAAAATTCGTTAAAGACTGCACAGAATATTAAATAAGATTAAAACAGTAAAATGCACACGTATGCTGATTGGTCTATACTATAGACTCTATAGCTAAGCTTTTATCAGCCCACAGTAATCAAATTGATCTCAGCTCAATCAATAGATCAATCAAAAACAATTTGCAAACAAATCATAAAATTTAAGACTGATTAGCGAAAAATGAAGGCAAAAATTGTGAGCAAAATTTTAAATAATCATGGTCCAAATTCACTCAAACAGCTGTTCTCACATAAAGTGAAATAACAGAGTATAACCTCAGGGATGTATCAAATGGTCTTCATTTGCCGAAATCACATACAAATAATTTGAAAAAAAGTTTTATGTATGACAGTGCATTGCTTTGGAATTCAATTCAAATGAAATTTGGGAATGTGCATCAAAACTTTTTAAGACCTTGTTTGTGAAAACTTTCAAGTAGGTACAATCCTCAACCTATGGTCTCGGGCTTGCACTGATCAGCTCTCAAGTTCTCCCAAAGGTCTCCTCGGTTTGCATAAGCCTGTGCAAACACAGTAAATATCTTTTATTTATTAAAGTGAAGTTTGCAATACTCTCATCAAGTGCAATTTGTTTTGGCTGAAAGTATCAAAATGGCACAAATTTATTTTGAAATGACTTGTTATGGGTGAGTATTGTGAAACATCAATAGATATATGTATAGAACATTCATTGCTTTTCCTCACCTAAATCGAACTATGTGTGAGAAATGCAAACTACATCAAAAATTTTACATTGTTTGTTCATACCTTAATTGTATCTTTTCTATCATAATCTTTATTGAATTTGCCATTTCTAACAAATGGATATGTAAAAATAAACAGTTTGTCATACACAAACACTTAAGATACTGCAATGTATTAGATATAATGTCTTACTTGTAATGTTTCATTACTGGGCCATACTTTGTTGAAATTTTGAACTTCTTACACAATTTTGAGCACTCTCTAAAGAATTAAGAAAATATGCATAGCACATCCAAATGCAGCAATTGCATTACAGCAGGTATGCAAAGCTTACAGTATCGCTCACGCATAACTTAACACTTTAATTTTTGCGTATGATACAGGTAAGATATGTTTTTATATATTATATTTTTATAAAAATATAATGTGCGTTTGATACGTGTTGGATACGCGTAGCATATGCACTGATTATACATTATTATTAATTTTATTACTTCAAACTTATTTTGACACGATAAAAAACAAATGGCTGTAATTTCTCGCTCTCACAAATCACGAACGCAAAATATTCGGACGCAGGTCAAGCATAAATAGTTTATTCCTAAAGGGCAAAGAGGGCATTTCATTTGGGAAATGTGCGAAGAAACGTAAAAATGTGAACGTTTTATTGCCGTAAAATGACGAGCAGCCGGGCTTTTAATAAATCTCAGCGGTTCCAAAAGAGCACTGAATAGATAAAAGACGTTTAATAGAGAGGGGCGTTTACATCAATTTATTGAAAAAATGGCATCGAAAATTAAGAAAAATTTGGGAACGGAAGAAAATGAAAAAAAATCAGTGACAGCTATCTCATAAAATTGCATTGAACAGATATGTCATTAACATCAACTTTACAAAACAAACATTGTCATTACTACGTACATGTTGTTTTATTCAAAATAATACATGGAAAAGTTAAATTATTATAAACAAAAGTAATAAAAATAGACCAGGAGGAGAAATGGGGGTATCGTCACCAAACGGGGAATTAACTACTGTAGATTTTTGTGTTCAATATTGGGGCGCTGATTTCATAAATGGAAATTATACAGGAAAGTTCGGGGCTTTCAGTCTCGTTTTCATGAAAATAATCGTTATTTTTTAGCTTTATATCCAACAAACATACTCTTTGACATTGTAGACGTTTAAATATATTGAAAGAGAGAGAATTTTAGTATACAAGGCCTAAAAAATATAAAAACTTTTAGTTTTTAAGATTTGTCTTAATTTTTAATGGTTTTGGATAAACGCCATTCCTTAGGTTTTTGGCAACGAATTTTACAGTTTTTTCATATTGAATAAATAGTTCCAATCGAATATAAACTAGCTAATGGTGTTTACAGATTTGTGTGGTTTTTGGAAACTGCAAATGAGTTTATTTGACTTGCTAATAAGTCATCACAGGCACCCCAAAAAGACAAATATAAAACTTATTACTGGTGTATAAAAACTGCTGCTGTTGCACCTGTAGAGGAGTTACGGTGAAGTTGCACTTGTAGAGGTAGTTACGGTGAGGTTGCACCTGTAGAGGGAGTTACGGTGAGGTTGCACCTGTAGAAGGAGTTACGGTGAAGTTGCACCTGTAGAGGTAGTTACGGTGAGGTTGCACTTGTAGAGGGAGTTACGGTGAGGTTGCACTTGTAGAGGGAGTTACGGTGAAGTTGCACCTGTAGAGGTAGTTACGGTGAGGTTGCACTTGTAGAGGAGTTACGGTGAGGTTGCACTTGTAGAGGTAGTTACGGTGAGGTTGCACCTGTAGAGGTAGTTACGGTGAAGTTGCACTTGTAGAGGTAGTTACGGTGAGGTTGCACCTGTAGAGGTAGTTACGGTGAAGTTGCACCTGTAGAGGTAGTTACGGTGAGGTTGCACTTGTAGAGGGAGTTACGGTGAGGTTGCACTTGTAGAGGTAGTTACGGTGAGGTTGCACCTGTAGAGGTAGTTACGGTGAAGTTGCACTTGTAGAGGTAGTTACAGTGAGGTTGCACCTGTAGAGGTAGTTACGGTGAAGTTGCACCTGTAGAGGTAGTTACGGTGAAGTTGCACTTGTAGAGGTAGTTACGGTGAGGTTGCACCTGTAGAGGTAGTTACGGTGAGGTTGCACCTGTAGAGGTAGTTACGGTGAGGTTGCACCTGTAGAGGTAGTTACGGTGAAGTTGCACTTGTAGAGGTAGTTACGGTGAGGTTGCACCTGTAGAGGTAGTTACGGTGAAGTTGCACTTGTAGAGGTAGTTACGGTGAGGTTGCACCTGTAGAGGTAGTTACGGTGAGGTTGCACTTGTAGAGGTAGTTACGGTGAGGTTGCACTTGTAGAGGTTTACGGTGAGGTTGCACTTGTAGAGGTAGCTACGGTGAGGTTGCACCTGTAGAGGTAGTTACGGTGAAGTTGCACCTGTAGAGGTAGTTACGGTGAGGTTGCACTTGTAGAGGTAGTTACGGTGAAGTTGCACTTGTAGAGGTAGTTACGGTGAGGTTGCACCTGTAGAGGTAGTTACGGTGAGGTTGCACCTGTAGAGGGAGTTACGGTGAGGTTGCACTTGTAGAGGGAGTTACGGTGAGGTAGCACCTGTAGAGGTAGTTACGGTGAGGTTGCACCTGTAGAGGTAGTTACAGTGAGGTTGCACCTGTAGAGGTAGTTACGGTGAAGTTGCACCTGTAGAGGTAGTTACGGTGAAGTTGCACTTGTACAGGTAGTTACGGTGAGGTTGCACCTGTAGAGGTAGTTACGGTGAGGTTGCACCTGTAGAGGTAGTTACGGTGAGGTTGCACCTGTAGAGGTAGTTACGGTGAGGTTGCACCTGTAGAGGGAGTTACGGTGAGGTTGCACCTGTAGAGGTAGTTACGGTGAGGTTGCACCTGTAGAGGTAGTTACGGTGAGGTTGCACCTGTAGAGGGAGTTACGGTGAGGTCACCTTCTCGTGACAGTAACATTTTAGCAGTTTTTATAGCACACAATTTTGAAAAAATACAGTTAACACGAGGACTTCGATGACTCTTCATTACATTCGAAAACGGGCAGTGATATCTCCAAGCAATTTTAGCAAATAATCATGTCTCCAATTACATATTAAGTAACGTTAGATTGCGTTAGAAAAGCAATGCTGAAGAAAACTGAGAACATCGAACAAATTGCTGAACTAGAAAACACTGCCATGTTATGTGACAGTACTCAGTAACGTATCGAGAAATTTCTACACGTCCTTCACAGAGACAAAAAGGTCGTATCCACAGACGAAGTGTGCTGTAACTTTCATCACGATGGTTTATATCTGAACTTCTTGTCAATGTAGAAGACATGAATGTCTAAGAAACCTATGCATGATCATGGCGACATTTTATATGATGACTGATTAGCAAGTTTTGTTTGTTCAACCCATTTAGCTACTGGGTCCAAAAAACCATATAAATTTTTATAAACACTTCCACCTTTAGTTTATATATGATAAGAAATAGTTATACAGTTTCAATAGCTGTAATATTTGTTTTAAAAAAACTTTTTTGCAAAAGTACGCAAGGAAATGACGTTTATCAATATTCATTAACAATTTAGACATATCTTGAAAACTAAATTATTTTAGCCCTTCTATACTGAAATTTTCTTTCTTTAGACATATTTAAGCATCTTACAATGTCAAAGCGTATGTTTCTTGGAAATAAAGTTATAAAATAACGATTTTCATGAAAACGAAGCTGAAAGCCCCCAAAATTGCCCGTATAACATCGATAAAAAGTTTACTCCAGTTAATTCCTGTTGGGGGACGGTACCCACTTTCTCTGAACGGTCTAAAATGTAATTTTCCAAATTACACTCAAATTAAGTAAGCCATTATGTATGTATAATTTACGAAGATAGTTACGTACGTAGCATACACCTGATTGTTGTTTGCTAAAATCTACAAAATATATTTTCAAAGGAGTACTTACCCACAGTCAATAAAAGCAACAGATCCTTTCCCTTTTATATTGTAAGCCAATGTCCCCAACAAGTTCAGCTTATCAAATACTTCCCTTTCTACAATAATTATACAAACAAAAGCAATAAATACAACTTCCTAACACAATATGCCATTCATTTTAAAGATTCACTAGATTGACTTTCCACCAGGAAAATCAATAAATACAAGAATTAAAATCAATGTTCTAGATTTGCTTGATCTTTGACCAAAAATATGACTAAAGCATAGTAACTTTGACAGAATTGTTTTAAACAAAACTACATTAGCATGGTGTAGCAAATATTGGGTGGAAAATAATAAAATGTGCAACTAATCAGAATCCTAACTGCCACCATGCACAAAGCAAAGAAGGTTATGTTATTTTTATAAAAGTTGCACCAACCTTACAGGCAAATGTGCAATTTAACATCATTCATTCATAATCACAAAAAACACACATAAATACAAAGCATATGACAACAATGTAGGTACTTGCGCAAAAGATTTACTATTTTAATAGAATATGCCACACTGCAGGTAAAGATAAAATAAAGCTGATACAGCAAGATCTAGTGGAAAATATAGTGCTTGATATATAAACTAACAGTTTCATAAAAATTTCATGACAGTTTTTTCCACTATGAAACTGCTGACAATTAGCAGTCAGTGAGCCTGCAGATTGAAAGACCAGTTTGACATCTCACATCCATTCCATATGAAACATAAAATTAAATTTTTAAAACCTCTAATTTTCATAAATCATTTATAAACAGGTCAACTAGTGTGGAATATTCTGCCATACAATCTGTTCAGGAACAAACTTCTCTTTAATCAGTTTAAATGTGATTTTCTGAAATACTAAGAACATGCTACAAAAAATACTTATAATGCAGAGAATTACAATGTGTCGTGACTTGTCCAGTGCTAAAATGTCTTGCTATTTTTAAGAAACTATTTTATGTTTGTCAGTTTGGTAATGATATTTTGGGGATTGTTATATCATGGAAAAGCTATTGCCATTACACCACTGTATAAACAGAAAAGTTAAACAAACAAAATAATACTTTGATCTGATATACAGATGAAATTATAAAATATCACCATACACTAAAGTACATTTAATACTACTTCATAATGATACATCAATACCTGACTGGGAGAATAATACCAAAAGATTTGTGTGTGTTTTCATAATTTTCTTGAAGTATTTGACATCATTAATAATAATAATATCTTTTCTCTCATTTCTATTACTTTTCTTTGAGTCTACAGCACATAAATACTACAAAGTGACAAGAATGTAGAAATAAAAAAATTGACTACATGTCAATTGCTCATTTGATTTTGAAATAAATACAAACAATAAGCTATCTTTACTCACTAGAATGAACATGATGGAAAGTATCTTCATAGTTGATATTTCATAAATTTGAACATAAATATAAAGTAAAGAAAATGAGATGCCACGTGAAACTATTTATGACTATCACCATTCATATGTCTCACTTCAGACATGAGAACATCTCCCGGAAGACTGGGAACCCTGGTACATCAGTGCACACGGAAGTGGCCTTGGCCGAGACTCAATTAAACAAACACAAAAGATCATTGAAAATTTCACATTTACAGATTTAGTAGCAGCTAGCAGGTTTAAACCGTCGGGTTTAACTATTTTACATTTGCTAGTTATCTGATTCCACAATACACACATTCACATATTCACTTTCTGGCTTATATAATTTGGAGTCAATTAAGCTCCCAAATCCTTGAATAACAGGAGCCTGCCAAACTTTGCCTAAACTTTACTTCGTAACTCGTACCTCGGTAACCGAGTATTCTACCACTTCCTTCAAGCTCTTCAACAGTATTTTCTCTTTGTTTCAAGCCCAAATTCTCTGAGCTTATTCAAAAGTGTTCTGGAGATTTTCATATAATGATACTTCACAAAAAACTGTACAATCGTGTCATTAATGTACTATTTTAAGATATAGTGTCTAATTTTTTCATCCATTTTACTACAAACAACTTAAAAAGAACTTTGAATATTTGGACCTTAGCGTGCGAGTATTTTCTTTTGTATGCATGTGCGTGATTTTGTATGCGTGTTTGCACTTATGGGCCACCGTAAAGCGTAAAGTTACCGTTTTGGACAAATCACTCATTTTACTCCAAAAAGCTAAACCTCATTCGTGAAGGATAGTCCCAGCTACACGCACCAAAACAGGACGATCAATAATCATGTCCATGCCAGACTTATACAGCATCAACATGATTGATTGTGTCGCTGCACAATAAAAATTAAACCATATATTTTTAAGTCAGCGGGCAGTTTTTTCATGGTACGAACTACGAAAACAATAAATTACTTGGGTAACACGTTTCCAATCGTTGCATCATCGTTTTCTAAATAATTGCAAGTCTGTCATTAATTTTCATTGGAAGCAGAAGATGGCTAGCATAGACGGTGAAAAACAATAACACATAATTTTTGTCCATAGATATTCTGAAATAATAAAACCATCATGAAAAACATGGGAACTTGGGATAGCAAACCATTTTTAACATCACTCTAACTTTTTAAGCCATTAATGCAGATTGAAATATGAACCTAGTCCACCATTTGCATACGCTGAACATCACGATATGTGTCACTACAAAAGAATTTAAGCCAAAATGGAAAAGCGATTTTCTTAAAACCAGCCCAACTTTTCAACCCTTTATTACAAACAAAAATATGAGATAAACCTATATTGCGTTGGAAGATGAATTTTAATAACATGGCATATAAAATCAACATATATTTAAAACTACTGGCTCCATTTGTCAAATTTCTTATGAAATAAAATATGAAGAAAAATCCATCTCAACAAATAAATACTACAAAAAAGTAATTCCACGCAGTTTCCTCTCAAAAAATTAGATCCATCATACCCACAAGTATTAGATCGATGAAGTGCACGACCAAGAACTAAAAGCTCCAATCAAGCGGTATTTTCTAAAACTGCTTCCACTTCATCCCAATTAATTTCATCGATTTGATTTGAAGCTGAGAAATCCTCACCAACGACTGCCTTCACTTCATCCTAAAGATGGCAATCAAAATACGCGCTGTAAGCAGACTATAATAAGTTAAAAAAGTCAGTTTTACTCACCAAAAGACCCGCAACTTCTTTTGACATTTCCCAACTTTCATCATCGTTAACTTAATAAATCAAAGTTGACAAATAACAACTAACAAATAAAAACAGACAAAAATTCATTTGTCGTACAGGTATCATCGAATTTGGGATGTTTATTGATTCAGATTCAATTTTTTCAACAGCACGTTGTTGCATGTTAGAGATATTTACCAAGACATTGACTTAAAATATTAACGATGACATTCATAAGCAGATTTATTGGAAGATGACAATGCTTACCTGATAAAACGTCTTGACTTCTGTGATACTCATTGTCAAAACTTTTAACTAAGTCATCCTCTAACATATTTTGAAGAAATCCCGGTGATTCAGTAATAACATCGTTAATCAATACTTGTAGCTCAGTATCTCCACTTAGCAAACTATCTAAATGATCAACATTTTTTATCTCATCAGGTGTAGATACATCATCAATTAATGCATCAATATCTTGCGACATATTAAAAGCGCTGTTCAAACTTCCATCGAAACTGTCAAATATTTTCTTTTGATAACTTTCATAGCTTTTTCTTGTTATGAATTCCTGATGCGCAAACTCCGTTCTATTGTTTCGGACAAACTTACTATCATCATGTATATCATAAGGTTGATCTAAATTCCCCACAATTGTCGAAGCCATTTTATCAAATAGCCTTTGTGTTCTCTGCACTTTATGGGGAGACATTTTTTTTGTTGTTTTCGCCCAAGTATTTATAAATCGTTTTTCTTTATAACGATCGTTAATTTTCGTCGGCCAAACATTCTTTTTTTTAGAGTTCTTAGTGATGAGTTCTGGTACAGAAGGCTTGTGTTCAATGACCATATCATTGATGAGATTGTACGCAGAAAGCACTCTTTCCTCTACATTTTCTTTCATTTGAGTCCTAAAAAAATTAACACACTTTAGAACGCATAGCTATAAACTTTATTCGTAAAATATTTGATGTTTTTTTTTATCTTTTTTACCAATATAGTTTCATAGAAATCTAAAGAAAATGAGTATGTTTCATCAAAATTTCATCTTTGACATATAAACTGTTTCTTCGTAAATTCTCACGAACAAAAAGTACCATGAAGTAACTATAGCTACCTTCTTTTGTTCAGCCGCTTTTTCTCTGACTGTTTAAGTTTCTTTGTTGACATGGAAGACTAAAAAATCAAATATTGAACGCATATCAGAGGGAAAATAAGATGAATTGACGGCAAAAAACTTATACCTGTTTACTGTTGTTTAGTTTATTTTGAAATGGTTTGAATTCCTTTTCCCGTTTTTCACATTGTTTCTGTGCCCATTCTTTGTGTCTTTCTTTCCTTTTTTTCATCATCCATTCATGAACTTTTTTTCCTTTCTCGTTTGGTAAACTTGTAAAAAAATTTAATAATTTATCTAGAATCGCTGACACGATTTACAGTCAATTTTAAAAAACAAACCTATGTTTCTTTACGACAGATTCTTTTGTCTTTGACATGCTTTCCTTTTTTGGGTGGCTTGATACGTCTGTAATGTCTTCAAAAACAGATTTGGGTCTAAAATGAAGAGATTACAGATTGCGAATGAATATCATTCAAAGTTATCAATATAAGACTACACAAGACAATCCTCATAGTATGCCGAAAAAAAATCAAGGAAGCAGCTTCCTAAAATACATCAGACAAGATATCATTACCTTGAATGCTGTGTATTGAGTTTCCTGTGAACATCTTGAACATCTTGTAAACTGCTTGTGCGTAATGCAAGTGATTCACTACTTTCGATTGGAACTTCATCTTTGATTACATTCTTCGGCTCACTAATTACGTCAGCTTTTTGTTCTTCGTCATATCTCTCAGATGGAGACCATACATAGACACAGAAAAACATATGTTGCACATACGTTATGAGGTAGACTACATACAGCATGATTGTCATGACTAAATACAGGTAATCATGGTTGTCGACTACATACACATCAACTACAAGACTACATACAGGTAATCATCATATACAGGTTGTCATCAAGACTACATTGTCATCAACTACATACATACAGGTAATCATCAACTACACCACATACAGGTTGTCAACAACTACAAGACTACATACAGATTGTCATCAACTACAAGACTACATACAGGTAATCATCAACTACACCACATACAGTTGTCATCAACTACAAGACTACATACAGGTAATCATCAACTACACCACATACAGGTTGTCAACAACTACAAGACCAGGTGGAAGCCAATTATAACATAACATACACTTCCTGACAACCATTACATAACACAACATAACATAGTGGTTGTTGCAACTAAAATATAACAAAAATACTGTTGCTAACGAAAACATAACATACGACATTTTTCACCTGTTTTGATATCACATGAGACATAATTTGCCAATGAATTTGTGGATTCATTAATCCATAATTTTGGTTCGAGATCGTACTTCTTTTTATCTTTTGATGCATCATGTTTCTTTCTCAGCATTACGTTATCGTCATCATTTCTTTCTCGTGACGTATCCAATAAATTGTCATTCTTCCAAATCATTTCATTGTTATAATCATCACATACACTAGCTTTCTCACTTATGTCACACATGTCATCATGGACGTCAGCAATACTTTGAATTGTGCGTAACAGCTAATGATTAAAGAAAGCAAAAGAACAACTGATATTAAACAATGTTCGAAGTTAACCTTTCATAGTTGTCTACAACCATCAAATAATATCCAATAGTATAACAGAATAGTTTCGACTATTTCTAGGCATTTACTCTCCGGAATCAGCGATAGTGCAAATTACTAGTAAAAGTTTTTAATGTCTAGCTTGAATATCCCATGAGTTCAGACACTAGTCTTTGTGCACCTCAAGCATGTTTTTGAAATATGATTATATATGATACCATATTTAATATTGATATGATTATATGATGAAGCACATTCAAAATTGAGTACAGTGGATGCACTTACATTATTTGAACGTTTCAAATCAGCTTCCATATTCGTTGATAATTGTTCAATTAGATCAAACTGTTCACTCATTTCACCTAGTCGTTGATAAAGTTTTTCTTTGGAGGATTTTTTAACTTGACCAGAGAAAATACGATTTTGTGACGTTATTCTACAAGTAAATCAAATATGAAAAATCTTTTCACGAGATTATAAAAGTAAGTCACTCATCTCCTAAGAAAAATTCATTGACAAGTAAACTAACCTTGAAAAAGGATCACCGTTAACTAAAGACATCTCTTGGTTCATTGAATCATTTATTGTAACATCAAGTAACACATCGCCGCTATTATTAATTGTTTCTTTAACAAGTTGAGCAGGATTATTTGGAAAGTTTGTACCTGAAAATAGTTCAATTCAAAAAGGCATCAAACGACTTGTCGCACAACGCGTCACAATATTGAGAAACAATACGAAAAAAGACCACACGGACAAGGACCAGATTTCTATTTGTCAAAACCTTTTGACAGTCCATGTTTTACTATAGAGTATGGATACTATAATACAATTATTTTCACAGCTGATACAGATCAGAGTCACTCTATAAAATACATTTATAATAATAAATAAATTGATCTCGTTCACACCTGATTCAAAATTGCTGCCATTAGATAAAACTTTGTCTTCTTTGGCTGTCCTAGTTTTTTCCTGTCCAATCACAACATCAACAACACTAAGATACTTCACATCATCAGGACGTTGTGCTTTCATAGATTTTGATAATTTTGCTGCAGAATTATCGCCGACATCAAGATACATGTCGATAGGAAGACGAGAAAACATATTGTTTACCTAAAGTAAAATTATAAATTATAAATTTACCTAAAGTAAAATTATACCAATGTAAATAATACAATGTAAATAAAAAACAAACAATACACCATTATGCAGGCAAAGAATACACAACAGAGATAACATTTTATTATTTGTCGCCTTTTGCATAAGTTATATAGTCCATCTTTGTTGAAAATATCACAAAATTGAAGTTTGGAAAAGAAACTAACCTTTGACTTGTTGACAACAGCTTCTGTGTTTATGGCAACATCACACGTGACTACAGGAGAACATTGAGTCTGTTTGAGAAGAGTTTGAGTATTATAAGATCGTTTGGTGTCAACATTATTGATGGCAGACGTGTGAGAAGAAAATGAATCGGCAGTTAAAGCAATTTTAAGTCATCTTCTTTTGAAGCCTTGTTCGAAAGGGAAGTTGAGGAAAACTCCTTAACCCTTGCCATTGCGTCAAAAGAACCAAAAGGTAAACACAAGTCATTTGAAACGAAAACTTTTGATGTTTCTTTTTTACTGAATTTTGATGGGGAGACTGATGTTGGTTCACCATATTCCGTTTTAATGGCTATATTTTCGTCATAATGTGGGAAGAGATCAGTTTGAACGGAAGCAGAAAGTTTCACAACTTTATCTGTACCAATGTTAGCATCAACATGATTTGGTGCACACAGAATAACACTTGACACTTCCTCGTGAATATCACGTGCTTGAATCGTGCTAGCCTTGTAGAAATTTGACACAGTACTAATATCATCAGTAGAATTCACACCACTCTTCTCAAAATTATTTTTCCTTCTCTCTTCTTTTTTCCTCAATTTCTGAATAGCAAAATTTTCATATTGTATGTCTGGAGTAAGTATCATTGACACTTCAGGCAATACAAGATCATCGTCAATAGTGACGTCACGTTGCAGATCTCGTATGAGATTATTAAGATATTTAAGTTTATCTCGTCTTGATTTGGAAGTCGCGTTAATACGTAAATTCTTCGCTTTTTTACGTTGAAAACTTTCTTGTTTTGATAATCGTAGTGTTTCTGTATCCAGTATTAATGAAAGTTTCTTTTCTTCGCTTAGTTTACTCTTTGTCAGAAGGTGTCGTCTTCTTAATCTTAACAGAAAGATAAAATATTTGCAATGAGTTGAAATAAAGCGATCAAAATAGAAATGACCATCTATTAAACAGAATATCTCTCTAAATATTTATGAAATCCCAGAAAACTGAGAAATCTGTATAAAAAAGCTCTTTTAAAATCGAATTATTCAAGTAGAGTTATCTAGTTTGGTATAGTTCTTTTTGTTTTTGTTTTATCTAATTTAGTATAATTATATTTACAATTTTAAATTTTAACCTTTTTTTAGGTAAACAGGACGAACAAGAATAGCAGTGCTATTGTAAACAAGTAATTATACGCACATTCAAAATAATAAAACTCTTACAACTTACCTGGCTTTGGACGTTTCATCATTGTTATATGGCATTTTAACAGAATCATTCCCAGCAATATCTTCATATGTGTCAAATACGTTTGATGAATCCAATGGCGGGTTTTCCGGAAAGAAAAGTATAGGAAGATAAAGTTGTTCAAATAGTGGAGCAAATTTAAAGTCATTTTTCTTTTCCTTATTTCTATTTGAAAAGTGAAGTAGAGGAGGATGAAGTTGCAATGGTGGTGTGGAAAGTGGAAAGTATTCATGATTGATTTTTTCATCTTTGCAAACATCTAGCAATGGCATCACATCACTAACAATATTGGAATTAAGATCTTCGGGCCAAGCAATCTTTATAGGTAATGAACCTATACTATCAACACCATCATTTTCTACACGAAAGTTTAACAGATGGAAAGTTGATAAACAGTCAAAACAGTTAACTTTTCGCTCTTTAATTTCCATGAATGAAATGTGGTAGTCAGAGAGATTGGATCTGTCCTTAAAAATGATCTGAGGTGGAACCAAAACTTCTGGTCTTCCATGTTGTTCCTCACTGTTCACAGTAGAATTGATCAAACGTGGAACAGAGACTTCAGGTGTTCCATGTTGTTCCTTATTGTTCACAGTAGAATTGATCAAACGTGGAACAGAGACTTCAGGTGTTCCACGTTGTTCCTTATTGTCCACAGTAGAATTGATCAAACGTGAAACAGAGACTTCAGGTGTTCCATGTTGTTCCTTATTGTTCACAGTAGAATTGATCAAACGTGGAACAGAGACTTCAGGTGTTCCATGTTGTTCCTTATTGTTCACAGTAGAATTGATCAAACGTGAAACAGAGACTTCAGGTGTTCCATGTTGTTCATTATTATTCACAGTAGAATTGATCAAACGTGGAACAGAGACTTCAGGTGTTCCATGTTGTTCCTTATTGTTCACAGTAGAATTGATCAAACGTGAAACAGAGACTTCAGGTGTTCCATGTTGTTCATTATTGTTCACAGTAGAATTGATCAAACGTGGAACAGAGACTTCAGGTGTTCCATGTTGTTCCTTATTGTCCACAGTAGAATTGATCAAACGTGGAACAGAGACTTCAGGTGTTCCATGTTGTTCCTTATTGTCCACAGTAGAATTGATCAAACGTGAAACAGAGACTTCAGGTGTTCCATGTTGTTCCTTATTGTTCACAGTAGAATTGATCAAACGTGGAACAGAGACTTCAGGTGTTCCATGTTGTTCCTTATTGTTCACAGTAGAATTGATCAAACGTGAAACAGAGACTTCAGGTGTTCCATGTTGTTCCTTATTGTTCACAGTAGAATTGATCAAACGTGGAACAGAGACTTCAGATGTTCCATGTTGTTCCTTATTGTTCACAGTAGAATTGATCAAACGTGGAACAGAGACTTCAGGTGTTCCATGTTTTTCCTTATTGTTCACAGTAGAATTGATCAAACGTGAAACAGAGACTTCAGGTGTTCCATGTTGTTCCTTATTGTTCACAGTAGAATTGATCAAACGTGGAACAGAGACTTCAGGTGTTCCATGTTGTTCCTTATTGTTCACAGTAGAATTGATCAAACGTGAAACAGAGACTTCAGGTGTTCCATGTTGTTCCTTATTGTTCACAGTAGAATTGATCAAACGTGGAACAGAGACTTCAGGTGTTCCATGTTGTTCCTTATTGTTCACAGTAGAATTGATCAAACGTGAAACAGAGACTTCAGGTGTTCCATGTTGTTCCTTATTGTTCACAGTAGAATTGATCAAACGTGAAACAGAGACTTCAGGTGTTCCATGTTGTTCCTTATTGTTCACAGTAGAATTGATCAAACGTGGAACAGAGACTTCAGGTGTTCCATGTTGTTCCTTATTGTTCACAGTAGAATTGATCAAACGTGAAACAGAGACTTCAGGTGTTCCATGTTGTTCCTTATTGTTCAGAGTAGAATTGATCAAACGTGAAACAGAGACTTCAGGTGTTCCATGTTGTTCCTTATTGTTCACAGTAGAATTGATCAAACGTGGAACAGAGACTTCAGGTGTTCCATGTTGTTCCTTATTGTTCACAGTAGAATTGATCAAACGTGGAACAGAGACTTCAGGTGTTCCATGTTGTTCCTTATTGTCCACAGTAGAATTGATCAAACGTGGAACAGAGACTTCAGGTGTTCCATGTTGTTCCTTATTGTTCACAGTAGAATTGATCAAACGTGGAACAGAGACTTCAGGTGTTCCATGTTGTTCCTTATTGTTCACAGTAGAATTGATCAAACGTGGAACAGAGACTTCAGGTGTTCCATGTTGTTCCTTATTGTTCACAGTAGAATTGATCAAACGTGAAACAGAGACTTCAGGTGTTCCATGTTGTTCCTTATTGTTCACAGTAGAATTGATCAAACGTGAAACAGAGACTTCAGGTGTTCCATGTTGTTCCTTATTGTTCACAGTAGAATTGATCAAACGTGAAACAGAGACTTCAGGTGTTCCATGTTGTTCCTTATTGTTCACAGTAGAATTGATCAAACGTGAAACAGAGACTTCAGGTGTTCCATGTTGTTCCTTATTGTTCACAGTAGAATTGATCAAACGTGAAACAGAGACTTCAGGTGTTCCATGTTGTTCCTTATTGTTCAGAGTAGAATTGATCAAACGTGAACAGAGACTTCAGGTGTTCCATGTTGTTCCTTATTGTTCACAGTAGAATTGATCAAACGTGAAACAGAGACTTCAGGTGTTCCATGTTGTTCCTTATTGTTCACAGTAGAATTGATCAAACGTGAAACAGAGACTTCAGGTGTTCCATGTTGTTCCTTATTGTTCACAGTAGAATTGATCAAACGTGAAACAGAGACTTCAGGTGTTCCATGTTGTTCCTTATTGTTCACAGTAGAATTGATCAAACGTGGAACAGAGACTTCAGGTGTTCCATGTTGTTCCTTATTATTCACAGTAGAATTGATCAAACGTGAAACAGAGACTTCAGGTGTTCCATGTTGTTCATTTATGCTCAGGTTGTTTGTATCGTCGCAAAGTCTAAATAAAAACAAGTTATAACTTAAACAACACTCATTTCAACTACAAACAAAGAAAGATTGTTTGGGTAAAGCAAGAAATGTTTAATTATATAGTCACGTGGTGAGCAATATTTATAAATACATGATATGCCGTGTTCAGCTCATTTACGAATCATATAATGAGCATGCCCCCCCCCCTTCACCTCACGATGACCAGATCTATTTCCTAATGTAACGCTATTTTATTACTACAAATGTAACTGCGCACACAATCCAACTGAAAACTACAACACCATCGCTTTGAACATGTCCAAATTAGAAACTTAAGGTCAGTCTGAAACGTTTAAATACCTCAATTGAGCTGGAATTTCAATGGTAGAAAATATTTTATGAAAATGATTTTGTTCATTTAACATATCTTCAGTCTGTATCAGAGCAGTAGCATTGGTAATATAATTTCTTCGTTTATCTTCATTTCCTTCTAAAATATCGGCAGTTTTGGTTGACAGGGTACAATCTTTCAAGTGACTTTCTTCATCAATCCCCATATGCGAACACAGCCGAGGAGGGCAATTCGACCAATAGTACGAAGGAAGAACATTAGGTAGCTGATAATTAACGGCTGAAATCATTCGAGAAGAGCTTCCCATAAAATCATGATTGGCAATTTCCGTATCACATGACTTTTTTTGGCTTGCTTTTGGTTGATCGTTAGGATACATAATGAATTTTCCTGATGATGTTGCTGGCTGTTCAGTAATATTCTTTGATAATGGACTTGTATCATCGTCTGAGCTTTTAATATCTGCAAAAAGCAGCTACATTTGCTCACAATTTTACTAACAACATTAAAGATAAAAAAATAAACATCAAAATATCCCACTATGTGCAAATCTTTATCAAAACTTCAAAAAATTAATAAAAAATTTGAAAGTATAAAACCGACATATGGGATAGATATTCTCAGAAGAACAGGAAAATGGGAATTATTTGCACGCAAAGAGTCATCAACGTTGGAGCAGCTTAACTTCCTACACAAATGCAAACAACAACGAATCCTACCAAACAGTATCAACTACCGACCCCCATTAAAAACAACTCACGCTCAACAAATTGCACAATCAAACGGCCGCCGTATGTTAAACGTCCTCATATCAGATGCCCACAACCGCATCAACCACCACCTAGGTACCTCTCCACGCAGACCCCAGCAAAACGACCACAACCACATCAACCACCACCTACGAACCTCTCCACGCAGACCCCAGCAAAACGACAACCAACCACATTAACCAGTAACTGAAACAACAAAAAGACAAAAAGAAACTGACCGAAAACGATTACAGAAGAATCCGACCAAATGACGCATCCACCGCAAAATTCTACGGACTACCGAAAATCCACAAGGAAAACAACCCGCTTCGACCTATCGTATCGCTTTTAGGATCACCAAGGTATGAACTTTCAAAATATCTTTATAACATTCTGTATCCATTAGTCAAAAATTCACCTCACACCATCAGAAATGCCACCACTTTCCTCGTCAGTACGACCAGACGAAATCATGATATCCTACGACATGACATCACTCTTCAAATCCATACCACTAGACATAGCCAAACAAATTACAAACGAACTACTCACAAACGACAAAACTTGGCAAGCTACAACACAACTAGACAAAAATGACATCCTAGACTTACTCAACCTTTGCCTCTCCACTGAACTCTCCTTCCAAAATACATACTACAGACAAATTTCAGGCACATCAATGGGGTCACCACTATCCACCTTCCTCGCAGAAGCCGTCAAGCAACACTTAGAAACACAATCAGTCACAAACAACACAAACATCATACTATGGAAAAGATATGTCGACGACATCTTAGCCATAGTCAAGAGAGACAAAACTGAACAAATCCTACACACCATAAACAATACCACAAAGAACATAAGCTTCACTAAAGACGAAGAGCAAGTCAAACAATTTACTTTCCCCGACATCCTACTAACCAGAACAGATGACGGTACACTAAACACACAAGTATACCGCAAAACCACCCATACAGACCAAATACTCGATTTCAACAGCAATCACATAATACAACACAAACTAAGCTGCATTCGAACAATTTTTAACAGGATAAACACTCATTGTAACACCTAAGAAGCCAAGAAAACAGAACGCAACTACTTATACTCCACATTTGTTAAAAACAATTACCCTAGAAACTTCATAAACAAAACTATAAGCAACATACAAAACAAAACACAAACCGACAAAAGCAACAAGTAACCGGACGAAACAGTAAAAATCGTCACATTACCATACATAAGAAAGTGTTAGTTTGCTACCTGTTAAGACAAAATTACGGAATTTACTTGACTTTTTATTCAATTTTTTCCTTGTGCTTTTTCGAACTTTTCTTTTAAGATGATTTTCCTCAACAGCAACATCATCATAATTCTCCTGAATGAAATAAACTCAAAATTTCAAAGACAAATTTTAAGAATTTTCAAATAAAATGCATGCTGGGTAAGGCCTTTCGATGATATAATCAGAATCTTATCGGTCTTCGCAGAAAAAAAAAGTTGATAAACCCAAATACCTTGATAATATTTGAATTCTCAGCAGTAATAGGACCTGAAGAGGAAATTAAACAATTAAAAATAGATTAACGTTTTACAAGATATTAAAATCGATTAAAATTAGTAAAACAACCTGAAATCGGACCATCATTTTGAATCTAAAACATAAATACACAAATCATAAGAGTAAAAATATTTGACAAACAATGTTGAAAGATTCATACAACCTTTTTCAGCTTTTTCACTTCTGATCGTATAATTTTTCGAAGCCAAGACTCGTCTTTAACTACTCGTGATTGTGATGAGCTGGAACTGTCAATCAGAGAAATCATATTTCTGACTTGCATTTCTTTATTATATTTTTTATATCGGTTTCGTTTCTTATGTTTATACTTGTCACCATATTTTTGGCACCGAACATGTTTCAATGTTTGAAGGGAGCTGCTTGAGGATGTGCCACGAGATAATTCTTTGTCAGAAATAACATCATTGTGTATTTCCCCCACGCTAAAAATTGATAAATTCCGCACGCAAAAAAAGTAAAAAAAAAATGATTAAAGACGCAAACCGTTGAAATTTACTCTAGGTAAAAATGAAATCTTTGATTTTATGCATTAAGGATAATACTAAAGTTTCCATAAACTAGAAATACTCTTTCTTTTTGTCTCATGGATGATTTTTACTTCAATAACATATCGAAAGTTCAAAATTAAAAGGACAAAAGATTACCTTAATGAGTCTGAACCAGATGAACCTGCCTGAAGAGTCGTCATCAAATTATTTTCAACAGCATCAAAGCGAGTCGATCTTTTTCCTACTGAGCGGTCACTTGCCACATATTCATGGATCTTTATTGGTCGAATAAAAAATATATATCGTGTTATATGATACTTAAGTAACTCTGTTTCGTTCTTAAAACGCCACTTTTTACAAAATTTAAAAATTTCGAGTTAAAAAGGCAAAATAAATAAACAAGCTTTGGAATTGTGAAATAATCAAAAATTATTTGAAAGTAGTACGAAGCAGTGAAAAACAACTTACATTCTTGTCACAAGTGGAGACAGGAAAGGTTAACAAAGAGAAATCACCAAGATTAGATTCATTGTACGATATGTTAAATGGAGATGGAATGGTCGGAAAACTACCATTACATGGAGAAACAGCATTTGCTTCTCTAAAAACTTCAGGCATATAATCCGAGCATTCCTCAACATTTTTTTCATGGTTTGACAGTTTGCTAACAATGTGATTGTTAATAGCTGATACCTCGTGAAGTTTCACCACAACTACATCTTCTAAATGGCATGACAAGCAAGGTTTTGAAATTTTATGAGCAAAATTATTACTCATAGCAAGGAATTCTCCTTTGTCCATCATTTCACCAAAGTCATTTGTCTGCAAACCATCGGTCTCTTTTTTCGTTTTTTGTTCGAGATTAATGAACACGTTTTCAACAGCGACCTTAACACAATCCTGTACCATTGTTTGATCACATTCATCGGGTTGCTTGTCACTATCCAAGTTTTGAGCATTTAACTTATGGTGATCTTGACTCCTCTCAGCAAGTTTTTTGTTACAATCAATGTTCTCAAAATTCAACTTTATGTGATCTTGTACATCTTTATCTTCAGCAGACTCTTCTTTACAGTCAGCCGTAAAGTTTTTCGTAACAGCTTTGTTGTCATACTCATTCTCATTCGAAGGATCGCAACCAAAATCTCCACGATTGTTCTGCTCATCAACAAAACCAAGAGATTGAACAAAATTCGAACAAACACCTTGAAGCTCACTTCTATTTACGATATTCGATAAGTTACTTTTATTGCTAACATTTCTATCTTCCTTCACAACACATTTTAGTGAGGTAGCTCGAGAGTCAGCAACTTCATCTTTAATAAAACTTTCGTGCTCCAACTGTTGCAGATGTTCGTTAAGATTGTGTCTTGTGCGTTTATTTCTTTTCTTAGACACTTTTCTCTTGTTTGATAATGAACAATAATGTTGATGTTTTGTCGAGCTATATTTGTTGTGATCAAATTGCCATAACGAATTCACAACTAATTTTAAAGGTAATTGAACTCTTATTGCACTAAGCGATGCAGGAATATTTAAGAAACTCCCCTTTCTAGCATTACTGGCAGTAGTTTGTTCATCATTCGTACACCAGCGTTTTAGCCACAACAATGTTGGAAGAAACTTGTGAAGTTTCTCAGTAAAATTCCACGTTTTCATGTTCGATATGTTACTTAAACTATGGCTGCGATGAAAGGGTGTAGGATGCTCACTTAACGATGATTCATTGCTTTTCGTTATGTCTCTAAAGCTTTGACTACGTTGAGCTGCAAAATCTCTTGACGAAGGTTCTGCCACGACTGAATCCAACTCTAAATTTGCTATACTTCTATAAGGAAAAATTAATGGTAAAGCTTTGTAATCTTTAGAATTGACATCCTTTGCTAATGTGATCATGTAGAATGTATCAAGGAAATGAAGGTAGGAATCCCAATGGTCACCATTCATTAAAAACTTGCGAACATTATCCATGATTGTGTAGTCTTTTTGTTGAGAGTAATTTTTCTCCTTGTTTTTCCTTTGCTTCTCGCACTGCACTTGAAATCTAGCAGCAAGACTACTGTCAGCCATATTTCGTATTTTTCTAGTCAATCTTTTAAGTTTTTCATCAGCAGAGACGTTTGATATTAATGATGTGTGAAAATACTTGGCTAAAATATCCACATTTTTAATGTTTATAGGAAGCTGAGAAAGAATCGTTAGAATTCCATTAACAATGTCGTCATTAGCATCGAGAAAACGAGAAAATATGCAGAATCTTTCCAACCATTGTAAAACTTGTTCACAATGTGAAACTATTTGTTGTCTTTCCTCTTCATTAGGATTCTAAAAATACAAGAAAAATGTACACAACTTTACAATACAGCGGGATTATAATACTTATAATAAGAAATTTAAACTTAGCATTTGCCGTTTATCAACAATAAATCGCGCTTAAATTACAGACAGTACGACAAAAATACGCCCCCCCCCCTTAACCAAGCATGAGGTCCATTTATTCACATGGGAAGAAATGACCTGAGTCCCCTGAGTTCACAGACACAGTTTCATTTTTATTATGATAAATTAAATCATAAGGGCATGTTGGGGTTCAAAACCTCGAAAATTTCAATGATGCAGCCTTTTTAAATGACATGTATGGTACACCATTCATGGGAATTTAAACGAAATGTTGATGAAATGTGGCTAATGTATTAAAGTAGATTTTAGTTTACACATACTCCTATAAACATGCTCCTATATGGGGAAAAGAGAAAGAGAAAGACGAAATTTACCTTGGGTAAACAGGGAAGAAAAATGCTCAAAGGAGATGCTTTAAAGCATAAGGCAATAAAATCAAAAAACCATAATGCAGGCAAGCTATATAGGTATTCTAGAAATACTGTAAATGCAGCTTCATACGCTGAGCTAAAAATAATTACTACGAACATAATTTTTACCAAATTTACAATTAAAATAAATCCAAAACATTTTTACACAATAATGAACAATATACTAAGTGGAAATAAAAAACAAACAATGATTAACGCGACATTTCTACAACAATAAATGCTTGTTTAGGAAGGTTTGAACCTACCAAAGAAACATGTTGAATGAAATGTTTGTATTTCTTTGAAGATAATGCAAGTGCGTCTCTGACATGAAGCAACCACATCAATCCACAGAATTCCTCAAAACTCGCCATAACTGAAAAAACTTGTTTAAAGTATTGAATGAAGAAAAAGTAATACATGAATGAGATATTATACCTAGAGGATTTGCAGCAGCCATGTCAACTCCTTCACTTGTTATGAATTCTTGAATTACCTCAGGAATTCTTTCATCATCAATGACGTCACACGTTGATTGACACTCATTGTACATACGTATAACAAGCTTACAATATTCCTGAGCACAATACAAGTACGATGATGAAGCCTTTAATACAGCGAGAATCTTTTGAATAATAACAGCGACTTCAGTTCTTAGATTGATTTCTTCACGAGTTTCATCGTCATAAATATCCTAAATATATACTATAATGTCAACCTCTTTCACATAAAGAATTCAGTTAATGCACAATAAATTAACCCGAAGATTCCTTTGAGGTTGTGGGCAAAATAAAGGTGGCATCGGTAAATATACAGCTGAAGGGACCATCCAATGAAATTTGGCAACATTATGACGTAACATCACTACTAAATGATGAATGATTTGGGGGACAAGATCCAATTGTGCTATAATACTTGCTTCCAGAACATTTTGTAGATTGTTTATATCTTTATGATGATAAATTTCACGCGCTCCTCCATCATCAAATCCCTGAAAAAATAGGATTTTTATAGCGTAAACAGCTTCAAATTTTGGCTTATGGCTTATGTGTCTGACATGTTGTACGTGGAAAGTAATACGGAAATATTGACACAGCAACCTGATTGTAATGTTTCCAACTCAATAAATATTACTGCATTACCGAAGTGTTTTCAGACATTTTTAGGATTGCATTGATCCTCTCTTTCATTAAATCTTCGGCTTGAGGCACAAGTACATAATCATACGGTGTTTTCTCCAAAGTCAATTCGTTCTTTGTATTGTACTGATGAACAACAGCCAATAGTAACGCTATTTTCCAATCCCCGAGACAATTTGCAAACCACGAAGCCTCACCAATGAGACCTGAAATAACTAGCAATTCCATAGTATGATCAGCAGTCCACAGCTTCTCAAGTTTCTGCCTACTGATCACTTCTGTGAGTCGCTTTTGACAAAGTGGTTGCACGTAATTTCCACTTTTCCAATCTGAAATATTTTGACAGTAAACGATAAAAAAACGGAGTACATTTTGATTGATTTAAATGTTTGTACACCTACCATGCTGTAATGAAGCGCTTGACTTAAAATGTGAGGGAAGATTTATCGGGTGATTCGTAAAATAATATGACATGAAAATTGCTAACTGTTGCACCAAAGGCCTGGCGTGTATATTAGTAAGCCAAATGATTGGATATTTCACTGACATGGACAATTGTAGTATCTTTAAGGAAGATTTTTCCGTTATTTTCATTTCTTCTTTCTGTATCAAGGAATCTCCCGTCAGAAGTAAATGCTCCAGGTTGATGTCATGAGATGATGTATCGATAAAGGAAAGAACAAATGTCATAGCTCCTTTAAGATCGTAATTCTCAAAGTACATATATAATACAGAGAGCAAAGTATTGGTATCAGTAAACGACGTTGAATTGTTGTAAACAAAATCTTTGCAATTTTCACCAAAACATTGCCGTAACACAACTTTAGTTTCCACATATTCACTCTTCGAACACATGGTGTGGCCTATACGAATTGAAATATAAAATTAGACTAAAAAATAGTTTACACTCAAGCATTTTGAAAAACAAGTGAGAAGTCATTGCAACCACCTTCATTTATTTTCCTCTGAGATTTTGCTGTGAGATTTCGATGTAAATCGAATGTCTGCAACTTTTTCTGAATGAAACATATTATATTAAAAAGATTCTCCTGTGATATTTCCCTTCCAATGGACTGAAACTTTTCAAGAACAACTTGATATAGTCTCAGCCATGACTGGTTCAAGGTACACTCCGTAATTACACCAGAAAAAGGCATGTCTGATTTTTCACTATTGACACCAAGGGCAGTTTCATAGCAATCTCCGTTTAAATGAAATGTTGCTCGATTAGTCACAGCTGACCAAGTATACACATCCTTCAGATATGTTTCACCAATACGCAATAGTTTCATACATAAATGGGTCGTTTTTTGGAATGGTAGTTTGCCAAAGCTGAGGCAACATTGAATGAAAAGATGAATGATTTGAACGAGCAAACGTTGACAATTTTGGTAAACGATATCCCATCGAAATGTTTCACAACATGAAATAAAAAACTTCACAATATCTTCAGAATGTGCATCAACATTCTTTTCATTCTGCAGTATATATATGATGAACTGCTCTAGACAATAAACAATGAGACTTATTTCAGGAAACATATCACGTGACCATTTGTGGGAGTGTGACGTGGCAATTCCTAACGTCTGTAATAAAACAAACTTTGCTCTTATTATGTTGGTTATACGGTCTGATTCACTCATGTCTAGCTCATCCTGAACGACATTATAAAATGTCAAAGTCAGTGCATCACGGTCTTTATCAATATCTAAATAATATTAAAAACAAAAGAAAAAATATAAGTTATTTTAATTTAACGAACTATAAAAAAACTTTTTTATCGAGTTCTTCTCGAGATATATGGCAAAATATTTGTCAAATACTGATTATTCAAACAATGTATAAATACGTACAACGCATATTGCAATAAGTTCAACCATCTACAAAACATTAAGTCGAGACAGCCACTACTATCGATTTCATTCACATAGCTCATTTTAAGCTCACCTGGATAACGACGACTTTCAGATTGCAGGTCATTGAAGTGACCACTGAGAAGGTGTAATATATCTTGAGAAAAGTATTTGATTATTTGAGCACATTTTGGTACGTTCGATAGATCGATTACAGTTATGTTATAACCATCAGAACACAACATGAGAAAACATGAATTGTGAACAGCAACTGAAAACTTTTGATGATAGAAATTTCTTTCTGAGCCAGAGGAAACATCGGAATTTTCAGAAGGGTTATTTTCTACAAAAGTTCTGAAAACAAACAAAGAAAGTTGCTCGCAAGCAAAGTTTTCCAACTCCTAAAGTTACAAACAAAAGTCGCTTGACATGCATGACAAAAACTATAAAACGAAAGAAATGTAATTATTATTTTGTAGGTTTCAAACCAAAATATAACGTTAGTTTCTCTGTATTTCAACTATTTACAACAGTTTAACGAAGAATATCAAACAAGAAAATTAATTCAAAGAGATTTAATGTAATAATAATCACCTTAAATTAACACGAGGATGTAATGAAATAAAATGACTCGGTCCCAGTTCAACACCATTTCTAATGAACATTAGTTGAAGAGGTTCGCCATATTTTGTTGTTATAAAAACTCCACCATTTCGAGTAATTCCAATCAAATAAAGGCAATCATTGCTCCAGGCAAGATCACTTACCCACCAATACCTAGAAACAAATACAAATACAAAAAATAAATGTGAAAATTGTTAGCTAATATAAATCTGTATAAAAGAGCTGCTATAGACAGTGGTGACTACACGATAACCAGGTTGTGCCTTTGATTTAACATATAATGATAACAACCTGCACAGGATAGCGAGCATCACACATATTTAAATGTCCTCACAATTAAATTTCAGTTACGCGTCATGGAGTCTGTACAAATTAAGTTGACTGATCCCGTCCTCTGGCAACCAAAGGATAATTTATCTCCGTTTCAAGCGTTTTAGAAATTACATTAACTTTTTCTTACCATAATAAATATCGCATGATTTTGAAGTTCTCATTTAGTAGACGTTGAAACTTGATCACTGAGTCTGCCGAAATCCACCGTGTCTTTCAGATTTCAAACTGTTCTTTTAGAACTATTAAGTTTTTTTTTGACCATTCACCATGGTATTTGTTATTTTTAAAACAATTTTTTAAATGTTTCCAAGACTAAAATTATGATATTTGGTAGTCGTCCCATTATCTCAAAAAGGCCAGACCTTTCTTTGTTTTAATAAACATGAAACTTATCCCCGTTCACTATGCAAAAGATTTGGGAATGACATTTGCTTAAAATCTTACTTCGATGAGCGTGTTACAAAAACCATATCATCTTGTATGTCAAGTTTAGAGCATATCAATCTCGCAAAAAAATCTTGAATAAAAAATTACTAAAACAAGTTATTCGACGTCTAGTCTTGACAAACGTACAACTTCTATTTATCGCTATGGTTTCGCACAGCTGCTTGTAATATTCGCCGGCTTCAAAAATTTCAAAACCTTGCAATTTGAATAATTACTGCTATTATTCACTGTGTAGACAATGTCACTAGTGATTGGTCGATTACCTGCAAATAATTCTCCATATCTGTAATTATGACGTCATATTTACAAATATTCTCGATATCTGTAATTACGACGTCATATTTACTAATATTCTCGATATCTGTAATTACGACGTCATATTTACAAATATTCTCGATATCTGTAATTATGACGTCATATTTACAAATATCCTCGACATCTGTAATTATGACGTCATATTTACAAATATTCTCGATATCTGTAATTATGACGTCATATTTATGAATATTCTCGATATCTGTAATTACGACGTCATATTTACTAATATTCTCGATATCTGTAATTATGAAGTCATATTTACGAATATTCTCGATATCTGTAATTACGACGTCACATTTACTAATATTCTCGATATCTGTAATTATGACGTCATATTTACGAATATTCTCGATATCTGTAATTACGACGTCACATTTACTAATATTCTCGATATCTGTAATTATGACGTCATATTTACGAATATTCTAGATATCTGTAATAACGATGTCATATTTACAAATGTTCTCGATATCTGTAGGCATGACGTCATATATACAAATAATAGCTTCTACAATTGTAGACGTCATTAAAGGTCGGTTTTGAAAAATACGAAAAAATATAAACGAGAAACTTGAAGTGCTAGCCAGTGCCTAAATGGTGCAGCGTATGAATATTTATGTCAACAATTAGTAAAAAGATCAGATGTCAATGACCGTTGCACTACAAATTTGACCTCGTTGTACATCCTCCTGTTTAGAAGCGCTGCTATACAACGCACTTTTTATCACCGCAGTCTTTCTTTTAACAAAAAAAAACCTAATTGAATATTTTTCCAACAAATATAAGGTACACATGCAAAACATGGAAAAAACTAATATTCTATAAACAGTTGTTACATGGATATCCTAACAAAGTGACTCAATTCTTGTAGTCTTTTTTTTTGTCTTGGATAGTATTATATAGATTATTGTTGAGGACTATTGCAATATGAAATGAAGCATTATTTATAATAATTTTAAATGTAATGATTTCTTTTACCTTCCTGTTGACGTATTACAACCACCACAAAATTTCATGTTTATAATACAGGATGTTGAATGAAAACTTGAACAGAGCAACAGTCTTGTGTCTTTAGCAAGTTTTTGATTTAAAATAACAGCCAAGATTTGACCGTCAGGTGAATATCGACACACGTAAATACAACGTCCTTTAATAAGTCGGGTAGCAGGAGTTATAGTGTACAATGGTCGACTAAACGATTGCCATAAAATATCGACTTTCACATTTTCTAGGACTGGACGAAGTAAAAAACAACTATTTGATAAAGAAAATTATCTGTAAAGAAAGTGTACAATCATTATTCAGCCAAACATGTATCTTATCTACGACACAAATTTGGCTAATTTATGGTAATTATTTTGTACATATAACTATGGATAGTGCAAAGTTAAAAACACTACATTTTGACTGGTACTTTGAATAAAATGTTTCATACATTTATTATTTCTCCGTTAACTGCCATTTAATTTCATATATCATGAGGATAAACACCATTAATTTCATGGCAAATAAAAATATTTTAAATAAAACTTATAACAAGCTTTAGTACGAATAACTAGTTGTTTTCTTGTTTCTAATCATGTACACTCCTCTCGATCAAGTTCTAGCACCAATTTCAGACTTACTAGCAACGCAAGTAACAAAATATAAAATGAATCTGAGCACGCGCAGCCGTCTCAAGCAACTTTCTAGTGCAACAACCAACTGAGTCTACTAGCACTAAATTTGGAGTAAATGGTTTATCCCATTAAGCATGCACAGTTTGCTGGACGAATAGTACTGTTTGAATAAATGTAAATACAAATGCAAGTCGAAGTCTCTGCAGAGGAGGGAGGTTGAAGTCCATAATCATGGAAACGACAATTTGGATGCACCAGAACCTGATTTAGTAGCAGATCCAGCGTTCGTCAAAATAAATTATAACTCATCCATTTCAATTTCGATCAACTGCAGCGAAATAGCGCAAGTCCAAATGGCGAGGGCATGTTTAGCCGTAATTGTACGTGAAACTATATCATTGTTTAGTATAATAATATACTTTATGCCGTTTAATTCTGTTCGTTTTGAATTTAACATTCACTGCAAAGAAATCCTTTTTGTAGTAAAATATAAACAAGAAAGCTTTTGATCGTTCGTTTTCTGATACTTTCACAATGTGAAAAAACCTTCAGGCGTTCTAACACATGTGTGACAGCAATTTAAGTCTTATATATTTATTTTTGAAACTGTTGGTATGATGGCATCCACTAGATTTTTGCCAATATCGATTTTCGACAACTATTCGCAGAAATTTGATGTTTTTCGAACGCTTTTTGCAGTTCTTAAGTAAGAATAGAGTGATTTAGCAAACACAACGTTTCGTCTAAGACGTCGTCAATTTTTTGCGAGGGATCTGGGTCTAGGACGCCACCACATCGTAAAGTATTTATGATTTAGCAAACCTTTTGTAGGACTTCGTCCAATGATAGTATGAAACAAGTTTCATCCATTTCGGCATTTTTCCTGCTGAATCGTGTTTTCCGTTAATTTTAAACTAATTTTTTGATATCAAAAATATACTGTAGTATATTCAATTCAATAAAATTATAAATAAAAGCAAAATCATCGACATATGGCTTTGTGACTAAAATTGTTTTGACTCCGAGGAAACCCCCGAAATTAGAGCAGACCCCGCGTTGTTTATTTGTTTGTTTTTTTCGCTTTAGGAAACAAAATATTCGCACTCTTTTTTCTCAAATGATTATATGTAGGCCTATATAATCTTTTAACATGCAAATATCAAGGATATTTTCTTATTTTGTCTAAAAATTATGTTTTTTCAGCCGTTGTCGATACGACGTCAAATTATATGTTTTCACGTCGTCGTCGTCAAGACGACTGCCGTCGTAGATTGAACCGGAAGTAAAAGGCGCATATGCCACGCCATTTTTACGGCGTCTTAGAAGAAACGTCATGTTTGCTAAATCACTCTAATAAATCCAGTAAGGTGGTAATTTCCGAAATGCTTCCAGAAAAGGCAACTAATCGATACAGTTAAAATTGACAAAACAAACGGAAATCGCAATTGAAGTACATGATAAAGGCATTATGGTCAGGATTCTTTTCGATTTTAATTCCCAACTGTAAGGCCCGTTTCAAACGTCACATTTTACATGCCCCGAATACGTTGAAGACAAAAGAAAATGAGCTAAAATTTGTCATTATCTTTTGTGTTAAGTGCACTCAGCTTATATAAAATGCGACGTTTGAAACATCCCTCAGCAACCATCGATGTCCTATACACACCTTCACGTGACATCTTCTCCCCATCTGTATTAATAATGACATCATCTACAATGGTTTTATCGTTTTGGTCTTGAGACTTTATATGAAGCGTCGTGACAACAAGTTCTGTTCCTTTGTTAAAGACGTACGATAAAAGACCACAGCTACCGATAATCTAAAAAATTAAGTTATAGATAAAATAAAATCTCGACGTGAAATTTAGGCAAGGGTAGGAAAATCAAAAGATGAAGGAATACCTTGAGTTTATGAAAGGGTAGGAAGATAAAAAGATGAAGAAGTTCTTCAAGTTTAGGAAAGGGTAGGATTGTAGGAAAATAAAAAGTTGAAGAAATACGTTGACCATCCACTGAATGTAAAGGTAGTGAGTTGGAAAAGGGAGAGAGCAATACTCGTTTTACAACAGACATAAAAATAACAACACCATTTCATCTAAAGGCTTTGAGAGATGATGCTCCGGAGGGAAACATGGTCTCTGCTAAGCTTGCCATTAACATAAACCCCAAATTCAATGCTTTTCCAAAAGAACAAAAACTTTGAAACCGTTTTGTCTGACAACAATGACGGTGAACATTATATTTCACCAGAAGAAAAATCAACAAAGATTCAACAAGTTTTATTAAGAAGATCGCAAAGAATAAAAGAAGACTTATAGTTATGACAGTTAATAGTAAACTACGTACACCTCAGACAGTAATTATAAGATGTAGGGTGTAAAGTATTTAACGTAGTCAATACGTATCTCCTAATACATCATGCAATGTTTTAGAGCTATAAAATAGCATTACGTTTTCATGTTTGCATAAGAAAAGCATAAAAATGGTTGGCAAAGTTCATTGTTACGTGTATGTTATATTGCAAAAAAAGTAGACAGCCGACCAACTTCCATGATACTGCTTTTTATAACTTGACTGTTGTACAATAAACATACAAACAAAGTTAGGGTCGATAAATCCTAAAAACGTTTCGTTTGCATGTATTACAAGTCCTACAGTTTTATTTCAAATAGTTAAAGATATTATACATATATCAGCTTCGCGGATGATCACAAACATCAAATACATTTCCTTTGGGCGAATAATACAAGAGACTTGACCCATCGATTTGTCAGCAATATAATTTCATCAAATGTTATTCAAAAAATAGTAAACCCAAATCAATACGTCCTGTCGGCACAAAAATATTGATACAGCTGTATAATATTGTTTTTACAATGGTCAACAATGTCTGTTCATTGCCTTCAAATGGAATTAAATTTCACGTCTAATTTACAAAGTTTCATATTCTTCACAAAGCTTTTGACAGATTGCTTGTAGAAGACTTAGTCTTTATCTCAATATCCTTCAAAATGGCAATGAATTAGTGGTTAAAATTTGTCTATATATTGTCTAACATTGTCTTGCACAATTTAAACATGAGTATACAATAATAAGAACGTTAAAAAGTGAGTGCATTTGTCATATTTCTTGAAAAAATGTGTCTAACAAAGTCAACAAAGTGATAATAGTTTTATTTGGTTTGTAAAATTTTTTTCATAAGCGTGTTTTATAATTTTATGTATGTTAAATATACACCATTGGAACTGCATTGATGCATGTCTACCCACATCTACGCATACGTACATCCTTTTGAAATTAACGCAAGAAACATCATAAACCCATAGAATACATATATACAGAAGAGTCACTCGTGTCGGAACCTTTGATGTTTTTGTCCTCGCGCATGTCGTGCCGCGCATGGTGGCCGCCATTATTCCAGCCAGATGATTAGGGTTTTTTCCAAACCTTTCAAATGATCCGAAGTTATTTCTTAAGTCAAAATATACTTCAATTCATTATTAAATATTGACGTATGGTAATTTGAATGGTTGGAAACAAGTGAGAAATCCTAATCATCTGGTTGGAATAATGGTCGACATGAGGACGCGTTGTACACCTGAGTGACCCTTCTGTATAATCATTATTGTGTGATAAATCCTTAAACGTGTACCTCATGTGAATAAAATATTACATCAAACGTTGCTTCTGTGTTTGATTGATCAGGAAGAAGATAATTCCCAGCATGCACCTGTATCCATGTTCCTTTTAGGTAATGAGAATCCTCTAAAAAAATTAAACATGAAACTAATAAGTTTTTGCTTGATACCATACGTTATGACTATTTTTCGTGACAAAAGAGTTAAATACGTAGCTGTACTGAAAACTGAATACAAATCAAATCCCATGAGAATTTTACAAACTAAACAGAAGAACTTTCCAAGATATTTCATATAAATGCAATTCATCATTAACAGAATGACTTATGGCCTAATAATGTACATAAAAAATCCCCCATTTTGATTGATTTAGAGCAGAGCAATTTTTGATAAATACCAGAGCCAACAATAGGAAATGCGTACCATTCCCTCTTTTTAAAAGTGCTCTTGATTGATTGGTCACACATGAATAATGAGATGAGCATATCAAATGAAACATTTCATAGGAGGAAAAAGTTTAATTATCGAAAACAAAAGCAATTAGTAAGTTTTGATATAAAATTTCTTTTGGTGACGAGTCTAAAGTTCATGAACATTTACCTACATTACATTTCCTAAAATACAAACGCTGCTAAAAGACATTGTTTTGGTTACATAGGTGGTTATGTGCAAGTTGTGTGTAAGACGAAATCAAAAAACGCAAACCGTTCGATTTAAATACAGAACCTGCTGAAATGTTTGTAAGTTGAATTTGAAAATCAACGAAATTGAGAAAAAGTTCTATGCACGTATATTATTTATAAGTCATAGCACAGAATCTCGTGCACTTTAGAAAACATGAACTCCTGAATTTTTCAAATTTCTTTCACTCCTTTGGACTTGTTCAACATGAATAGTCTTCAAAAAAACATGCATCAGTGAGTTTTTCAAATTACATTTGAAAACATGCTATTACCTATATACGAAGTAAATAAAATCCCAATGGTAACAACCATTCTCTTCATCAACCACCAAATGCACAGATATTATATAAATGATTATTTTGTGCTTATAATAACAATAACAATCATTCGTAACAAATGACTTTACATTTATAACTAATTAAAATTATAATCAATGCAAGAAAAGTACATTTATTATTACAGAACAAGGCGCACTGCAATTATTAGACAATAGGCTTTTATTTGTCTCATGAAAACTTAAACCAGATAGTTGATAAATTTCGTTATTTGAACATCATGCAGTGGCAACAGCAGTTATAAAAACATTTCTCAGCATTATCAGGAAAATGAACAGAACATGCAATGGTCACCAACATATTAAAATAAAATTCATTTTTTTTACTTCACTGAAAAAGTTATTAAAAACCCCCATGACACTAAGAACATGATGGAACCTTATATATTATTAATTTTCGATTGTTTTATCTTACAGTACTCTCCAATTACCTTTTTAAACTCTTTTGAACTAAGCCTCAAAATTTTAACTGTTTGTGTAATGGGTAAAAAGTTTTCATAGTTTTCATTCCATTCGTTAATTAATATCTGTAGTTTTAAATTCACTTCTTAGTTGCTACATATGTAGGGTAAACAACTTTTCGGTTACTCAAACAAGCAAAAAAGATAACATTTTTTGAGGAGAGGGGGGTGCTTTTAATTTATAACACTTCTAAACCAAGTGTAAAGCCAAAATTAAAGATAAAATTGCTAATGATTACTCAATCAACAAGAATATTAGAAGTGGCTACTAATTGTAGGTTATAAGTTTTGAGATTTGTAAGCCACTTGCCTGTAACAGACGTTTGATGTCTTTGCCATAAAAACAGCTTTTTAAATCCCATCATTAAAAGCAACAACATGCCACAGGAAGAGAAGTAAATTTGGTTTTTATCGTTACCTAAAAAGAAGCAAAGTACATATTTAAACTCCTAGAATTGTTAAATTTTGAAGAATTGAGTGATAAGATCTAATTCTGGTCTAGCTCTCATATTTTGCAACATAAAGAGTAATCTTATAAATAAATATTGCAAAATTGTTAAATGTACCTTTATCATTGTTGTTGAATACTTTTGGTAGACCTGTAATAAAGTGAACTTTTTCTTTTTCTTTATTCCATAGAAATATCTTGCCATCACACAATGCCCCACAAACATATTCACCTAAGCACATAAACACAAAAACACATAAACACTTCGCCATGTAGCTCCATAACATGGTTGTTGTTGTGACAAGAAGCTCATTTTTAACAAAATACAGCAATAATATTTTTGTTAAATAGTTACCATTTTGAGACACATTTAATGCACAAGCATCATTTATCAATCCATAAATGTTCGGAATTTTCTTTCTCAACTTTCCAGATGAAATTGTCAATTCATTGATGTGTTGTTTGTCCAGAAGAAGAATAGTATCCTTACCCTAGGTTTAGGAACAAAATACGAACATTTAAATACAGTGAAATGATGAGATATTTATACACTTGCCAACTCAACCAGTTTTATTTTATAACACCCCATTTTAAAACAAATCTCCAGGTTGCCCTAGTCATGATCACTTTCACCCAATTTGAATTTTTTAAATAAAATATTTTTGGATTAATCATAATCTTAGTTAAATTTAAATTCGACAAGATTTTGTTCACTATAATTACGTCAGTTGTCAAAAATATTATTCACTCAAACCCACAAAACATGCAAGAAAGGATAACAATTTAAAAACCTAAGAATAATAACGTTTACCCTTTCATTGTTCACCTCATATCTACCATTAGTTGATTCAAAAAATACCATATATTTTTCAACAACTCTATGTCAAATTTTCTTAAGTGTTCTTTTTTGCAATCTTCACAATTGAACTACCTTAAGTTTCACTGTTTAAGGCCTAGTTTAGACGTCAAACTTTACATGAACTTTACATGAACTGAATACATTAAAGAAAAAAGAAAATGAGATGAACTTCTTCATTATCTTTTGTTTTAAATGAATTTGGTTCATTAAAGTTCATGTAAAGTTCGACGTTTAAACTAGGCCTTAAAACAAAATGCAATATTGCTGTGCTAAAGCTGCAACATTCATCAAAAGTTGAAGCATTTAATAAATATTTCGTGCAATTAAACACAACAGTGAACAGCATGCAAATGCATATTGGAGTAAAAAAAAGCAACTGCTAAATAAAAATCGTGAGAGAAAGCACAAAAATACAGTAGTACCTGTCCAATCCATGACAACTTAGAACACGGCTTTTTTCGCTTCGTTGTCAAATCCGAGACAATGTTAGCAATCAACTGCATAGCTACCGTTGTGCATTTACTACAAAGTATGAAATAAAAACGATCGAAATGCAACCATTGCGTTTCAATGTGCTTTGAATTGACAAACAACTTGTCACCAGTGTTGCCACTGACTACTATAGAAATTCCCAAGATTTTGGGGATAAAAGTCCCAAGATCCTTTAAAATATCCCAAGATCCCCCAGCTACAGCAAAATAGTTGTTTCCGGGGAGTTCCTTTGTCATGGGTACGCCATTAAAGCATCATTTTTGTTTTAATATTACTTCAAATCAAAAATTGTATAAAAAACGATAGTTAGTACCATTTTCTTACATGATCAAGGAAAGTTCGTGAAACATAACAGTACATAAAATTGTCAAACATGCTAACCAGACCCTATTTCAACAATCTCTTCGCTCATAATATCATAAACATCAGTTGCATTTTCTTCCTGTTTCTGACGCTGACCATGTTTATTAAAATACTCTCTCCGACAATGACCAAATTGTACGTCTTTTACAAGTTTAGTTGACGGCTCCCATGTGTAGCAATGTGCACCTTATCGAGCAATAGCTTGTTTTGCAATTAGTCTGTTTCTCAAAGTTGAGCAATGCCGGCGGTTGGTTTGAGGAGTCTTTATCATGTTAACATGGAAAAAAATTCTCTCGACACAGGCTGATGAGTGAGGTAAAACGAGAAGGTTGCACATAAAATTTCCCAGAAGTTCAAACTTTTTATTTCCGTTACCATCATTAATAACTCTAATCTCATCCCAAAACTGAGTTGGGGAGTTAGCCAAGCCTTTAAGAGAGTCTGTGGCATATAACAATTGCCTCCACTGATCATCAAGTTCATCCAATTGATCTTCAGACACTAAAGACGGAAAATGGTGTGCTAATACCGCTATCAAGTTTAGTGATCACCTGGTGGACACTAGACCAGGGGTCTCCAAACTACGGCCCGTTGGGCCTCTCAATCCGGCCCGCAGAGACACTTAAGCAAAAATAATATTATTAAACAAAATAAACTTTGTGCAGAAAGTTCACGTTATGACGCAAGCCAACTAGAAAGAGTGGCTTACGTCAATTTTTGTCTCAAATTCCTACTTCCGTTTCAAGCACATTGCGAAATTTAAAAAGCTGAAGGATAATGTGAAAATTTTTTATATTTCAATGCTTCATAATGGCCGATAAAAGAAAAAGAAAAGTAGATGATGAATGTCGGCGATTTCAAGAAGAGTGGAGTGGAAAATACTTCTTCATCGCTCTTTGACCAGCGGTATACGGTTCGTCGGCCCGCAACATGCTAGATGAAAGTTCATGTGGTCCTCTGGCTGTAAAGTTTGGAGACCCCTGCACTAGACAATGCCTCTGAAGGGTTGACAGCTGATAGCAAAGCTAGAACTCCATCACTTTTGAAAGAAAATCCTTTTATTTGGTTACATAACTCAACGAGGAAGTTACGACAATCGCTTCTGAAACGTTGTTCTTGGTTACCCGGTAATGATAAAGCTTGATTCGAAAATCCCAAACTCTTTGGAGAAATCCCAAGGCGTGGCAACACTGCTTGTCACCAAAACACACAAATCAACTTTATGTGGATTACCGCTGACTCAATAATTTGTCAAGACAACGATTACAGACCAATGAACTCTAATACAACTGTGACAGACCAGTGAACTCTAATACAACTGGTTGGCTAACTCTATATTGTGATAGACTGACAGACTAAGCATGAGACTGACAGATAGTGTTGCAATGGTCATGGCATTAGGCCACTAGCAAACAGGCCAGAGCCAGTAGCCCAGATTAAGTGCATCCTAAAAGCTTTAGAAGTTAATCTGTTGTTATAGTATAAGTCTCTATTTGTTAAAATAATCAGTTAACTGATAATGATTCATAAAATTTTAATATAATGTACACCCTGTAGCTTCGAATTACGGCTACTACATATTGAAAATTGCAGGCATGAATCTTCTTTTATAATGTTTGCCTTTTTTCCTTATTATTGGTTGCCTTTTTTCCTTATTGTTCTGTAATTATGTCTTGCCTTAAAATTTCCAAAAAAATCAATTTCATTTGAAGACACAATTTTGCTTCCGAAATTAGTAGAATTACTAAGTTTTCTCGACCTTCTGCTTGCACAGTGCACTTATCTGATTCATAGTTATCCTCAGTTTGCACAAGCCTGTGCAACTGCAAACAAAGTAAAATCTTTTATTTCTTAATGATTACACTCTAGTTTCATTTGCTTTCATTTTCCTAATTGGTATCAATCTCTATTTTGAAATAAATTAGGCCAATGAGTGCAAACAAATTTATACAAAGTTTTTTAACGCGACTTACGTTTTTTTACTAGCGACCTACGACTAAACCTTGGGCAGGTTGCACGAAGGCCGTTTCTATCCACTGGATAGAAAATTTTTCTGAACGCTAAAAAATTCCTTAAAAGGGAAACATAAACGATTTGAACTTAGCAATCATTGAAATAAAGTGCTGCTTCTAAGATTACAAAATTTCTTTGTCGTAAGGAAAATATAAACACCCAAGAAGTGCTTTTTAAAGCTATGTAAGTTTTTTTTATTCATAATTGCGATATTCTAAATGCAGTTAAATGTGATATTCTGTGAAAACCAAAAAATAACATTTCGTAAAGTTGACATTGGCAATAAGCTCCATGACATTTTTGTAACTCGTGACGCAATTTGTTGACGCAATTCGTTGACGCAACTCATCGACGCAACTCGTTTGCAACTCCACTGTGGTTCACTTTGGTGTCATGCAATTGCGTAATATGCTGTTGTTGTTTACTATGAAACATATTGGAATATAAAGTTCATGTTTGACTCAATATTTGGGAAGAAAACAAGACAATTTTTTATTTTGACAGGATAGTAATATTTCAAATTTATTGGAAATTAATCATCAGACTGGTTACCTCGTTGGCACTCAGTGTTGTTATTGGTTTCTTGTTGTTCACGATTTTCTTGGGGGCATTTGAAATACGGATCGACCCAAAATCTCAGCTAAATAACTTCCTCATCAATCATAAAATTTAGAAAATTGACCTATTTCAAAATCTTATAAATGGGAGAGCTTTTGTTATAAAATATTTCAACAAAAACCTTGTTGTAATAACGTTGTTGATATTTGAGCAAAAAACCTTTAATTGAATAACAAGAATCGTCTTCAATTATTCAGTCATCTGACGCAAGAGAGAACTTTAGGCATTGCCTAACCAGTAATCTTCATTAAAAAGTAAATGTCTAGGCTGGGTGTACAACTAGTATACTACAAATGAGACAAACTGGACGACATATACGATTTATTTTCCATTATTACTGACATGTATGATTACACAAAATGTACATATGTTGTTTTTCTACAAATAAATATGCGTGAACTAGATTACGCATTTTAATAGAAAATGATATTGGCGCATAACCCCAAGGGCCTAAAGAGAGGGAAACGAGACTGACACCAAATATTTGATTTAATATCACAGCAAAAGATTTGGTTTATTACAATAGCTAGACATATATACGTATTTGTCTTCAAGTAAGAGCTTGAGATTAGATTTGTTTTGTTATCCACAGACATAAATTGAAGTTTCTTTCAAAAATGCCATTGATGAAGTAGTAATATTTCGTCTTCACAAGGCTTCTCACTTTCTTTATTAACAAAAACTGTACATGTATACAGCTTTTTGAACTTTTTTGTGTCTAAACTAAATCGTATCAAAATTCATCGCCCATCTTCTATTTAATTGAATAATTTAATTTTTCGACACCATTTTTAAACTTTAAGCTCGTTAATTTCTTTAGTTATCGACAAATCATGAAGGATTGAACAATCATGAAATATTTATGTGTTGCTTGCGTGAGATGACCCTGTACAAGAAAACAGTTAAAGAGCAAGCTGTCAACGAAGTTTCACCAGTGTTATCGAAATAATCACCACATTAAATTTAAAAGATGTTGCAATGAAAGATAGAAAAAGCAAAGTATTACACACAAGTAAAGTTGAAAGATATATCATAAAGGCAATTAGAAAATGTTCAATTTGTCATTTGTATCCTTTATAATGTTGCATTCTTAAGATAGTTGACAAGACAAAGATTTTGGTTCAGCAAGTCTTGCACTACGCTCCAGCATTTCACTTGTTCTTCTTCGAGTGTTTTTAAACGATCAACTAAACCCGTATCTGAATATATGACGTCACTATGAAGCTAAACAAAAACGTGAAAGTAAAAACAAAATTAAGTGTCAACAATAGTTATGTCAACAATAGTTATGTCAACAATAGTTATGTCAACAATAGTTATGTCAACAATAGTTATGTCAACAATAGTTATGTCAACATAGCAGTAAAGAGTACTGACAAAATGTTTTACGGAGTACTTTCCTATCAAAAATAGTCTTTGCTTTTATTGAAATTAAAAATCTCATCACTTTCGCATATAAATCACACTTTCAGAAATTTCATTCACTTTCTTATTAACATCTCTTTCACTTTCTCTTTGAAAACACTTGTATTCAAAATGTGAGGTATATTCGTTAGTCTGTTAGAAATAACACACCTTCAAAAATAAAGCGATGTAACCTTGAACAAGCTCAAAATCTTTACGTTGCTTTAACTGAACGATAAAAAAATCTAAAATATTTTTCATAAGGGCAAAATCACCACCAGATTCGGGGCCCAAGCAACGAAATTCAGCGTCAACAGAAGATGGACCTAGTTCTTTTAATTTGACGCTAAACAATTCATCTGCAAGAAACACAAAAATAACATCAAGTCAACAAAAGTCATTAACTACATGGAATAAAACTACATGGTTAATTTTTAGGGAGGATTTTTTCATTGTAAACAGATTATAAATTGGATTCCAAAAGACATACTTTAATCTATACTTGTTATATTTTCAAGTTAACAGAGTTTCATTCAAAATAGTTTACATTTTAAAATTGGTATTCGTAGATACACAATAAAAGTATCACAATCAATACAATTAACTCATGCTGTCCTTGTTGCAACGAAGGAATATTTAGAGAGCTTTAGCAAGAGTACGACTACGACAACGAGTACGAAGTTTGACCGTGTAAGGGAATGGCACGAGGAAGTTTGTTGTCGTTGTCGCTTCGTCAAAATTTTTGTTAGTTGTAAACAACAGAACGAGCTTTTTTACTGTGAAAATACCGAATTTTGCGAAGCAGCTACGGCTCTATTTATCAATAAGAATATCAAGGAATCGGTTAAACTGATTTCGCGAGAATATGGGACTATTTAGACAAAATAGTCTCGCTAGTCGTCAAACTCTGTGGATTTAGTAAATTTGTTTCTATAGACTTTATGTGTAAACGATTAGGTGTTGATGTTGATTTTGGTGTAGATTTTAGTGTTGATTTTGGTGTTGATTTTGGTGATGGTTTTGGTCTTGGTGTTGATTTTGGTATTGATTTTAGTGTTGGTGTTGGCTTTGGTGTTGATTTTGGTGTTGGTTTTGGTGTTGATTTTGGTGTTGGTTTTGGTGTTGATTTTAGTGTTGGTGTTGATTTTGGTATTGATTTTGGTGTTGGTTTTGGTATTGATTTTAGTGTTGGTGTTGGCTTTGGTGTTGATTTTGGTATTGATTTTAGTGTTTGTGTTGGCTTTGGTGTTGATTTTGGTATTGATTTTAGTGTTGGTGTTGGCTTTGGTGTTGATTTTGGTATTGATTTTAGTGTTTGTGTTGGCTTTGGTGTTGATTTTGGTATTGATTTTAGTGTTTGTGTTGGCTTTGGTGTTGATTTTGGTATTGATTTTAGTGTTTGTGTTGGCTTTGGTGTTGATTTTGGTATTGATTTTAGTGTTTGTGTTGGCTTTGGTGTTGATTTTGGTGTTGGTTTTGATGTTGATTTTGGTGTTGGTTTTGGTGTTGATTTTGGTATTGATTTTGGTGTTGGTTTTGGTATTGATTTTGGTGATGGTTTGGGTGTTGATTTTGGTATTGATTTTGGTGTTGGTTTTGGTGTTGGTTTTGGTGTTGATTTTGGTATTGATTTTGGTGTTGGTTTTGGTTTTGGTGTTGATTTTGGTATTGATTTTGGTGATGGTTTGGGTGTTGATTTTGGTATTGGTTTTGGTGTTGATTTTGGTGATGGTTTTGGTCTTGGTGTTGATTTTGGTATTGATTTTAGTGTTGATGTTGGCTTTGGTGTTGATTTGGTGTTGGTTTTGGTGTTGATTTTGGTATTGATTTTGGTGTTGGTTTTGGTTTTGATTTTGGTATTGATTTTGGTGTTGGTTTTGGTTTTGATTTTGGTGTTGGTTTTGGTTTTAGTGTTGATTTTGGTGTTGGTTTTGATTTTGGTGTTGGTTTTGGTATTGATTTTGGTGTTGGTTTTGGTGTTGATTTTGGTGTTGGTTTTGGTTTTAGTGTTGACTTTGGTATTGATTTTGGTGTTGGTTTTGGTGTTGATTTTGGTATTGATTTTGGTGTTGGTTTTGGTGTTGGTTTTGGTGTTGATTTTGGTATTGATTTTGGTGTTGGTTTTGGTTTTGGTGTTGATTTTGGTGTTGGTTTTGGTTTTGGTGTTGATTTTGGTATTGATTTTGGTGTTGGTTTTGGTTTTGATTTTGGTATTGATTTTGGTGTTCGTTTTGGTTTTGGTGTTGATTTTGGTATTGATTTTGGAGTTAGTTTTGATTTTAGTGTTGATTTTGGTGTTGATTTTGGTGTTAGTTTTGGTTTTGATTTTGGTATTGATTTTGGTGTTGGTTTTGGTGTTGATTTTGGTATTGATTTTGGTGTTAGATGAAGATAAAATCGCAAAAATCGTTCATCTTTATAAAACTATATACTAAACGCACACCCACCATAACGTCTACACTATGAGGAACTGATGTGAATTTTCTACCTCATCACAATATTGCAAAGAAACTTTGCGATAAATATTGGCAGGAAATATTATTAACGACAGTAGCGTATTTTCATAACTATTTAAGTCATAAACCCACAACTTACAGTCCTTTGTTTCAGAACATCGAATTAACAATTGCTGGAACTCAGAATATTCAGTAAAGTTAGTGATTTTGCGCATCTTCGATTTTGAGCTTGACTAAAAAATAGAAAGATGATCAAACCAATTACAAATAAATATTGTACGTAAGGCATTCGGGTTAATGTCATCAAAAGAATTTTTGAGATATGACAAAAAGAGATGGATATATACTGTAGTAAGGCTTAGCGACGTAGATTTGCTTATATAAATTATTTCTTATATCACTACTGTCGACAGTTTTTAATGATTGCTGGTGTTTTAATTTAGAACTTAAAAAAATTTTACCTTTGTCGAACAATCAATTTTTACATCAAACTTTAATTCCACACCAGGAATCGTCGGAAGAAAAAATGGCGCAGACTTAGGAGCCTGGGGTGGTTCTATTGGTTTGTTGCGTTTCTGTAAAACAGAACAAATATATTTTTAAATCATTATACGTGGAATTGGATATATGTAGAAAAGACATAATATTTCTAACGTTGATAATATCCAAATTCAGAAGAGTTTTCCATCGGGACTCAGGTAACAGAGACAATGTGATAAGGTTTGACGAAATTTGATCAGGAGACTGATAAGTTATATTAGATGGCTTTTCTACGTCGGTTAGTGTGACATTGTCATTAGCTTCATGATTACCCACTGTAAAATATAAAGATATTACGCATCTGTCTAATGTTTTAACACAAATGAACGAGAACTCATATTTACGTAACTTTTCATGTTGACAAATATTTTGCATCTACAATAAATCTCACCGATTCATATTTGAAAAATTTCATAATTTTAATATTTTTTATTATTTTCTGCTTTTGTAAGATTTTCAATTGAACAGTCAATGAAATAGGACTTACTTGTGACATATGATATCACAAACTTATTGCAAATGGCTTGCTTGACTAAAGTAATGATACTCACTCTCCTCATAAACATCACTTCTAGCTAAAGGCATATCCACATACAACGGTTCATAATCAGCTGGAAGAGGGACGTAAGACACATTGTCGTAAAGAGTTTTATTTGCCCTAAACAATAAAAATACTTTAGTGAATCATTAATTTCTTCTCTCCTGCACGTAAAGTAGTTCGCTTCAAATTAGTTGCCATAAATATATTTTTCCAAAGATTTACCATAAATATATACCCCAATCATCAACATGGGATGTAGCGAGAAATTCTCCAACGGGTGAAAATGTAAGACTTGTTGCAGGTGATTGAACAAGAAATGAATCAATGAGTCTACAATGAAAAAACAAACAAACAAAAAAAAGTATAATATACGTACATGTAACCGTTTTTAATGCCTGGTTGACATTGATTAGTATATTTACAATCGTGTTAATAAGCGTAAAATTGCTAATTTTTAAGTCGGACCAAATTGTTCGGAGTCCCACCAAATTGAAAATGACAAACGACCAAAAAGGCCTACGTCGAAGTAATGTGCAGTACGATTTTAGGAGTTACTTGCTACAACAAATGTTAAATGGAAGAGAGGCGAGGGAAAGTTGGAAAATGAGCAAAAATACTAAATAGTCTACTGTGTAAACGTCAAGCTTTATCAATATTTCCATGTTGATTATTGTCAAAACAATACATTTCTAAAGAAATCAATAATGTTAATGATCTGAAATCTACATTGCACGACCAAACTTGCGGACAGGCTACGTAACTGAGCCAAGTGTTTACAAATTTACCTGCCCGAAGGTAAGTCCCATGTTCTTATTGTTGAATCAAGAGCTGAGGTAATCAACCACCGAGAGTCTGGACTGAACGCCTGAATGAAAATACCGAAATACAACGAAAATAATGAATAGAAGATTTCAAACCCGTCTACGAACGTTAAGGGAAAAGTGTGCAACATCTGCATCTATAAAGTTCTGTCTCCAAAAATGTAGACAAATAAGGTCTGCTTCAAACATCGAACTTTACATGAACCGAACGCAATGAAAACAAAAGAAAATGAGATGAATTTCCTCATCATCTTTTGCTCTCAATGCGTTCGGTTTATGTAAAGTTCGACATTTGAACTAGGCCCGAGACTTCACTAAACAAGATATTTGCAAATGACGAAAGCTTATGAAAAAATAATTGAAATGTTTGTCAACAAAGTTCCTAACTCACCATATCAGTAATTCTGTTTCGATGACCATTTAATTGTCGCACAACCCTTTTAATTTCAACATCGACAATTTTTACGGTAAAATCATCGAGAGCGAGAGCAATCAGTGAACTACAATGAAATTTGTAACATAAAATTCATTCAAGATTCAAAGGACATTTTCTAGTTAAATCAATTTACCTTTCCCTGTGAAGTATTATTTGTGAAACTCCAACATCAAGTTTTAGAGTGGCTTGCAGTGATTTAGTATTAAAATACCAAAACTAAAACAATCCATGTAACGATAAACATTGCAGCAGTAGTAGTGGTGGTGGTAGTAGTTGTGGTGGTAGCAGTAGTTGTGGTGGTGGTGGTAGTAGTAGTAGTGGTAGTAGTGGTAGTAGTGGTGGTAGTAGTTGTGGTGGTAGTAGTAGTTGTGGTAGTAGTGGTAGTAGTGGTTGGTAGTGGTGGTGGTAGTGGTGGTGGTGGTAGTAGTGGTGGTGTGGTAGTGGTGGTGGTGGTAGTAGTAGTAGTGGTGGTGGTGGTGGTTGAGGTGGTGGTGAGTGGTGAGGGTGGTGGTAGTGAGTGGTGGTGGTGAAGTGGTGGTGTGGTGGTGAGTGGTGTAGTGGTGTGGTGGTGGTGGTGGTGGTGAGTGGTGGTGGTAGGTGAAGTGGTGGTGAAAGGTGGTGGTGGTGGTGGTGGTGGTGAGTGGTGGTGGTGGTGGAAGTGGTGGTGGTGGTGGTGAGGTGGTGGATGGTGGCGTAGTAAGTAATGGTGGTAGTAGAAATAAATCGGGTGGTGAAGTAGTGGTGGTGGTGGTGGTGTAAATGGTGGTAAGTAGTGATGAAGTAGAAGTGGTCGTGAGTGGTGAAATGATGGTGGTAGCAGTGGTAGTGTAATCAAGTAAGTAATAATGTGGTGAAATGAGTGGTGGTGAAGTAAGTAGTGAGTGGTAAGTGAGTGAGGTGGTGTGGTGAATGGTCGTGGTAATAGTAGTGAAGTAGTGAAATGAAGTGAAGTGGTGGTCAAGTAAAGTCAGTGAGTGATGGTAAAATAGAAGTAAGTGATCAGTGAAGTAAAGTAAAAATGATCGTGAGTGGGGAAAGTAGTAATGTGAAGTAAGTGAAATGTGAGTAAGTCATAAGTAAAGTAGTGAGTGGTAAGAGAAATGAATGAGGTGAGTAGTGAAAAGTAGTAATCAGTGAATCAAGTATGGTAGAGTCAAGTAGTGAAATAGTGAAGTAGTCATAAAGTAATTAAATGAATAGTGAAGTAGTGAATGATCGTAAATACAAGAAGTAGTCGTAATGTCAAGTCGATAGTAAAGTAGTGGTCGTAAAATATGAATCATTTAGTGAAGTGTGAGATGGTGGTGGTAGTGAAGTAGTCATGGTAGTATAGTGGTGGTAGTAGTAGTGGTGGTAGTAGTAGTGGTGGTAGTAGTAGTGGTGGTGGTGGTAAGTGGTGGTGAGTAGAGTGGTGGTGGTAGTAGTGGTGGTGGTGGTAGTGGTGGTGGTGGTAAGAGTGGTGGTGGTGAGTAGTGGTGGTGGTGGTAGTGGTGGTGGTAATGAGAGTAGTGGTGGTGAAGTGGTGGTGAGTGGTGTAGTGGAAGTGGTGGTGGTGAGTAGTAGTGGTGGTAGTAGTAGTGGTGGTAGTAGTAGTGGTGGTAGTGGTGGTGGTGGTAGTAGAAGTTGTGGTGATAATAGGGAGCTTTAGCAAAGACTATGAGTACGACTACGAGTACGATTTGCGTCATTTTGGCGCAAAAACATTGTTGCGACAACAAAAACACGTAGCCGTCATCCATCTGAGGACGATGTTTTGTAAATTCGTATTCGCGACTACGATGTCTTTTAGGCAAAGAAAGTAGGTAATTTCTTCATTCTGTAAGAAATTAGTTTACAGTATTATTTTCGAGCATCCAGGCTTTACTTTAGAACATTTTTGAGCGCAGATGTAATTTAAAAGGAAAATATGACCTTGAAAACTTTCATGTATTTCGCACGCAAAGTGAACGGTAAACAAACAATAAAATCGTATAAATATATCGTACATAAAATTTAAAATAGTGAAGATTTTTTACTCTAAAGAGTCCTATGTTCTTGCTAAATCAGTATTATCGATTAGTTGATATCATTATTGACAAATGAAGCCGCAGCTGCCTTGCAAACGTCGGTGTTTTTCACAATGAAAAGGCTCGTTCTGTTGTTTATAGCTAAAACTAAATTTTGACAAAGCGACAACGACAACAAACTCCCTCGCGCCATTCTCTTACACGGTCAAACTTCGTACTCGTCGTCGTAGTCGTACTCTTGCTAAAGCTCTCTAGTAGTAGTAGCTGTGGTAGTAGAAGTAGTGGTGGTAGTAGTAGTTGTGTTGGTAGTAGTAGTAGTGGTGGTAGTGGTGGTGGTAGTAGTTGTGGTGGTAGTAGTGGTGGTGGTAGTAGTAGTGGTGGTAGTAGTGGTGGTGGTAGTAGTAGTGGTAGTGAGTAGTTGTGGTGGTAGTAGTGGTGGTGGTAGTAGTAGTGGTGGTAGTAGTGGTGGTGGTAGTAGTAGTGGTAGTAGTAGTTGTGGTGGTAGTAGTGGTGGTGGTAGTAGTAGTGGTGGTAGTAGTGGTGGTAGTAGTAGTAGTAGTGGTAGTAGTAGTTGTGGTGGTAGTAGTGGTTGTAGTAGTAGTGGTGGTAGAAGAAGTAGTGGTGGTAGTAGTAGTAGTGGTAGAAGAAGTAGAGGTGCTTCTCCTCCTCTTCCTTACCTTTACTGTTCTATCTGACGAAGCAGTGATTATCAGTTGATTTAAATCATTAATCAATACTCCAAGAACAGCACCGTCATGAGCTGAAAAACATAATCAATTTATATGAGCAAATTATGGCCAAACTTATAAAACTAGATACAGATCTAAATGTGCTGTTGAACCTTTTTCACTGCCTAAGAAGCCACGATGAATACCAGATTGAATATTAAAGATATCCACGTGACCTGACAAATAACCAATGACGCAGTAATTACCACAACAGCTTATTGCCACACACTAAAAAAACCAATCTGAGCATGAAAATGCGGTATGACACACATTATGTAGTATCATCATTTTACCTTCGCGACAGTTTTCTTTGCTTCATGTTTAGGTTGAAGAATATGTTTTCCAATACATTTATTCACATAATTCCATGTCCAAACCTTCGATGTTCCATAATGACAAGAAATAATTCCATCCCAGTCTCTTTGACGAATTTCCTCTAAACAGTCAAACCACGTTCCTACAGTACCGCTCGCGTATAACTTAAAACTTTTTTTGCGTATGATACACCTATGCTAAGAATATAAATGTGTTTTGAAACGCGTAGGATACGCGAAGAATACGCGTATTATATGTACTAATTATATAAAAATTGTTTTCAAAAGAGCAACTGCCAAAATAATAAAGGTCGAAATAATAACGTAATAGTTCTTAAAAGAACTGTTGAAAGCAGAACACTAACCCAACAATTCTAAAAGAACTGTTTTTAAAGCTACTATGCAATTTGGTAGACTACTCATCAGATGCCAACGTCTGCTAAATGAAAACTTTAGAATCATGCGATATTTACAATGTTAGGAAATAGTTAAAACAGAGGTGTAAATCAAACGCGTATGTAATCCTTTTGTCGCCAGAAGACGGGATCAGTCAACTTTATTAATACAAACTCCAAAGTACATGTAAGAAAATCTCTACATTAATACAAATACCTGAAGCAAAGTCGACAATGACCGGCAACTTAAGTTCTTCGATTTTAACACTCAGATTTTTTGATCGTTTTAAAAAGGATCCTTGAAAGATAAATAAAAGAAATTGACAGTCATAATTTCAAAACAAGGCCACAATAACTAAAATGTTACAAGTCAAAATGACATATATATTATACATGTTTGTAAATGTAGATCGTCCACATGTAACGATACTCCTGGGTTCAAGCCATTTACTTCATATATATTATAGATATTGAAACAGAGTACCTTGAGACAATTCGCAGCTTTGGGAATCGCGTATGGTAGAGGTAAGACGGAAGCTACAATCTTGTCCTGAAAAATTGAAAAATCTACCGTAAGTTAAAAATGAAGGAAAAATCCTCCATATTTACTTTGAATTAAGTCGTTTGTTAATGAGGGAATACTTGCTAGGTACATGCTAAGAAAATACAATTACATACCAGCGCTAAGTATGGAGTGCCCTCGATAACCGTGAAAACGTATTTTGGAAACAGGAGCACTATGTGCAGAGCGATATTTCAACAAACGACCGCTGCCATCAACTTCGTCAAATATCCAAATCTACAACCCAAACATTGTAACTTGTGATTCTAACATGATCGACAATAATATAAAACCAAACCACACGAAAATGAAGTCCTTTTAATATGGTTAATGTAGATTTAATGTAACATTTTGTAAAGAATAAAAAGTGTAAACACGTGTCCACGTCATTTAATACTTCTGTACTACTATAGAAATTAATCTAACTTTTGTATGTAGAAAAACACGAGTGAAAAAATCTTCTGCCAAAGTGAAAGATGCCATTATTCTTATCCTTTCTAAAGATTTATGCTGAGAAGCTGTTAGATACGTATGTTAGATGGGTTAATTTGAGCATGATAGACTCATTGTTAGCGAGACTTAAGATGCAGAAATAACGCAGAATGATGAAAATAAACAAAAATTTTAGTAACATGCTAAAAACGAAACAGGACTTTAAACACAAGACCGTAACAATCAGATAATTAAAAAACAAACAAGCTACGTGATGAAATGAAAAAACCAACAAATGGGGTTCAATGTGTCTAAAATTGACGCACAAAGTCATTTTTAACGACATGAATCAGAATTGACAATTAAATTCAAATACCTAACTGACCTTTAAGGAATTATCTGGACTGGTTGTAATCATTAAAGGCTGTGATGGTAAAAATCTGCATGAAGTTATGCTTCTATCATGACAACTCCTTATTGAAGACAATAAACATTTTCTTTCTAAATTCCACAGAGCAATATGACCTAAAGTACTTCCCGTTGCCATAATTGCTTCATGATCTAAAACCAAAGACATGAACATCTCATATATATGAGCTAGCTGTTCATATGTTTTTAAACAAAGCATTTCTACCATATTTTTAAGTTACCTGTCCTGAATGAGATACTTGTTACAGCTCCCCAGTCTTGCATAAAGCTCATTAATGTTTTGTCAAATTTTAAGTTATGAAGAAAAATATTTCCATTGCATAATCCAACAGCAACAACATGAATGGCCGGTGCCTAAGAAACACATAAATTAATTAGAAAGAAAAATGAGACAAGAAAATGAGTTTTGTTACACAACCCACAAGTATATTCATGAAACATGAATGCTTTAATGTATGTATGCTCTCAATGTTTTGCTAACATAAATAATGATTTCTACAAATAATTAACTTTCCACTGACATTTTGATAAAAATGTTATCAATAAAAAATTCTTCAACTAAGCCATTTCCATTAATAGCAATATACATATAAATGAATCAATGTAAATATTTTATCAAGTTTTGCAATGAAATAATTAGACAAAAGCAGTTGGGTGAATACCTGTTCAATGACAGTTATAGCATGACACCAGCCCGAGAATAAATGAATCATTCTGCTACAAATTAAAATAGTTTAATGTAAGAAACAAACTTTACATGTAATGAACTTTTAAAGCTGCAACAAAATGAAGTGAATGCAACAATAAACACAGCTACTATAAAATTCTTTAAAATATGGAAGTATAAATTAAACAAAAACTTGGTTAATGATTTATTTATAAAAATAAGTTTGCATTGCATACATAAATGACAAATACAGACTGTGACTTTAAACAAACCTATTTTTAATATTCCATAACTGCATTGTTCCTTGTTTACTTCCCAGGAGTATTTTATTAAGATAAGTACTAGGATGCATTATGCTTGTCACTTCGAAATCTGAGGAATCCAACTGAATTTCAAGATATAACTCTAAAATCAAAATAAAACAATTCTGAGTTCAAAACACATCTATTGGTACAATTCTAATAAATTCCTTATTCACCAGTGGTTTTTATCTCCCAAATTCTTAAACAATTCATTTTATCAACAGACAATAAATGTTCAGCAAAAGGAAGGAGCAAATGAATATCTGTATCATGACCAACAAAATCTGAAACCTAAAATAATAAACAGAACCAATTACATACATGTAGAATATTTAAAAACAATATCTTACCCAGCATAATTTAAGGTAGAAAAATTCAAGTTGATTGAGTCTGAGGCAAATTTTATTTCATGTGTTGGGTATATAAAAGATCTTCTGAATGGAAATTCAATTTTGTTAAATATTTTATTATAAATATTGATTTAGAACATGCAGTAATATAAAAATTGCCATCAGGAAGCTAAATTTTTTAGTAGAAATGAATAATGACATTTACGTAGTGATTTCACAATGCTATAGTTTCAGTAATTTTAAGATCATACATGTATTTAATATCAAGTTATTAACCTGTTTTCCTCTTTTCCATAACTGGAGATTTTTTCCAGCAGCCGTAATAACAAGATCATTATGGCAGCATATACTGCTAATGTTTTCTTTCAAAGGTGAACCTTAAAAAACAATAAAGTTGAACATCAATAAAGTGCACTATAAACAAAGGATGTTTTAAAAGACAAAAAAATCAAGTTAACATACTCACGAACAACAACTTTAACTTTTCACACTACAGATAAAAAAGCAAGAAGAATAAAATGACTCACGAAAAATGTTCATTGAACACTAGTTCACCAGTGCCTATCGCCTTAGTCTGTTAACAAGTTACATCAGGTAAATAAGACTTTGACAAAATACTGACGCTGTAGAGATGATAAGACCTTCCAACCACGGTAGCAACAAAAATTTCCTTCCCTAAACTCTGTAATGCCAGGGGAATGCCATTTGATATAAATCCTAGTGCTCGAAATGGTGAGAATATTTGGCTGCCATTAACGTTTGAACATTTCGCCATCTTCAACTTTGATGAACACGTGTTGTTAGCAGGGGGGAGTGAAACTGTTTGTTTGTCAACTGTGCACTGATACTGTGCTAGAGGCCAACAGCAGTTTAGCTTCAATATGTTTTCCGACGCTTTGATCATCTGATTCCGATCCTCAGAGCTTGTTAAGAATGAAAACAATTTAATGAACAAAAATTGAACAAAAACCGTCTTCTATCCTTAAATAACTTAAAAGCATAGCCACTTTTATAGTCGAAAAATCATTTTTGATTATTTACAAAGTATGTCATCATTTACAATACCCCCCATCTCCCACTTTCTTGATAGTTGATACCACAGATAATGCAATGTACCTCAATGAATCGGATGTAATATAACATATAATATGTTCATTGTTGCTCTGGACTTTGGTATGATATTCGTAATTGAATGTTTTTATATTTGAGTTGTTAGTTTAGGATTTCGTAATCCTAAATATAATATGTTAGTTTAGAATTTGAGGAAATGAATTTTTGAGTTATAAAATTAACTTGAATAATACGTTATTAAGATTGTCTGCTGGTGGCTTGTGGTTACAAAATCAGATGGTTTGAAATACAAACGCTAGATATAATGTTTTCAAATCAAGTGATTAAAATTATTGCTCTGACAACTTTATTTTGGTTTTCTGCCATTTTGCTAATATTTATGTCGCAAGATGAGTTAACGAGAAGTTCTCTGGTGATGTTAAATGCTCCTATGTTTCAAAATGATGATCATAAATTCATGCACAAGGTTGGAGTTGAACCATTAAAACCGATAAATGATAATATAAAATATCCATGGCAAAAGAAATCTGGAATAAAAAGTTCAAGGAATGCTGGTTATCTGATGAGTTTATCAAAAAAAGTTGGCAAACTTATTCGCGGTAATCAAAAAGCTGTTTATGATGTCAGTAAATTGAAAGAAAAAAATACCTTAGGTGCGATGGGAAAAGCTGCTTATCTTGCTTCTGAAGAAGATAAAAAGCTAGCTCAAGAGCATTTTTCCGACCATTCTTTTAACTGGGTATTAAGTGATAGAATTTCCTTGGATCGGACTTTGGATGATTATCGTGGATCGAGGTAAACCATAAATGTGCATAAGTGAATAAAATGTGTGTCCACCACACATTTGAATTTTTTCTTTATACGTATGTGTTCTTAATTATTTATATTGCATATGTAATGTACATGTTCTCCTTTTTTTTCCTTTCCCATTTTTACTTCCCCGCAATTTTTATCCATCATTTTTTTCTCTAATTACTTCTTTTAACAAACTGCATGTCATGAATTTTTTCTGTCAAAATGATTTTTTCATTATTTTTCCATATGAGATCAATAACAGAAAAGCCATTGTTTCAATTACTATATTAGACTTTATAGCAAAAATAAAAAACAGTTTGCATAGTGTACTGTGTAATGTATTTATAATTATTTGTTTCCATTATTTTATTGCATAAATAACAATCTTAACTTAAAAATATAGACTAACAAATGCTATAAAGGTTGACCATCAAGCAAACAATTAGTATTAATCATAAGTCTGAGTCAGTTCTTTAAACTTTCTGTTTTACAACATCAAAAGCAACAGAAAATACATTATATTCACAATCTTTAACTTAGTTACTATGAAAAGAAATACATATTGACAAATTAGGTTGTTTGATAAAGCAATTTAAACTTGTTTCTGAGGGTATTTGACTCAATCATTCTGATCACTGTTTTGGATTGATAGTTTTTTATGTTCGTATGTAAAACATTAAATTGCTCAATGTCATTTTCTCCTTGAAAGGTTTATGAAACACTGTTATTTCCATTTCTTAGTCAAAGTTAATGAGGCTTTACATAAAACTTGTTTATCAACTCTGAATGTTGTAGGTCTATAATCAATGATTGTCAGTCACCAGAGCTCTATCTGCTATGTTAAAGTTTCACTTGTTATTTAGTCACTTGTTCACGTTTTTAGGTGTAAATCCAAACACAACAGTTATCCGGAAAAGTTACCAACAACAAGTGTCATCATTTGTTTTCATAAAGAAAGACTTTCTGTGTTACTTCGCACAATCCACAGTGTCATCAATAGAACTCCTCCACATCTATTGACTGAAGTGATTGTTGTGGATGATTTCAGTGAAGATAGTAAAATCATTTTGTGAATCATACATTAAGAAATTTCATAAGTTTATTAAACATTCTTGTTTTTCTTATATAGAACGTCTTGGGCAACCTCTAGATGAACATGTTCTAACCATGCCCAAAGTTAAGGTATTTCGGAATAGCAAACGTGAAGGACTGGTGCGAGCACGTTTGCGAGGAGCTCGCGAGGCTCGTGGAGACGTATTGACGTTTCTTGATTCTCATTGTGAAGCAACACCAGGATGGGCTGAACCATTACTTGCGCGAATTTATGAGGACGAGAAAAATGTTGTTTGTCCAGCCATTGAAGTTCTCAATGCTGACACTTTTGCATATCAAGCGTCAGCTAATGCCGAACAAAGAGGTGGTTTTAACTGGGATCTGTTCTTTAAATGGAAAGGAATTCCTCCTGAAGAACAGAAATTAAGGAAAGACGAATCTGATCCTATTCGGTTAGACATCGCCAATTCATTTAAAGCAGGATTTGATGTGTCAAATATACTACTAGATTTCGAAGGATTTTTGGATTTCATAACATAGATATTTTTTCAACACAACCCAACCAAAATTTGCTTTCCTGTCCCTGACACTCTGTTTTCTCCAAAAGCTTTTTAATATGTATATGTACTTCATCATGTTTGATCCATTGATGCTTCGTCTGTTAGATCTACGATATTTTACAATTAATAACTGTTAATTTTACTTTAGCGTAACTTTCTAGTATTTTTCATACGTTTTATTGATAACCTATGTTTCAGAACACCAACAATGGCTGGAGGTTTGTTTTCAGTTGACAGGAAATATTTTTTCCATATTGGATCGTACGATGATGAAATGGACATTTGGGGCGGCGAGAATTTAGAAATTTCTTTCCGAGTATGATTTGTTTTTTTATTAGTGCATCTACCAGAATTCACATATTGGTCAATTCAATAAGTACTCAAAAAATTGGAAAACTGAGATTTTTGTTAAATTGAAAAGTTGTTACATTTATGGTTCTTATGTCAAATGTATCGCAAAATCAAGATTATAAGGCCACTGTGACATACATACGTATGTGTCCAAAATACGAAGCTAAAACAATTTTTTTGTAAATTTGTATTTTTAAATGTTTAGGTTTGGATGTGCGGCGGGCGATTAGAAATCATTCCTTGTTCACGTGTCGGTCACGTGTTCCGTAAAGTTACCAGTCCCTATAAGTTTCCAGATGGGGTGGAAAAAACCCTGAGTAAGAACTTAAACCGCCTTGCTGAAGTTTGGATGGACGAATATAAAGAGTTATATTATAACAAGAAACCCCAGAACCGCAATAGGGACTTTGGAGACATAAGTGGCAGAGTGAAGTTAAGAGAAAGGTTAAAATGTCATAGTTTTAAATGGTATTTGGAAAATATTTATCCTGATATCAGAATGCCTGAATTGAATCCACCTGCACAAGGCGAGGTAAGATAGCATAATGAAGGTTATCTGTGTACATAGGATATGATTCAAATGCTTAGGGAGGATAGATAGGATAATTTAGTGTCACAAGATAGATAGGATAGGATAATTCACTGGCACTTGGGTAGTAAAAATATAATAATTCACCTGGGCACAGTTGCACTTGTAGCCATCATCAAAGTTTGGCCGTTTTATGTAATTATTTCATCGATCACTTGCTGTAAAACATGAGATTTACGAGAAAAAAATTATGGCACGATCGAACTTTCCCAGCTTGCAATGTCAGTGCCTGGCAAGACAAGAAAATATTATTGGTTACCTTTGACTAAACCTTTGGTAACCAATGATAATGAAGTCGGCCATTACAACAAAATTTTTAAGAGTTTGTTTTGATAAGCAATTTCATGAGAAATGAGTTCCGGTCGCTACTCGTGCTATGAAATCAATTTTCATGATAATTAACTTAGGTTCGCAATCCTGAAAGTGGTTTATGCTTGGATTCTCTTGGAATGAAATCTGGCAACAAATTGGGATTGTACAGCTGTCATGGACAGGGTTCTAACCAGGTGCTTTATCATTTGTGTTTCTGACTTTGACGTAAATAGAAAATATGTGTGATTTACTTACGCTAATTGTTGTTTTTAGCATTTTGTTCTTTCCTCACATGGAGAGATCGTATGGGAAAGTGAAAACTGCGTCGATAATTCGAATTACAATCCTGGAGGAAGTGTTGAATTGATTGCCTGTCATGGTATGGAAGGAAATCAGAAATGGATACATGATAAAAGTTCAGTAAGTGCATTTTACTTAAAACCACGATCTTTACCAGCTACAGGGAGTTCGTAAATTTTTTCATACATATATTTTGCAATTAATTTAAATGAAATACTTTTGGTATTGAACCGCTCCTGATTAAGTCGTGCACGGACTTAAATTTAGTAATTAGCTATATATGAACACTTCTACTCACAATAAATAACATCAATGCCAGAAAGTATTCAACTATGTATAAGTACTCTTTCCCTGCCTTATTATTATTTTTGTTATGTAATTAAAGCCTAATAAGTAATCTTCCATGGAATTTTCACTTTAATCAAATGCATCATTATAAGTAACTAATGAATAATTCTAAAATCGTCCAAAATTATTTAGAAATAACAATAAGAGATGAATTTCTCATAAGTTAATAAATATAACTGAAAACAGGAACTGCTGTTTTTTAAATAGACTTTTTTTTGACAAATTCGTTGTTGTGTTTAATAAAATCAACGTATGTTGTAGGGTTATATTAAACACGAAATAAGTGGTCAGTGTCTTGATCGCGGTGCGTCAATGAACTCTGAAAATCCAGTGGTAAACCCATGTAATGGTGGCTCTTCTCAGGTTTGGATCTTTTCGCGTTATAAGAATGATTAAGATTTTTGTACGTTTTCATATTGCTATAGTAAATTATCATTGTAATATTTGAAAAGATTTTTGTTGTAAATTGCAACTTAAAAAATATGCAATCCAGAAAGATTATTTCTTATGAATTACGTCAAATAAAGACGACTTATGTCATTTGAAAGCCAGTCTTAAAAACAAAGTACAACAAACGAATTCTGACGAATTATATTCATATGAAAACCAGTCTTTACTATGAGACATCACATTCAGCAATCAAAGACAGTGGTCATTGGAACTCGGGTCCACAGCCAAAGTGAGTCAAAAAGTAAAGTACATTTTTTTTCATGATACGCGTAGGAACAGATTTAAATTGTGGCAGGGGCTGAAGTTGAAGAGAACCCTTATTTTTTTGAAGCTCTAGAGGGTCTCTTTAGCTTTAGTTTAGTGTATTTTATGAAACATTTATGACTCATCTAAGCAATATATTAAATTATACAACCCATATAGAACTATTTGTATTGTTGTGAGCAATATGACCGACTGTTAATGACACAAATCATTGAATGTATTTATGTTAGTCTATAGTGCATGATATAGTGATTCTCTATGGCTGTAAAACATGATACGTTTTAGATTGGATGAACGTCAGACGCTAGAGTTCCTTGTTCATCACCATACACGATGTAACTAATGTATGGTTTCCTCTTTTCAATACATACTAGCAAATATTTCTTTCCTTCATATTGTTGAACATGTAAATAAGAATTTATTGATCTAACATTACATGTTTGTAAATGTAGATCGTCCAGGTTGGTATAGTCCTGAGAAGGACTGTTTTTGTTGTTGTTGACTGACGTTTCGACAACCTTAGCGGTAGTCATCTTCAGAGTCATTCGACTATATAAACCAAATTGTTTATGACTATGTTCAAAATTATTTGTTGGGTTCTAATATTTATTTTGAGAAGTTTTACATACCATTTCATATATGAAATCAAATGTGAAATTTTTGTAAGGGTTGAAACAGGCCTTAAATATGTTGAATTTCGTCGTTATTCGGCATGTCTTTTTGCTGTCCGGGTACAAATTCTCCTTGACGTTGACTAGAAAAAAATGGACGATTTAGATGTTTTTATTGAGTATAGTCTATGTTAAACATGTTATACCTCCTTAACCTGTGGATTACTACTGCCAACAATGTAAGTATGAGTATAACACTTGCCATCGCAGCTGCCGATATTATTACAATCGTCGTATTTTTAAGTAAATCTCTTCTCTTACCTAATAAAAAATCCACATTTTAGTTGGACTATTGCTTTTTCGAGTTAATATGCTCATTTTATTTTCAAGTAAAGAATTGTGCTACTTCTTACTGTATGACACTTGTATTGTAATATGCGTGTTACAAACCTCACGATGTTTCTTTTATTAAATAAAAATCTAGAGACAATAAATTTGATCCTTTTGTAACGTAGGACTATTTTTGATGCATTTTCTTTTATTTCTGTTTTTAAGTTTGTTTTCAATTAACTTTACTAAACCTATCACATGCAAATATGGATTTAAAAATCAATATTTTGAAACCATTACTATGGCTTTAGTGGAATTTTAAACTTACTTATTTTTTTCTCACAAAATTTGGGTGACTTTTTGTTTTGTTTCACGTGTTTCGTTGACGGTGGCACCTGTAAAACTAGGTGACTTATCTGAAATATTGCTCCGAATCTTGGACGGGTAAATATACCTGGATTACCAAGCATAAGAGTGAAATTTATGCTTTCAAATTCTGGATATCGAACATTCTGTCCATGGTTGTCTTCGCCAAGTAATTGCCCATTTTCATAAACGGCTAAGCTCTTTTTCTTACACCAGACAAACATTAAATGAAACCATTTGGATTTCTTCATTGTGAAATGTACTGTCCATAATTTTGATGTTGTTGATACACTAACACGAAACTTTTTACATTTCTTTTCATATTTAAAGATAATTCCAGGTCCAATCAGACGTTTGGTGTAGCCACCTGCACTCAAAATTGATATTCCTGCCGTTAAAAAGAGGTGATTTGGATGAAATGCTTCACAAAACAATAGCTCACCTCCCTGCAGACAATGTGTTTCATATACATACTCAGTTTATAAAATGGTTGAGATAGTTTTAGTTAATGTACAGTACTAATAGTGCAACCCTCCTAACATCTCTATCTCTGTCCTTCGTGCACTCTAAAGGGATAGTTAGAGGTCTGGATTGTTAACTGTACCTTTATAGAATTTTAACCAAAATTTAATTCTCAAGTTTTTATCATAGAACGAACATTTTGCACTGCTTAAAGCCATCCTTCCACGGTTGGTGACGAATGAAAATACTTGACCCAGTTGAAGATCATTTTCTATACGTATTCCTGTCGTATATTTACCAGATAATTTGTGTAATTTTCTTTTTCTGATTAGCCAAGCATTGTCAGTTGTTTCCTGGGGAAAAGCTGTCAAATATGTGATGAATTTATCATATGAATATGTACGGTAATATGCATTGTCTTAATTTGCCATTTCATTATGTTTCTAGACATTTCAAATTATAGTATATTAAATTCATGAAAGCATGCATGTTTATCTGAAGGCATCTCGTACGAATTTAATACTAATGTAAGGTGAATAAAATATTTAATGTTTTTCTACCTGAACTATCATTTTCGACATCATTTGAAGATAAGCAAATGTAACTTGAGCAATGTTGAGAAAATGCGAAAAATGTCAGTAGTCCATAATGAAAATAAAACATGGTTGTAATGCTTTGTTTTAATGATGTAGACTGGCACAAACATACGATCTGTTATGAATATATCAAACTCTACCAATTACCTTACAGAATTCAGTCTTCACTAAGTTAATTTGCTGTCACTTAACGTAAAAAGAATGAAAATTTAGTCCAACATTGAATGGGCTTTTGTTGACTTCGACTTATAACATTTCAGAAACCATCTACTTTATTCTCCCTGCTTTTTGTTGTTGGAAGATTTTAAGTATGAGTTTGTTAATGTATATTTTCTGTAACATTTGAAAATGCGGTTTCCAAGCAAGCAGATGGCCATTTATTATTAATGGAATATGGAATATATCTTTTTCAAGGTCATACATCGTCGTCATGACGAAATTAAACTAATCATTACGACACGTCTGAAAACAAAGGTCAAATATCCCCCACCACAGTACAACCCACAATAAAGTGCTGTTTTACGTATTTTTAAACTCGTAAGTTAGTTAATGGTAGTAGTATATATAAAAGTCCCTACGAAACTGTATTCACATATCCACAAAAATGTCGTTTGTATCAGTAATGTCGAAGGACACTTCACACTACACATACGTCACAATCTTGACATAATCAGGGAGTGAATAAATATTGCTATAAACGGTTAGATTTGGTCATTTATAAAGGTAGCGTGTTGGACACCTAAGTAAAAGAGATTATTGACGTGTTGTATATTTCTTTTCCTTAGTACATTTGTTGGTGATTTGAGCAATTCTGACTTTTTCTGATGAAAAATGATCAACTAAATCAAAACGTTCCATTGGTGGACCAGACAATTCACGAAAAGTCGGCGGGAATACCTGAAATCATGAAATAAAAAAATTAAAAATACATGCTTCTCCTCTCGACCCACAATTTAAGTTTAGGTCAGTTGTGGGGTGAGATTATGTGACAACATACCGCTGATTGTAAAGGAGGGAACGGCGTCTCAAACTGCGGAGGAATCAACTGTAGAGCCTCGCATTTCATGACAACTCCTACAAGAAATCACAGATAGTTATGAATAAAGTTCAGAGATTGTCTTAAAGTTACAACAGCATGTTTACCTAAGAACTTCTGGTACGATTGCTGTATCCAGTTTGAATAAATCTTTCTCGAACATCTTAGAAAAATCGTTAGGGATCTGAAAAAGCAAAACTAGAACGTAGAATAAAAGTATAACATACATTTCTCTATGGTTGATGGCAGTATAACATACACTTCTCTATGGTTGATGACAGTATAACATAAACTTCTCTATGGTTGATGACAGTATAACATACATTTCTCTATGGTTGATGACAGTATAACATACATTTCTCTATGGTTGATGACAGTGTAACATACACTTCTCTATGGTTGATGACAGTATAACATACACTTCTCTATGGTTGATGACAGTATAACATAAACTTCTCTATGGTTGATGACAGCATAACATACATTTCTCTATGGTTGATGACAGTATAACATACATTTCTCTATGGTTGATGACAGTACAACATACATTTCTCTATGGTTGATGACAGCATAACATAAACTTCTCTATGGTTGATGACAGCATAACATAAACTTCTCTATGGTTGACAGTATAACATACACTTCTCTATGGTTGATGACAGTATAACATACACTTTTCTATGGTTGATGACAGTATAACATACACTTCTCTATGGTTGATGACAGCATAACATACACTTTTCTATGGTTGATGACAGTGTAACATACACTTCTCTATGGTATGACAGTAGAACATACACTTCTCTATGGTTGATGACAGTGTAACATACACTTCTCAATGGTTGATGACAGTAGAACATACACTTCTCTATGGTTGATGACAGTAGAACATACACTTCTCTATGGTTGATGACAGTGTAAAATACACTTCTCTATGGTTGATGACAGTGTAACATACACTTCTCTATGGTGGATGACAGTGTAACATAAACTTCTCTATGGTGGATGACAGTGTAACATACACTTCTCTATGGTTGATGACAGTGTAACATACACTTCTCTATGGTTGATGACAGTATAACATACACTTCTCTATGGTTGATGACAGTATAATATACACTTCTCTATGATTGATGACAGTGTAACATACACTTCTCTATGGTTGATGACAGTATAACATACACTTCTCTATGGTTGATGACAGTATAACATACACTTCTCTATGGTTGATGACAGTGTAACATACACTTCTCTATGGTTGATGACAGTATAACATACACTTCTCTATGGTTGATGACAGTGTAACATACACTTCTCTATGGTTGATGACAGTGTAACATACACTTCTCTATGGTTGATGACAGTGTAACATACACGTCTCTATGGTTGATGACAGTATAACATACACTTCTCAATGGATGATGACAGTAGAACATACACTTCTCTATGGTTGATGACAGTATAACATACACTTCTCAATGGTTGATGACAGTAGAACATACACTTCTCTATGGTTGATGACAGTATAACATACACTTCTCAATGGTTGATGACAGTAGAACATACACTTCTCTATGGTGGATGACAGTGTAACATACACCTCTCTATGGTGGATGACAGTGTAACATACACTTCTCTATGGTGGATGACAGTGTAACATACACCTCTCTATGGTGGATGACAGTAGAACATACACTTCTCTATGGTTGATGAATCTATAAATAACATGTCTTATAAATTGAAATGATGATCACATGAAATGATGATTAAAATCAAAGAACCCAATGTTGTATCCTCTCCACAATTAACCATGATTCCAAAATGTTCAAGTAAAAAGTTGATATTTGCACTAAAGTGTACCTCACCACCCTCTCCCAGTAAAACAAGGATACTTCCACCTTTCTCAAGATATGGTTTCATTGCTTCAAACTACAAGATGTTAAAATGTATAATAAAAGATTAAAAAATTAATTTATGTTCGAAGACACAATGCTTGCTTTGCTTGCAATATTGTTAACCTGAGCTTATATAGGTTTGCAAGCCTGATTTCATGGGCATTTAGTCCTTATATAATGAGAAGGGCTAAGTATGAAGGAGGGGACAAATACATGTATTTTATTACATTGTAGTGATTGTCAAACTATTATACATACAAGCCTACATGCAAGTGATCTTTTCGGTTGAATTAGTTACAATGGTTAAATGTGAAAATCCTGGTTGGTTTATTTACAGAAAAACATATGCATGAAGTATAACAAATTTTATTTCAGCTGTCTGCAATATCTAGCATGTTTAGCGGCACTTCTACTAAGGAAAGAACAATTAAGATATAAAATGCTTCAAGAATGATATGAACATCACACAAAAACTGTCAAGCAAAATAGAAAATGCGATTTGTGATGAGAAATTGTTTAAGTAAAATGCTGATGTGCAGCAAGTGAAAAACCCAATAACACATGCACACATACATATCCTCCAAACTTACTTCACTTGCTGATATTTTTTCTCTTGGTCCAGCAAGAACAAACAGATTAGCATACAACAATCTCTCCAAGGTTATTTCTTCCTTATTTCTGTAAAAATACATCATTTAATCAGTGTTTTCACATCATATTTGTCTCCAGCCTTTCTGAAATCAGTATCACTAACATACATGATAACTTTCCAATAATTTGTCAGTTTCCTCACAAGATTTCTAAAGCCACTCGCTGGAATAAAGAGCTCTTTCTTTGATGCATTGAAAACGGTAGTGTTATTTTGACCATAACTGTCCTCCGTTCGCTTCCATAATCAAATATTAATGTCAGAAAAACAAAAAACAAAACTACGTTTATCATGGAACTTAGTATGTGTTATCTACATCGATCTTTACGCATTTTTTTTGTTTAGGAACAAGGAGATTACTAAGATACACACTACTATAGACTGTGGCACAATTAAACGAAATTCCGTTAAATTGTTTTGTTTATCTACCATTGGCAACAACAAGAACATAATTAACAGTACCACAAACTTTTAATTACAAAATGACTCAATTTCCACAATTCCTCGCACAATATATAGAAGTGATCGAGTCAACTTTCACTCTTGCTGTTCCAACTAAGTTCTATTGAAATATAAACAAAAAAAGTGAATAAACTGATATGTTTACCTGCTCTGAATTTGTAGCAATAGGAGCCATACATTACTTAAAAGAAATATTTCCCCTCCGGTAATAATTTTATACGTTAAGGTATTAGGAGGAAGATTGCTTGTGATAAGTTGATGGTGTTACTTTGTATCCATGTAAACTCAATGAACTCTAATGCAACTGGAAGGCCAACTCAATATACACATACCTTGTCTTGGCTTTAGCCACTTAGAAGCTCATTTGCCGCTTCGCGTGTACCTCGCATGGACTGTTTTATTTGCAAAAACTGCTAGCTTGGAAATAGAATGCTAGCCTAAATGCTTTGTTTTTTTGAAAACCGTAAGCAAAATTTGGTTATTAATGTCTAAGATGCATTGTGGACGTTCCAAGGCATGTTTTGTATACGTAACGCTGTATTATATGAAATATTAAAGGAGAACTTGCTTCGAAATATGAATTTCACATTTGCCGTCGAAAGACCAAAAATTTAAGATAAAACTGATAACAGGTTGTCTGTATCTTTGAATGCTGTGCAAAATACACACAATCCACTTAACATAACGTGTTTCATAACAATTTTATTGCTTTTAAAGTTTAGACTTGCTGTGTAAGAATTTCACATGCTCTTTTTGTAATGTGTGAAAGTGATGATTTGAAATTTTGAATTGTGGGTGATTGTTGGTTCTTGTCATTTACTTTTCCCACTTCTTAAGAACTGGTGGAAGATTTAACATGCATCCATATTTGTGTATTGAGCATTTTATCAGCAAGTTCATGGTTATAAATAAATAGCCAAGTGTACACTATGACAAGTATTGCTAATATAACCTGCGCTCTACATAAATGCCAAAAAGCAACCCTCATCCTCAGTGGTTTGAACCAGAGTTTTAAAATGATTATAAAGAAAGCAAAGCTATATCATGCATCAAAATTTTATAGTATATCATATTGATTGTAAAATTAGTTTTTTCTTGTAATACAGATGATGATAAATGTATATGTAATATATTAAATATTAGGATGTGTGTTTAAAATGTTTGGTCATATTTGTGAAAATATATGATCATTCTTTAATATTAGACTAATAATCTTTTTCATACTTCTATTACATTACAATTTTTGCTTTAGTGTTTCAAAAGTTATGAATACTAAGTGTCAATTGTGTTTTTGTCCCTTTTTTAAGTGGGTATTGACCCTTTTGACTCTTTAATGGTGCAATTAATAATAACACAATAATATGGCATAACAGTTTTTTATAAAACGAACTCAAAATATTTTTTGCTAACTTTTTTAAATATTTTTAAGTGTTTTTCTTTTTGTTTACGCTTTGAACTTTCAAAAAGGACTGGGGCGAGCTAATTTTGTTCGGAAACACTAAAATCACCGAAAAACAGCGTTTTTTGCCCTGACAGCTTCATTTTCAAAGACTCAAACAATATTATAAGGATACACAAGTGTGTTTTACATTCTTTTAATAAAAAAAAACGAGAGGTGTCAGTTTTGTATTCAAGTTATATGGCACGTTTTCATCGTTTGTCATCGTTTTGTGGATAAGAGACGGTCTAAATTTTGAAAATAATCAGTGTTGGCACCTCATGATGATTGTGGGCATGACCAAACATTTTTTGCTAACAACGCCACTGATATTATGGATTTAACCACAAACAACAAATATAATATTGAAATGTCATATAATGTTTAGATGCAAAGATATGACTTTATTTTCCCACTAGACGATATCGCATGTCCATGAACTTTTCTCGCAAAGAATGGATGAAAACTTCTCAACTAGTCAATTGTATTACTGATAGGCAGGTGGTGCTTGGAACTTCAAGTAAAGGACCACAAGTATAAGCACCAGGCCGACGGTTGACCATTTAAGTCGGTGAATGTCATCTTCAACTTCATTTATGGCAGAACCACAATGGCTCCAGTACGACCAGTAGTGAACTGTAGAAATGTAATGACGTCACTTTCAGGAGATTTAATTTGGTCAAGTGGTCTACCGTTGCGTGCTCGTTGTCATTTTGTGGAGATGCATCAAGCATTTTAGAACTTTTCTTTGGTGTGGGCTTTTTTTCTTCGTAAGACAAGTAAATGTTTGAGGTATTCTGGAATTCTGCACCTTCGATCTTCAACGATTCGGATTACAGCAGTTGCAATTACTTTGCTGCAAATATTGGATTCCAGGGAAATTACTTGGTCATATAACTAAACTAGATCTACTTCATTCAGTAGCTATAAGCTTGAAGGCTACAAACATGTACGCATTTCACGTGTACCTAGTTTTTAGAATGTATGCTATTTAATAAACACAGTGTTTCGGGAGATGTACCCGAAGGCCGAGAAAAGAAAAAGAAACGTGAATATTCATGATAACTACGATAAATAATGATATGACAATGACATCGCTTGGCCCCAAATGTGGACACTGTTTTTTTTTCAAAACAAAACGAAATGAAAGGGAAAACCGGTGAATCCAGTAAAAAAACCCTCAAATGAAAGAAAAGAGCACAAATTTCCTCAAATTTCCTCAAATTTTTGTAGTTTTAAGATGTTTCATATTGTTGTTGTTTTTAATGATCCCGAATCCCGATGATCTACTTTAATTTGCAGTGTAGTCAGATCGTGCGTTACAGTCATATAAAAATTTAAATTTACAGAGCGACAAAAAAGCAGGCTAACTACGCTATCTACACAGCAAATATTTTGTGTTGCAACATAAGAAACGCAAACTTTAGTAGAAAGAGAACAAAAAATAAAAGAGCGCAGAGTGTTAACTGAAATTTTGATAAATAGACGAAAAATGAAAACTAAAAACAGCCATATATAAATCATATGAAAAAAAGATTCAGTACCTACGACCGGACCATTCACCTGCCAATAACAATGAAAAATGAAATGCCTAAATAACGTCATGACTTACATAAAAGAGACCTTCATTAATAGCTGGCTTTCACGTTTTTGGACAGAAATTTAACAAATAAGAAATTATGTTTCACGGAAAGTTTCAAGGTTGAATTTAAAATGCGCTATACTGGTGAACATTACGCATTGCTTAAGTCGCAAATGTGATTCTCTCAATAAGGACGCTTGTTTCTTGGTGATTCTGTCCGACTGGGTCAGTACATTCATTGTCCAGTTAGAAGGCATACAGACATAGTTACTCTTTAAAAAAACACATAAATGTCAGCTTGTTGAATGAATAAAAACAAGAATGAAATATATCGAGAAGAACAAAACTTTAATACCTGATATCCAAGCGCTGTCCTGGTTGTCTAATCCAGGCGACTTAGTCGGTCTCTTCTTTTTTTTCACCGCGCAGTTTTTACGTGTATTTTGTTAAAATTTATTGTAACATTTTTTATCTTAGAAATGTAATGAACCCTACTTGCAGCATCGAAATTTTCTTTATAAACGTTAAATAAAATTAGTAAAAAAGTAGGGAGTGAAAGCCAGCTATTTTCTCAAAGCAAGAGACATCTTTCATTGACATTTTTTTTAGTTTGGGTGTTATTCATGATTAAGATTCAAAATAGAAAAATAGACCATCGGGATCCTTTCTTTACTATCTCGTGCAGTTACTCATGCAAGACAAATTTAACACTTATCTACTCAACTTACAAACCACCAGACATGGAACGTGTTTTTCCACTCGCTTGTTTTCCATCTTCGTAGATTATATTCTGTGAATTTTCTTACGTAGATATGCCCTTATGCGATGTTCATTCAATATGTTTATAGCATTCCATACACGAAGTTACCGGCATCATTAGCCAATAAAGCAGCTACTGATATGTATTGCCATTTCAATTGATTACAATTTATAATGCACTCTTGTGGTAACTTTAAGCGAAGGAATGGGGATCACTCCAACACCCCAGTTATATCATCACTCAAATGCTTAGTGCAGAGTTGATCTTTTGTGAGTATCAGTTGACCACCTTTAGGTGGGCTCATATAACAATGGGGCCCATCATCATTATATGAACGAACAACTGACATCCAGAAAGAATCTAAACTACAAATGAACATTCTTGGCCATGAATCACCATGACACACGAGTAATGACAAACTAGTAAGAGTAATTGAAGTCAATGACACGGGTGGTAAAGGGACTTTCACAACTCCTTCCATGTGGGATCTAAAATATAAGAAAATATGAAACAGATATATAGAGAATGAGCAAGTTTCACTATGTTTTCTGTTTAACCATTCAAATAGTTAAACAGAAAAGAACTTTCAAACGAACAAAGGCTTAACATCTCGTGGTTAAAGCATTTTGCAATGAAATCTTTCATATTACAAGGTCTACACTAATACAAAATAAAGCAAATTCCGAAGAGGGACATCTCGTTTTCTTGATATTCAAGATATTACAAGAGTTTGAAACAAAATAATGTGTAATATTTCGTCTTTATTCCAAAGACATCATCAGACTTATGATTTGTATTATTTGAAATTGTCTGCTTGTCCTGGTTATAGGTTTACACTAAGACTAGTTGATAATTCCATGTAGCTCATACTTTGGTACTTCGTCCGTGAGAAGACAGAATTTACCTTTATTTCTACAACGTTAAAGTGACTAATCTTGACAAATGGCGAATTAAGTGTATTTACATTCATTGCATATTCAGTAATGACTAATGTGGCATTGAAAAAGCAAACAAAAAATCAGCAGTATCAACAGAAACCATTGAGATTTTCACAAGAACAATATAGATAAATCAAAAAGCAAATAATCATTTATCCTCAGTGTACATGTGTAAAACATTTCAAAAAATATACTGATAGTTTGTAGTAGTTATCCATGCATGTTTAGTTGACAGCTATTTTAAACTCACTTGACTTGTTTTCCCGTCTCCGCGTGTAGCTTATCAATATCAACCGAGTTTTCTTACAAATATTGAAGGAAAAGGCCAGTTGCTGTTGATCGGATTACGCCCAAATTATCGGCTGTAACCAATCTTTCCCTATCTTCTTCTGTAGCTACTTCGGTCCAATGAACGTATTGTTAACTGTATTTTTCCATGTGTTAAAAAAGTTTCTTCATTGTCATAGATTCCAATTCTTGTTCTGCCGCATTCACAGATGTTGACTGGCGGTCTTGATTTTCTTACCACGTTCAAATACATCTGCAATCAAATGATACGTCTTTCGAAAACTTGTTATCGATGACAGTTGAAGGCAACAAACTTTTATTTGCTTTGCACAATCACAAATCCTTATACTTGTCGCCTATGTGTATAGTCTTCTTCCATTTTATTTCGACAACATCTTCTTTCTACGACGCCTCGTGGTTTATGTGTGGTAAACTTGAAGTGAATAGCATTTTTATGCATGGTGCTAAGCATGTCTTTGTATATATTTGTTCCACATGATTGTTCAACATTCATTATTCCCAATTGAACAAACCACCGGAGATCTATGAAATCTAATTTTTAAAAACAAAACGCATTGAAGGATTACTTATTGTCTTTGTGAAAGGTGACATGCTCCTAAGGAGCCAATCACCATAAAAATTTTTGTCATGACGACGGTTAAAGAAATGTTAACAACGGAAAATTACTCACTTTAACATTGTAGAAAGAAAAGTAAATTATGTCTTTTTACTGACGATCTACTGAAGTATCAGTTACTTGCAGAAATGAACTAGTATTTGACCACGATAATAAGCCTTTGATCTTTTCGAAGTTCTGATTGCATTGTTTGATTTTTAAACTCAACTGACTAAAGCTATTCGTCCATGTGATTTAAATATTTACCTTCGATCATCCTTCACAAGCTATGACACGGAAAATCACAAGAATGCAAGCAATCAGGCACGTTAAAATCAATTTACCTTCCAGTGTCTTTTATTGTTTTATTTCTACTTACAAATGAAGAAAAGAAGACATAAACAAATATAAAGTCAGATATAAATGTTCACATGCACGAAAATTATCTGTGATATCACTATATATTTTGATGTATTCTTGACTTGCAATTCAGCCATGTTGGTGGTGTGATACAAAAGAATATTTTATCAGTGTTATTGTTGGCACCAGCCGACGTGGGCGTGTAACATTGTTTGGTACATCTCAAGAGAATGGTTGTAAGACCAATTTGCTTGCTCACATTATTATTTTGCACACTATTGTCATATCGTTTTTTCATTACAAGTTGGAAGTCGTCGCTAAATTTTTCATCCAAAAAAGAATATCTTGATAGAAGAACAGATTCAAGTACAAGATGACCAACGTTTTTATCGTAAGTATACATGCTATTTTGATTTTATTTGAATGAAAATAGGAATTGCACAAGCAATATTACCGCAACCAATATTCACTGAAATCATTCTGGGCTCGTTTTCCTTGAACAATTACCATTAGCAGCAGTATTATCATCGTTTCCCTTCAATTTTACTTGTATCACCATCTGAAAATAGAATGTGTTTGCAATAGATTTTTAAACACCAAACTTATATTAAACATATTTCAATTTGATGAAGTAAAAAAAATGAACATTTTTTGTTTCAGTCGGGTTGATCATTTTGTAACATATACAACACGCAAAAAAATATCGTTACCATTATTCAAATTGCTCTTCGTCTTTTTTCAAACAATTGCAAAAAAGAATGTTACTACTATGTATAATCTTTGAAGATGAGTCATCTCAAAAGTAACATCTGGGAATTACAACCATTTACAACAACGTTTCAATAATTGACACAACAAAGTCAACTCATGTTTTAAAGAGTTCCGCAGAAGTCGCATTGTCATCAAAAACAATTATCATAAGGCAAAAAGTGCGACGAAATTTCAGATGAAAAACATAACGAAGCAGCAAATATCACATATTGATAAAACGCCGCTGAACTTAAAAATTTTCTGAAACGAGTGTGCCGTTAAGCATATGTCGTTAACAAACATACCATGCCAGTTTGCTACGAAGAACTCGCAAACCGGCGCTCTGTAAGAAAACTTTTCTCTTCGCACTTAGCTAAAGGGAAAAGGAGCAGGCCTTGTACAATAGGATGATCATGTAAAGCAAAAAAAAGAATGAGAAAAAAATATTTTAATAATTACTCCCACTGTCGATAATCCTTGAACATATACTTAAGCATTTTCATCTGCTTGTCACCTAAACAATCATCAAAATAACAGGAATTAACAAGCGAAATAGTATTAATTGATATGTTTCATTATTAACAAACAATTAATGACCAACAACAATAACAGTTTAAAAGTGTCACATTCCAAAATTACTTAACAGGTTTTTTTCCCAAAGCTGCGAGTTGCTCTTCCTTGCTTGCCTTCATCTCATCAGACAAACAAACATAATTACCACAATTCTTGATTTTCATGGGTGTCTTAAGGGAATAATCAACAAAGAAAGGACACCAACATCTCGCCTAATAACAAAGGGTATCTAATGATATTATTTTGTACGGAGCCATTAGTATGGCGCACATGAAAATCAAATTCACAGATTACTTTAAAAACGGATCACTTTCTTCTATACCAATTGAATGTTAAAAGTTCATTGACAATGGCTGCTTCATCGAACTAAATATAAAAGGTGTCATGTTCAATGGAAGCAAAACAAGACATGTCAGAAGTCATTATCTCACAGTCCAAATTTTCTTTATTTTACAAACAGACAAAGCGACTTGTAGAGACGACGAAAACAATTTTCGCTTTATTATAAAAAAACATGTCATATAGATAGACATTAACAAAAGAAACAGCAACCATAGCGTTGCTGCAAAATTGCAAAGTCCAATTTAAATTTATTGCAAAACCAATCAAAATCGTTCATATTCATTGCACAACTTTAAATTCATTATATAAAATTCAAAATTTTCAATCCGTACCACGACCCAACGGCTTTATCCTCCAAGTTGAATTTTTTTAAAAAGCATTAATATGTGGTTCATCTTTTTTACAGCGAATTTTGTCGTAGATGGACAACTTTTCGCAATAGACAGAATATTTCACAATAAAAAACCGTCTGTGAAAAACTATACTTGTAAAATGTAAATGTTCATTCCTTTTTATGCAAGAGAAACCGCAAGTTATTAGTAGCCTTACAGATCTTCTTTCTCAATCACTAAACCATAAATTTTCTTTTACTGCTCAACAATCTTTTAAAAAAAAGGTGTACGAACAGCAAGTAGATTTATACTATGTTCTTAAGGCATGAAAGCCACATTTAATGATGTAATCTTTGTGACTATCTATAAACATCTTTACAATTTTTTGAAGATCACATTCAGTTTCTGTTAAAAAATTTATATTTTTCTCGTTATTATAAAGCATCATGTAAGTTGTGCTATTCATAACAGCTTAGCTTTCCGCTTATAAATGAGTAGTAATGAACAAAGTACTTACAACATGTGGCTTTGAGCTTTGTAAACGATGTTCTTCGCTTGTGGCATTGACAAAACTACAACGAGAATTTCTTCTTTTAATGTACATATTACTCTATAAATCTATTTATTGAGGCTTAAATAATCGCGATGATTCTCCTACCTTGAAGCATTTGAATGTATGTTGATGAATATTGTCCTTGTGGCATATTTCAAATGGTTTTGAATAAACGGAACTTTCAATGAACTGAACCAGCAGCTAGTAAAAATGTTGAAGGAAATCTTCCACCAATAAATAAATACAATAGATGTTTATGAGATGACTTTCAACACAATACCTTTTTTAAACGTAGATATAGAAACATAAAGTTATAGCAACATAAATAAAAGTTACCACATCGCTTTCAACTTCATTGATAATGGCTTCTTCACCAAACTTTAACAAACGAATTGTAACCTTACCTAAATATAAATAAAGTTATGTTGCAAAGGAAGCAAAAGGAGAAATGTGGGACGTCAATATATCTCAAATTCCAAATTTACTTTACACGTTTTTCTGCTAAAGCTGCCAATCGCTCTTTCTTGTCTTCATCTCATCAGCCAAACATTAATTATAGCTTTGACAACAGAAATTCTTTGTTGTCATGTGTGTCTTAAGGGAATAACCAACAAAGAAAGGACATCCACCATGTCGCCTAATAACAAAGGGAATCCAATGATATTTTGTTAAAAGTCCATCAGTATGGCGCACATGAATACCCCCCAATACTTTCCATAAATGAAAAATTTACAGTTAGTAAACGAATCGCTTTCTTCTTGCCAATTGCATGTTAAAAGTTCATTGACAATGGCTGTTTCATGAATCTAATTATCAAAGTACTATGTTCTAAGGAAGCAAAATGAGACACGTCGAAATTTAAAATCTCACAGTCCAAATTTATTTTCTTGTACATACATACGATGCAAACGGTAGAGACGACGACACTTATCACATGACTTATCACTTATCACGACTTTATTACAAAACACATGTAATATAGACAAAAGAAACAGCCAAATTAGGGCTGCTGCGAAACTGCAACGTCAATTTAAATTTATTGCAAAACAAATGAAAATAATTCATATACATTACACAAGTTTAAGTTTATAAAAACAAATTTTAATTTTCAATCTGTACCACGCCCCAACGGCTTTATCTTCCAATTTGACTTTTCATGAAGCAATGGTATGTGGTTAATCTCTTTTACCGATAATTTTGATGAAGATGGACAACTTTTCACATTAGACAGAATATTTCCAAAGCTGCGAGTCGCTCTTTCTTGTCTTCATCTCACCAGGTAAACATTAATTATAATTTTGACAACAACAATTCTTGGTTTTCATGTGTGTCTTAAGGGAATAACCAACAAAGAAAGGACATCCACATGTCGCCTAGTAACAAGAGGAATCCAATGATATTATTTTGTATGGAGTCCATCAGTTTGGCGCACATGAATAACCCCAACGTTTTCTATTAACGAATAAATTTACAGTTAGTAAACGAATCGCTTTCTTCTTGACAATTGCATGTTAAAAGCTCATTGATAATGGCTGCTTCATGAAACTAAATATAAAAAGTGTTATGTTCAATGGAAGCAAAATGAGTAATGTCAAACGTCAAAATCTCACAGTCCAAATTTATTTTCTTTTACATACATACGATGCAAACGGTAGAGACGACGACACTTATCATTTTATTATAAAACACATGTAATATAGACAAAAGAAACAGCCAAATTAGGACAATTTGAAAAAAAACGACGCAATAATCAAAATATCGGCAACAATATTGATTATTTCAAAAAGCAAATAAGTTGTTTTGAATAGAGCCTACCCAACTGTGTTCATTACATGACGTCACAACATGTACTGGGTACCAGATCCCATTGGGAAAAAATATAGTGAAAATCTGGACTTTTAAACTGCAAACGCGAAGAAAGCTTTGATCTCAATTCATTTGTTTTTCTTAAATTTATAGTTTTCAAGAACTTCTCTTTCAAACTATACTAAAATCGTACAAGGTTTATATACACTTTAACGTATGGGCGTTAAAGAAAAATGAGATACAGTGTCACTGGCAGGCACATCTCTTTTGTATAGAGGATCAATTTGACAAACCTACAACAGTGATTTGTGTGGTTACTTCACAAAATTGACTTATATAAGTAATTTGAGGGATTTAATACTTATATAATTTGAGGCTTTAAGGCTAACTTTAGCATGCTTGCTGTAAACGTTCAAGACTAACGGTTTAAGACTATTCAGAAATTCTGAAGAATGAAATAACAAACATTACAACAATGTTTCAGATAATATTCATTCAAACTATAACGCGGTTATGTGTGTAACATGTGAAAAGATGACTTAGGTTCTTAGGTTTAAATAGGTTACACCGTGACTGACCGTGGAGTAATTTGCAAGACAGGATTGATGCTAGCGAAAACAAATATTCTAGATTTCATCTCATTCTAAATTAACCTTCTTTACCTTTACATTACATACGGAGGAATATCATACAATGAAATAAATATAACTTGTTATATTTCTTTCACATAATGGCAGCCATATTGAATTTTGCAGAGCGCAAGCGCAAAACCTGGACGTGCAGCATATGCTTTGAACTGGAGACTGGGCCAGAGTATCTAAATACTGGAGTTTGAACTTCGGAGAAATAATTCCTACTTTTGCTGTTCTTAAATCAATATTTTTTCCATTGTCACTCTTTGATCGACGAAATGCATCCTGTGCTACCTGTTTTTCTTGGTATAGCTGTTGAGGAACAGGTTTGGTTTGGTAGTAGTTTAAACAGAGAATTATCAATGTTGTTTTGTCACTGGTGTTATTGCCACTTGAGTCTTGCTATAACTGTTACAGATGAAAATGTATACATTTACAATAGTATTGACGAAATTTACCCCTGCTGCTTCTAATTATCAAGAAATCTGCTTTCCTTTATCAATATGATATAAGAAGTCTTAATTTCGCGTAATTTACAAAAAATATAATACACTTTTGTGAGGATTTAAATCAAGTTTATTAATTTATAAACATTGTTTCAAATGATACTTCCCTTTCTTTGTTCCTTTTTGAAGTTTTTATCCGTATAGGACAAGTGAAATCAAGTAATTCCATATAATTCATTGTAGAACATGTTATTTTTACAGTTTAGATGTCAACACTATGCATCTTAGTATTTGTTTAATTAGATTGTTGAACTTCGAGCATATCTCATTACAAATGGGGCCAGCTTGGAACAAAAAGGACCAGATGATTTAAGTCAAAATCTCGAGGAAATATTTTCTGTTTCCAATGAATGCTTTAGGTCTTGTAACGACTCAGGTAAAATATTGAATGTTGACCTTATTTCATATGAACTTACAGTACAGTCCTAAAGTTTTAGATCACTTATTAAAATGATCATATTTAATCAAGTAGAAATGTTATGTTTTAGAACTTTTCATACTTTTACACGTTTGAGGTGTAACATTCAACAATTATGCAATCATGAAACAACAATGTTTTGATATTGGCAGTAACTCCTACATTTCTTTGTGTTGATATTACCACCACAAGCAGTCATTACAACTGCCAAGCTACAAATTATTAATGCAGCCAGGCTATGTGCTTATCACATTTTTCAAGGATGGAAGCTTTGATGTCTGTAAGCTCTGGCAATACTTACTTTCTAACTTTTCTTTTGTTAACTGTCAAGAAAGCTTGATGGTAAATGAAACATTCTAGATCCTTGCACTCCTATATATAACAAATATATATTTTAAAGGGTAAGCTTGAAAAATTGATGCGCGTTAAGTATGCACGTATAGACATTCTATATTCACTGAAAAAATATAATTTTTACTCTCATCAAAATATGATAAAATGTTGATGAGCAACATATTATCCAACATGAACGAAAACTTTTGTACAGTTGTGTATTCTATCTAAGTACGTTCACTATTTACTACACATAAAGGTTTTTTAACTTAATTATTGTAACAACATAACAACATGCATTATGGGACACCTCACTGGGGATTTTGGTGATTATTTGTTGCTGTACGTAGTACCTTATCACTTTCTTTACGTTTTTATTCTGATAAGTGTGCGCCATTTACACTAATCTCAACTGCATTTAGTAAATTGTTTGATGTATTACCTGTGGTTTATTGTATGGCAAGCGTCACTTCCAGCAAAATGGCAGCTTTGATTGGCTCAGAAACAATTTTGCCGGTCCATTATTTTCCCGTAAACGACTACGGTCCAAAACGCGTAATTTTGCGGTCAAATGTAAACAAACTTCGTAAAGCAAACAGCAAAACGAAAAAAAACGAAACAAAAACAATCTGATTTGAAGGAAAAATACTTGGAAAACAGTGTAACTATCCAGACGATACAATTTGAAACGATTTATTTTGCTGACAAAAACTAGAAAATTGAATGGTAACCTGTACAAAACAGCAAAAACGAGAAAGAAAGCAAGCTTCGTTTCAGGTCAAATAATGCCGTATAATAAACCTTTTAATTACCTCGCTTTCTCGGTCTTTACTGAGAAACATCGGACCTCTGTCTTTTTGTACAAACTTCGCCCTACGGATCGGTCTGTACAAAAAGTCCTCGGTCCGTTATTTCTCCGTAAAGACCTCAAGCTTGGTTATTTGTGGAAATTTTTACGACCTTTAGCTTAGGCTAGGAGGGATGAGATCCTCACCGCTGATTATCAATGAATGTAATATTGAGCAGTCAAAAAACATGGTTCAATATTGTTTTAGAGATCAGTGGATTCCTAAACAGTTTACTCTCGTTAATATTTTCCCTCAACGAGTCACGTGACAATGTCGTTTGTTCTTTTGTTGAATTTTTGATGAAAATGGACAGTCATGTAATTTTAAGACATAAAATGTAGGTATACAGTATATTAATTTATGTCTAGTACCATGTATTTTTACATATCAGACTTTATGGCATTTGGCAAGTCACTTGTTAAATTCAGACTACATTACTTCGTTGATGTATTGTATTCATCTTCCTCTAGACTGAATACTCTGTTTTGTGGCTTACATAATTTGGATCCTATTCGTTACAATGTTTACTGTAGTCAGTTAGAGCTCGCATCAAAAACAGGATTTCTTGAAATGGTGACGATAGACATTGATCAAGTAAGAAAGTTACGTCGTTTTTTTTGTGAACGAGTCACCGACTCACTGTCGGTGAACGACGTTAATGCTAGAAGTTTGTCAGTGTTTTGTTTTTGTTTTGCGAAACTAAGATAAAATAATTTTGTAGGTAAAAACCTGGTTGACTGGTTGGGATAATATTGAAAAGTCACGAAATATCTATCGGCTTCTTCACAACGCTCTCGTTAACAATGGACAAAAGTACGATGTATTCTTTGCAACTTAATGTGTTTATATGGTTAGAATTATAATAATGTAGGAGGTTTTCACTGAAGTCCGAGAACACTTCATTTATAAAAGTTGTCGAGTTGTTTACGCACCTTTACAATTCAGTTCAAACAATGCGTATTCTTTACATTTTATAATGACACGATAAAAAAACCCTGAACTAGTTAAAACAAAAACTAGACCTTAGGATTTTTCATATTTACTATTTCGTTATCTACATTTGAATTTACTTCACAGTTTGATCTTCTCTCTTCTCTCTCTGATTTACACGCGATGTATGTAAAACTGTATTTTCTTTATCACGCATTGTCGTAAAAACAACAATTACAAAATTTTATGGCGTGCGTAAGTAGGATAAAAGTAATCAATTAAAAAATTACTGCTATAAACAAGTGTGTCCTGTAACTATTAAACATTCAAAACTAAAACAAGACTGCGCTAAAGAATTAAATGATATTATATACTAGTAAAAATGTTAAATAACACATAGCTATCTAAAGTTGTGATTTCATAGGGTTAGGGTTAGGGTTAGGGTTAGGTAATTTATTGAATTGAAACACCTTTCATTTGAAATGGCATATTTAATGAAACTGCTAATTTTGTCTGAGGTCTGTTTACGGAATGCTGTGTAAAAAAGTGTAGTTATATTAGCCAAAAGGAAAAAAAAATACCGACGGGAAATAAAACAAAAACTGCTGAAAGAACTGCTACCTATTATGAACATCTGTTTATAAAATGCTCAATGAGCTACATGATTACGGCTTTAAAGTATATGGCTTTCTTTCACATAGAAGAATCTTTGGCTGAAAGCCTAGAAAGAAAAAGAAAAAATATAAGAAGCAACTTTAAGTAACTTTTTTAAAAAATTTGATTGCATTTATTGATTATCAACTGGTTAAACATGAAAAAATGTTTGCACAACACAAGTAAAGTAGCGGGATGTTCACGTTACTCGTTTGTACTTACAGAAAAGTTCGTTCTTAGTCTTAGACAGGGTAAAAATTATAAATATATAAAACCACTACAAGGTATTTTACTATGAAATTATTTTAGAGAAAAATCATTGGAAGTTATGATTGAGTTATTGAGGACATTTCCAGAAGACAACGCTTCTGAAGCAAAGCAAGATGCAAGTGATTGTATTGTGTCGTTCATTGATAAACCTAACATTTGGCTTTTTGATCATCTCCTTGAACTTGGACCAATCAAAAGTTTAAAAGGAGAGCTTATTTATAAGGTTAGATATCACTTGTGTTGAGTCAGACATGTGGATCTTACATGCACACCGCAACCAGATCAATAAATTAAGCAAAAAATCTTTGAATTCTTCTGATTATTTTATAACGTCGCAGTTCTTAACGTTTTAGCTCCTCGAAATATTTATAAGTGGTAATATACATGACTACATGAAGTTTTACGATGAAAATTCAAATTTCCTTTCATCAACTGGTATGTAGAAATGAATCTTCACTTGCATGTAAACAAAACGACTGTTTTTATTGCGAACTTGCATTGATAGCATATTCTTATAATTGTAGTATGACTTGTGTTAAAATCGTAATTGCTCTAACATGAGTGACTAGTACTGTATATGATCTGATAAACGCCCCGGGCTTTCAACAAATTCAGCAATTCTACGAGGGGTTGCAAATAGATATGAGGCGTTTAATAGAAACAAGCCTTTATTTTTGTTACTTTAGGGTAAACTAATGAAAACAAAATCAAGATTAAATGTAGTTTCTGAGCCAATCGACTGCCTACTATTATGATATTATCATGTGGTCGGGGGGGGCATCCATATAAACTCACGCAGTAAGGGGTGACGTTTGTTGGAACATTTAGTTGACTAATAACTAATATCATGCAAAAAACACATTAATTGCTATTTACATACAGTATGTTGTACTGTTGCAGGTCTAAATCATGAAAAGAACATGACGAAAATGAGAATACTGTCCTTTGTTTCTTTGGTGAATAAATGGGAAGAAATTTCTTTCGAAGATTTGTCAAAAGAATTACAAATTAATCTTGCAGATGTGGAAAGTTTTATCATAGATGGTAAGTGCGATCTTCGAATATCGTATTTTTGTTAACTGTACGTCATGATTTTGATGATACTGATGTGTAAGTAGTGAGTTCGCTTTTATGCTCCGTTATCTAAAGCTTCGCAGGCGATTTTTTTTTTGGGAACATTTTCATCCCTTCGACATGCTTTATTATTTTACTCCAACTAAATTTTCTGTTACTATACTATAGTACGTATCTTTGACCAGTATAGAACTTATCATTTCAAAGACAATTACATATTTTATACAACCACCGTTTACAATTGTGTTTCTACCATGCGCGTTTTCATGGAAACACTGAAATTTAAATAAACGACTAAACGCGAAGTATACTGTCACTTTGTCACGTCAACTCCATTTGCCTTTATACGTATTTTTACGTCCCTAGTTTATTATGTGTGTGAAAGCAAATGTTGTATATTCGTGATTCGCTCGTCTTTGGTAATATTTGGATGCATGATTTATGAAGTTTTGTTGGTTATTTAAAGAACTGTACAACTATACAATTATAGGAAATATAATTAACTTCTTTCATTACGCAATGTTCACTCATCTGTTGGGCTTTATATCTATTCTCTATCGAACCTTTATGTGTAACCAATAAAACGCACTATATTTTAGAAATATGTACAAGAAAAAATGTAACCATGTAAAGGCTGAGAAATCATTTTATGGGTCCGTACCCTTAACCAATTAAAATTCTGAAAGTAGAACGAAATGATCTGGTACCTCTAAATACTCAATTTACATTACGTAAAATTTTCATGTCCAAGTTGGACAAAACGAAAGTTTCCTTTATCTTTAAACAAAAAATAATCATCAGTAAAATATTTACATTTTTATAGTACTTATTTTTGTCAATCAACTTTAATTTATTGAAACAATTGTGGTTAACTTTTAGTATTAAAGACTCGACTCGCTCGTGTGAGAATAGATCAATTAAAAGGAACCATTATAACAAGGTAATTAAAAAATATATTTTTACGTGAAAGCTTTAGCTTTTTCCTATCGACTTTATAAATACAAATATATACAAATTCAATTTTATTTTCAGTTCTGCAGCACACCGTACATTTGGGAACAAACAATGGCTGTCTTTACAAGATAAACTTCAAGAATGGCAAGCAAATTTACAAACCGTCCAGAAACAATTAGTTGACATTCAACCTTTGCATAGTACTTAATAGAACTTGGAGAATGTTTACTATTATATATGTTCTTAATTCTTCATGGCGTATTAAATTAATCTTTTTGATTTAACGCTCCAAATAACTATTCATAATTTAAATAACTTAGAAATTCTGTTTAATTTGTTAGAGAATTAATGGCCTAACTACAAATGTTTAGTAGAAACAGTGTTGCCAGGTGGTGAACAAAGTTCATATATTTGTGAACGTTTTTCTCTCTTCATGAACTTTTCATGAACTTTAAAAATTTGCGAACTTTTCAAAGTTTCATGAATTTTTGTATTTTCATCAAATTAGCAAAGAAAGTATAGATAAATAATAGTTCAATGCAATCTTCATAGCTCGACAATTCTTTTAAAACAACGAGATTTTCAAGTCCGATGTTTTCCGGTAATGTCCGAGCTATTACAACGCTTTCCGACAAATTCCATTCTTAAAAGTTAGATATAAGAACTTTTTGCCATTATTGTGAACTTTAAACGTCACCGAACAAGAATATTTTAATGGCATCACTGAATAAATCTTGGTAGTTAACCGATCGCTTTCCTTAAGCCACCATTCAGGCTCCAATCGTCACAGGCATTGTCGTTACTACAAATTCTGGACACCGGCGTCTAATCTCAAATACTCATTGTCTGCATTGTGTCAGTTTTTCTAACCTTTTCTCTTAGATTTTGTTGTTGGTGGGCAGGCCATAAGCGCTAATGTTGTGGTTAGAAACGTATTGAGAGTTTGCTAGGACTTTGCATCCTGCAAGTAGATACTCTACAGTCAGGTTGTGCTCGTGGCTTATTCTTAATTTACCATCCACTATCAAATCGCATTTTCACTCCAACTTCTCCATATAGGCAAAACACTCTGCTATAATGACGTTTTCGTCTTTGATTTTCTGTCATCCACGTAGCTTTTATCCCTTGGTTTAATAATTTGAACAACACATGCACATGCTCCACGCTTAAAGATAAAGTCTCTCATCAATCGCTTGTCTACCAAGCGTTTTGTCTCATGAAGCTTCTCTTTCAACACTTCATGACTTTCTTGGTATTGCTGTAAATCATCCACAAACCAGTTTTGAGAACCCAGTTCTCAAATGCGCATCCGTTGCGTACGCCATTACTCCAGCCAGATAAACTTGGATAAACTGGCCAGAATGCATATGTTAATATTATGGAGAGTTGTTTTTCGAAAATTTGACGAATGTAAATTCACTTATGGACAAAATTTTTGATGCCATCGGACAGGATACCAACGATATGAGGTAAGAAACAGTTTTGTTGTAAGATACGTTCGTCAACTATAACTTTACGGGTTTTAAAGTTTCTTTGCCTTGAATTGGATGCAAGATCCATGTTTAGAACGTCTCTTACATTGAACGGCAATTGCCCTAAGAATTTATTATTTAGGACTAATACAATAAGGTAATAAATATGTTTAGTGTGATTCCATTTCTGTATTTTTTAGTAAAGAGTTTCCTATTTGAATGGTCAATGGATTTGTTTGAAGCGATAAAACGACCTACTGTGCGTGAAGAACGTTCTTCAGATGATTCACCATATTGATCAACCGGCAGAGAGAAATTATTGCAACAAAGGGCTCAAACATTTAATTTTTGCTAAAATCCATAAACTTCATTCAAGAAATTAAAATTTTTATTGTAAATAATCATGTCACAAACAGAACTTAATCTGATAAAAACCAGTTATAGTTACTCTTAATACCATTATTTAAATCTAAATACTTTACACAGGAACTTGTTTACCAAAAGGTGAAACACAGATACACCAAAAAACTTTTTCAAAACATTTGACAATAGGGATAAACTGTGCCAAGCCAACACCAATCTATTTCACAAAAGCATTCAGGAAGCTTTTCTATGTTCACTTCTCACATCAACAGTAAGCATCTATGTCAAATATATAAATAATCTCCTGATTGAATTTAAAAAGGCAGAAATAACAAAGTTAAGTCATGTGGACAATATGACAGTATATGCTTTACAAATTGCTATTCAAGCACTCTATTGATGGACCAACATGCTGCTGCTGATGCTCCAACTCGCTCAAAAAGTCATTCAAGCTTTACTAGTCACAACTGTGATGAATACAAAATATTTTGGCATCAGACGACCTTCATAGTGGCCATGCAGCAGCTTTTCTGATATTTTAAAACACCTGGGTAGACAATTTTGGTGATTCGAATGTCCTGCCAAACTTTCTTTGCAATATATATAAACCAACTGGAGGATAATTTGATTTGTCGCTTGTTTCAGCAACGACCGAGACTTCAAATGTTAGAACAAATATCTTCAAGATTCTCTGCAGCATTCTTATATGATAAAACTATACATTATTATACGATCTGGCTGGAAATATGGCCACCGTTTATAATACCCGGGCTGCAGAACTCAAAACAGGAGAAACGAACATCAAAGGTTCCGACATCGAGTGGCGCTCTGTTACATTCCTTATTCTGTGCCATTATACTACATTATTGAAATTGTAAGTGCATGCAGCATATCAACCAGTTGAGAAATCAGTAGCTAAAAGGTTCTTCTTTTGTATCATTTTCACGGAAAACTGGTCAATGTTTTCATCAAAATCGTTGGACTCGAAGGTATCCTTTTCGATTCACAAACATGTTTACGAACAAGGCAGTGACAAAGGTTCGTTCATATATTCAACTTTTCGTTTCTATAGTTCGTCAATCGTTGTTTTCGTTATCATATTATCGATTTTTCAGATTATGTCTTGCTAGACATTACACAGTGATGTGCATGAGAATTTATTAATTGCATCGGGAAAACAACAAGCGGTACATAGAACTCAAAAGATGAAAGCGAAATATTTCCCGAATAATTCCTCGCAAGACATTTGACAAAAACTAGCCGAAAGGCAGTGCACATGCATTAAACATTAGAGGACAGCATCATTCGTTGGCGGACTCTACTTCCAAGCACTGAATGGATTCTTCTGGCTGTTGTGAGTTAATGATTTTATTAAAAATTTTCCATCACTAATCACTTCTTGCTTTGGTACGGAGACACAAGCACCATATACTGTTGCATTCCCTTAAAGTTATGTCTTGGCATAAAAATGTATTCTTGCCATACTTCTCAGTCTTTGCATAGGATTGTGTATTTTCGCAAAACTTGCAAAGTGTTATACATAACCACCACCGAATGCTTGGTCATGTCGAAGATACATCCAATGTCTTGATGTTTTACCAAGTAATTTCTGGAAAGCAAGTCTTTTATGGTACTGGGTGACGAATCCTTTCGTTCTCTGCCGGAGTATCCCACAATTGAACCAAAGAACGAGAACGACAACGTCATACGGAAATAAAGATTGCACTCCAAAATGAAAAGATTGAAACATAAACAGGAAGAAACAATTGGTTTCTCTTTGTGAGCAACGAAACGTAAGTAAAAACGTTTTATGTCCTCAACTTGAGTACCGCACAATTGAAACAGAGGAAGAAAAGGGTGACGACGTTTCTTAAATTGTATGTTTGTGCTAAATTTATAACACAAACAACTGCAATGCGTCAATCACTTTGTCAAATTCAAAAAAAACAGGAAGTAACATTGAACCTTGGACTGAAAGTGTACAACCATGTGCAACAAAAACATTGCTACGTGCTCACTGATCTGATGTATGTGGGGCGTAATTTTCTAACATGCCAATCATGAAGGCTTTAGTAAGTATATGTATTATACACCATTATCCACCATTTGTTATATGGCAAACATTATCTGCTTTTTGTACAAACCTCGCCCTACGGGACTCGGTCTGCACTAAAAATACTTCGGTCCGATATTTCTCCGTAAAGACATCGAGCTCGGTTATTAAGGCTTATCACCATACGAGCACTGAAATTTATGCCCAGCAAAACGGTGAAATAATAATCACATGCCTAAAGTTTCCGAGCACCTTTTCAATCCTTCTCAACAATTCGTGCGTAAAAATCGTACGCACTCACCAATCATGCAGTAATCTGTTAATATCATAAAATTATTTTGTGCGGTAGACGTAGATGGTTCTGTTGTTGTTCAGAAATAGCCAATCGTTAAAAGACTACGTAAAATCAAATTTTTAGAGCGAGGAAAGTCTTTTTTGAATCATTATTTCTTAGCAATAGCCATATTTTACGTAACTTTTTACAGCCACTTAACTTAAATAAACAACATCCAATTTTGATCTTTTGCAAAATGTGAACATTGCCCGTTTTTTAAGACCAATCGTTTTAAGGACAGTTTTAGCTATTAATAATAATATTATTATAAAATCTTAACACTTCATGTGTTTAATAACCCTATTATGAACTGTTTATGTAATTCACACGTAATTCATGTATAAATTTTAATAAACTATTGTCCTTCTCAAAATAAACTATTGTACTTCTCAAAATAAACTATAACATCCATGATTCAATGATACTGCAAAGTGTCAAACAACTTTTGTCTTTTTAGTTGATATCTTTTACAACATAGCTCTTTCATTAATATTGTTTAATGCATCTTTAATGAAAGCACTTCTGGACTTCATTAATTGCTTTCCTTATGTTCTAAAAATTCTGTGACCATATAGAATCTCAAATACATATTCATCAAATTTTGCAATAGGAAATAATATTTCACATTTGATTACTGATTATTGAGACACATTAGCACCACAAGACACATGACATGGCATAATACTTTAATTATCCATTTAAATTGAAATCGTATTAATTTATTACAAAACCAATGCAACAAATTTTACAGTAAACACCAGATAAACCAACAGGATTATACTCATATAAATGTCCACTCAATGATTGATGATTCCTCAAGTATGGAATGTAAGTGCAACAATTCATTCCATCACTACACCTCAGCCAACCTCAGAATGTTTGATCTAATATGTGACACTATTGGAGAGGCCAGATGTCAACATATCATCATATTTCTGGCAATCCATTTTATACAACATGTTATCAGTGGACAATTTCGCAAGTTTTAATTGAATTCACTCAAATATATGCTCAAAATAATCGCTGTATGTCACTTTTTCATATAAACTTTGATTGGATAAATTTGAAACAATACTTTGGCAAGAACTGCAAAAAACCTCATTTTCTAATACAATCTATACATCTTTTACTGTATACAATACAATCTATAAATCTTTTAACTGCAAAAAACCTCATTTTCATAATACAATCTATATCTGCCATATTGGATGCTCATGATGGCCCAGGCTATTATGTATGCATCAGCAATCTTTGAGTATTATATCTATGTTCCAAACCATCGATTTTCACAGAAGATATAAGAGTCTGGTGAGCAACTAACTTCCCCCTACTTCACTCTTTGCACAAAATTGTACACTATGCAAATTGATTGGGTTTTAGCATTTGTCTTGTTGACATTAAAATGATCATTTTAAATACTCCGTGGACTAAAAAAATTCCATTGCAGCATGCTGCTCATAGTTCATAGTGATGACTTCAAACAGCTAATTGTTTTTGTGACTGATTTAATTTTTTAAGCTTTGTAATACCTTAAAACTATACTTACAATTAACTACAATAAAATAATGCTTAATTACATCTTACAACAACTGTGAGAGGCTTCATATTCACCTTATAATTATTCAAAGTATTTTTACTTTACTGGTGGCTTGATAAGAAATATTTTTGCAAAATCTTGACACCCCTGGAGAAATGACTTTGCTGTATTTTTATGTTGCACTAGGTGAGTGTGTTTTTAGATTAAATGACTTGTCTAATACCTGCAATTTTGTGTTCCATATTTTCTGCACAATAGCTCAACTAGTTTAGTGTCTTAAAATCAGGTTTTTACTTTCATCTCTTATTTTGCATAATTTTTACTAACAAGAATTCAAAAGTGGGCCAATTATGGGCCTATAGGCTATAGCCTGGTAAGCAGCTCAGCTTTTGGCAAATAACAATTACTCGTTTTCCCAATTGCAGTCGTTTTTTGGACATGAGATAAAAATATTGTTCATTGTTGTGAAAAAGCTTGCAATGGAAGAAACTTTATATCTTGGTCTCAGCTGGTCTTAAGTTGGAAAATTGGCAGCTTCCTCCTTTCAACATTAGTTACTGTTCGTCTATTACTAATTTCAGTACAATTCAAGAACATTCAAACTTAAAACACGTATTTCGTATGATAACATTGACTACACGTAGTATGGACATGGTTATAGAAGAGCAAATATTTTTCTATAATGGCAACATTGCTAGCATGCACTACTATATATTTTCATTAAATGTTTTGACAGTGTGTTTGAATGGAAATGTTAAAAAACTAACCTTAAACAACCACCGAAAGATGATCCACATTCAAATGATAACCAAAGGAAATGATGTTAAATGTTAAAATGTCGGTTTTTGACTTGATCACATTGATGCAGCATAGTACTGCTTTCCATCGCTCACAGTGCTATTAATTATTGACACTGAATTGTGTTATAAGTTGTGTGGACGATGAGGGTCAAACCAGATTCTAATTTCAATAACTTTGAGTTTAAGTTTGTAAAAACGGTAAAATGATCCCCATGATGGAAAACCTTGGAAGGAAAGTAATATTCATAGAAATTTTAGTTTACCACTCCAATGAACCAAAAAATTGAATATATCTTCTCATAAAAAATATGAGCGCTACACCGTGATTAATTGCCGCGACTTTCCCCCTTCATGATCATCTGGATAGAATGACAACTTTGGGTGAGTATACTGCATAGCTGTTGAAGTGTATGATGCAATGTTGCAGCAGGGTGAAGTGTATGATGCAATGTTAGAGCAATGTGTATAATCATTGAATAATCAAAACTTTAGGCAAAATTACGTCTTTATGATCATCCAATGAGCATCTATCTAGAGTTGGATACTAGTTACAAAGATGTTGCAAACGACTTTGGCGGCAGAATTGTATACATAACAGTATATGTTTATGCACTTTTACAACATGACAAGTTTCGTTGTTAAATTGACTACTAATGACTGACGATGCATTTTTTCATCAACTCCTTGAAGCCAAGACCCATATCGTATTACAGAGATTATGCAGCCTAATACACGTTTTGGAATTAAATCATAAATATAAACAGTTTTATGTTTGAAAAAGGAGAGCTTATTACGCTGAAATTAATGCATATTTAATTTAAATAATTGAAAAATACAATTTGCTCTGCCATTTAGCTTTGGCTTGCCATAAATGCAACTTCACGATGTCAAACCATTCTACAAATCGCACTTTTACTGAAATTTAGAAGATCAATTTGTCATAAGTATTGACATTAATGGTCCATTAAAACAACACATAATGTCAGATGTCCTAGCGTATGAAAACTGAACAGTTTGGAAAACGTATAAATTCATCAGCACCCAAGGTTTTTAAAAAACTTTTGTGTATTAGGTTTAAAATGGGCTATCATCACTTTAAATGCCTTTAACCCTGAGTATCCCAATTGCCAATGGCGTTATCAAGATTTTATTTTGGGAAGGCTAAACACCCCATTACTCTCAAACACATACTGTTTTCTTTGCTTGACACGAATGAGAAATATTGGGAGAAGCAGCCTCCCCTTTGCTGTCGCATCAATTAATTAGTTGTGTCAAGCTGTGTCAAGCTATTTCCAATTTGCTTCTCGGTAGCACAATTCTTATCTTAAAAATGTCTATTATTAGCAACAATTTCACTCTTAGGTGAATCATTGCACCTAATGATGAATTTAACGACGTTTTCCTCGCTGTTCAGCTTTTATACAACCTGTAAAATGTTTTCGAATTATCTCACACTGTCTTGTTGTTAAATCATCACTCATTTGTTAGGAAGTCGGACGGCCCACGCAGGAAGAGAAATTGATTAAGCATTTCTGAACAACATTTTGGATTTTGGCTTCATTCCATTGGCTGACGTTTATTCCACTTTCTCAAATTTTCTGTCCAGAATCACAATTTTTGTTATCAGTGATATTTGAAAGATATGAAATGAGGTTTCACAGAACTACAAGAAAATAATTCTATCTAAAATTTATACCAAGGTAAACACTTGCTCCATTTTCCATGAGTAAAGAGACATATTTTAATTGCACGTAATCTGACCACATGTAGATGGAAGTTTGTTTATTTATGCTGTTAGATAAACTAGAAAGCAAATATTAACACTTTCTAGAATGCGACATTAATATGATATGAAATTTATATTCTTAGCGACCGGAAGTAAAAATTCTTCGGTTTTTTTCGTAACGATTTAATGAAAACGTTTTGAAGATAGATTTCTAAATGTTTTGTACTTATACGTTATTTATGTATTTATCATAAGAAATACATTACAAGCCCCACCCCCGTCTAAAGTAAGCATCATGCAGACTCTACATCTGCAAATTGCATTAAGGCAAACAGCAGTATTTTATGTCACATATGTGTTGAAGTAAGGATTGCCACTGGATTGACATATTAAAGTAAGACTGTAGCCACTTAGACCTGCAATTATGTATGAAAGAAATATATTCTTGAAAATTGGGACTTCCTCTTTCAGTTCACTGTTCACAATGCTGGTTAATGTATTAAACGAAACAAACTAAATATTTCATGCGAGTGTCAGTTGTGTCAGTAAGTTTGCAAATTAAAGTCAGATTGTCAGCATGCTTGAAGTCTACGCTTTAGCTAGATCATTTCATATAAGATTTTCTTGGAAGTGAAAAATGTATTTTCTCATGTAGATGTCAATTGACGTCGTTTTATGAGATCAACGCATCGTTTATTTTCCGCGTGCGTCATTAATAACTATCTGACTTTTATCTTTGATCTCCGTGTAATTCATCTTTATCCTTTTTTTTTTTTGTAAAATTTTAATTGTTTTACGAGCCGTTTACGCAAATATGATTCTAAAAAACTCTTAATGCAAGTAAAATAAAAAAATCTCATATTGCAAGTGAAATAAATAAATAGAGAAGAAAACAAATGCTTTAAATACAATCCTCAAACTATGGAAACCTAATGGCAGCATGTCAACCATAAGCTATATTTTTATTGGTACATTCAGGTTTCAACACCATAAACCTTCAGGGTTCGGACAATAATTACGATAGTAAAAAGAGAAATGCAAGTTCAACTGTTTTACACTGACTAATGACATAAAGCTGAAAATTCAAAAAATGTTTAATGTTCTTTGGAGCGGGAGGAAATAGTATGAACTATCAGCATATGAAAACTATTCTTTGCTTCCTGTGTTACCAGATATTTACATCTTATGATCTCTTCCTTCAGCAGGGGAAATTTTTATGTCTTGTGAGCATGGTATGATTTTTGAAAAGTTGCTATTGCATATGACATAATTTCGTAAATCTATTTTATTCCTTGTATGGCCAAATTGACACTCTCACGTGAAATGTGTGTTTGACTATTTATGGTTTAAAACATAAAACATGTCATTAACCATGCATTAGGTAAACGAAGATGAATTGAAGATATTTTTATATTTTTGTTTCGTGAAATGTTAAACAATAAATCAAAATAGAATCTATAAACCAAAGCATATAAACAATGATTAAATTCTCCAACAAACAACGCAAAAATCTTCTGATAAACAATTTATTTATAGGTTTAAGTGTTCTTACCATTACATTGTTCTTCTTTACATTGATAAACATATAAAAATCATCATTGATGGTACACACACCAATGGAAGAACTTCCAGCAATGGAAATATTTTTATTTTACATTGCATGTAATCATTAGGACATATTTAAGTTGTAATTATCAAAACTCAGAGAAGACAAATATTTTGCAAAAACAACAAAGGCACTTTTGTTGGTTACCTAGCTACTTCTACTATCTTTATAATAAGTATCTCTTGTGCTACCGTATAAATGATATTTATGAATGCATAAGTAATTCCATATGTGGACGGTAAAGGATATGCTTTTACTTCGCCCACTCTTTTTCGAAACTTTTGCACTTAAGATGAATGGACTCCCCTTCACGAATGGACCACTCCCTAAACTAATTCTCTCGTTCTAAAGCAAAACATTTAAAGTAAAAAATAATATACTTTGTATAATTAAAAGCTATTTAACTCAATATAATTTATAATGAAATGAAATTTTATGACCAAATTAAAAAACTTCTCGTTTTGTGAAATGAACTGTTAATCAAGGACTGTTCAAAAACATGTCTTAGATCACACAGATGTCTAAAAATTTATCAATTAAATGTTGTTCTAAACATTTTCTATCTCTGGGAAAAAAATTTAGTTTTGTTTTGACTTATTTGAATTTTTGTATTAAGTAACTCTTACTGTTGATATAGCTATACTGTTAATACAGCAATGGAATTATCAAATATTAAAACAAAAGTCGTTATTAAAACATTTAGCATTGCAAGCTTCCTAATAAGGATCCATCGATGCAAACTTTGTTAGTTTAAAGATGTTATCATGAGTTTTTGTAAACAAAAAATCGTTTCAAGGGCAACGTCAGAAACATTTCCCATGACACACACAGACTGTTCTGGTCAAATAAAAATGACAGAGAGCGTGATAGAAATGCGTTGTCTTGGAGTAAAGTTCATTTGTTATCACATAAGAAAAGTCATTCAAACATCGCATGACTACTCATTAACTACATTTGCGTCAAACTGGAGTCCATTGATGCTTATTTGGGGAGTAAAATTTTGGTAAATTTATGATTTGAAAAGTAAAAGGATAGCCATACATGTAGAAAAATTCATTGGAAAAGTGTAGATGACTTAGTTCTTAGGAACATCTTAGTCTTAATTCTTTCATGAAATTGGATAACGTCATTACCTCGCATGATTACTGAGCATTTCTGACACTCGTATTACCGACGTCACACCTTCTTACACAGACATGTATAAATACATGCTGATTGCTGATGGTGTAGACCTCGTGTGATACCATAATTGAAAGAACACCTGTACTTGCTGACTCAGAGATAGAACACAAAAGGTGAGTCGTACTTTATCTATTCTTTCGTTTACACTTTCATCGACAACATCATAATGTTACTTGATTGCATTGTGAAATAATAAATAATTTATAGTCTTCCATTGCGCTAACGGTCTATACCTAACACAAAATTAGTAGACGGGACCGGCTAGTTAAATATAAATAAACAATTTTACATAGATTTTGCGCAGCGGGAAAATATTCTCTTTTGAAGTACAAACTATACGATTTTTATCTTTAAATAACTCAAATGAATAGAGCGCAGATACATATGAAGAACTTTCCAGATTATACCATGACAAAGAAATCAACTTTAGGAGCATATGAGTTATTTGCAGGTTGTGTAATGCGCATTTTATTTATAACTTTATTAACTTACAAGAAAGTCTGTATTTACTATTATGCGTGTTTATTATTGGATTAAAGACAAAGAACCGAATAAATCGCCAAAATATCTATGTATTTATCTTTTATATGAGACGTTTGATTGAAATTTCACATAAATTCAGAACAGCTTTTATGAGGGTTCAATGTTGACATATTTTACATTGTAAAATAAATGAACCTTTTACCAAAGGAAGTTTGAAACGGAAGACCAACATTAATTGAAGTAAAATAATTGTCACTCACAAATATTGTTTATACAATAAATTAAGGCCTTTAAAATTCCAACGGATCACTTTCAAAACACAATCATTTCATGTTGCTCAACTTTAAGCTAAGTACGTGTATTTAACACCTTTCTTGCATGCATTACCACTTAAATTGACCTTGGAACCTAGCTTGTTTGTATTATTTACATTGTTGTACTATTTATGATAAAACATTATAACGAAATAACTTTATACTTTTGAAATACGCTGTATTTATTTAAAATAATAGTGCTTTTAGCAAGAACGTTCAAAGTATTGATTTTGGTAATAATTTTAAAAATATGTATTTGCTAAAAAATGTAAAAAAAAGATAATTTAGAAAATCGGGACAGTTATGAAATGATGTTAATCACATGAAAACAGAAAATCTTGTGATGAGAGCACGCATTGAGCTATTTTGGTCGTTTTCTTTTCGATAAATAACAGAGATCAACTCAAGTTAAATCAGAATTTATCAAATCATCTGAGAGATTGGTCGTTTTTCTTAAATAACAAATGTAAGTACCTCTATAAACAATTTCTTTTACCACAGATACTTTTACTAAAGAAAAGTAATTATTAGGTTGTAGTCGGGCATGTAAAGAAGAAAACATTCCAACTTCTTTTATCGAAAAACATCCACTAAAGTATTCATAATAAACTGCCTAAGTTTCATAATGTATTCGTCATAAAGTGAACACTTTCCTTGATAAAAAGTAAAGTTACTTCAATAATACAATTCATTGTAATTTCACCTGTTCAATACTTCATATTGTTCTCTTGTACATTAATTCGTTCATTAGATGATGAAATGTTTATTATCTTGCATTATTGGAAAAATGCGCTTATTGCTAATGAGGATCAAAGACTATATCATATGTATTTTAAATTTGCTTAATAATGTTGAAGACAAAGCTAAACGTCACTAATGTTTTACGATTGTCAGGTAAATTACTTGATAAATCATGCATACTTTGATGCTGGCGAAGAATTTTAACTTAAATAAATTGGGTTTACAATTAAATACGTTGATACACACTCTCAATTTCTTTGTAAGAATAATGTAAATAATTCTGAAACAGAAATGTATCTACATAATGAGCTGAATAAGTTAACATTTTCTCCACAAACGCCAGATGTCCTTAGTACTATCATTTATCTAGTATTGATTGAAATCTATTTTATCCACAATAAGAAGGCTGATCTGACTGATAAACACTCACTGATATGCAAAATAATTCAAGATCAATTCAAAGCAGATGATTGTTTTACTTCAAAACTGTGTATAATATGAAAAATTATCTTAAGCCATTTATGAAGCTCTAGCCCTGAATATGAAAGGAGAAGCGAAGAAATGCAGACATCCCAGGCAATGTTTTATGTTTTACTAAAACAAAAGTTTACCACGTCAATTTTGAGTGCAATAATGACTATATGTTAGCAGCAATGTCTGGCAAATTACAACAAATTTCTAAGGTCAAGAGGTCGTAATGATAGGAGTGTCAGTTGCGCATTGAATTTGTTTGTTTTTAGAAACCACGCAGCTTCGTTTTTGTTTGACAACTTATTCCTTTTCTGTTTCCTGAAATGAGAATGAAGTTTGAAATGTTTTGCACTATTTTCGCATTTATTAAGAATTTATAAAAACATGGGCAACATTTATGAGTGGCAGCAGTTGAACAAGCTGAAAATAAAATCAGTTGTACTAATCAAAAAGAAAATCAATTGTCAAGGTCAATTGTCAACGTTTTCGTTTTATTTTGAGGCAGTTCAATTCTTCGTGGTTGGAATGTAGAATGATTATTGTACTTTTTAGCTAGATTACAGTTGCAATGAAAAAAACATTAGGTTTGTAATTTCGTGGACAAATAATTTTCATATTCATACGTTGTAAATTTTGGCTACATAGTCGACTAATTAATCTTTTTAAAAAATTTCATCGAATGTTTATAAAGTCTGGAAAATGTCAAACATTGCCAACCATATTACTTTGCCACATTTTCACAAAATTACTTGGAGGAAATATTTTGTATCATTCAGGAAATTTTTCAAAATATTACGGAGAAGATTTTGAATACACGTGAATCGAAACATTAGTCAGGTTACACTGAACATTCTGCAAAGTAAATAATTTTACTTAAGAAATTTACTAACAAAAGCTAACTTAGCATTGCAATAGATGTTAATGAAAAAACCTCTGTGGAAATTTGATTTTTGAAATTTACAGCCAGTAAGGGAAGATTTTATTCAGGCTTGCATGTGAAACTTGTTTTGCATTTTTGACGATTGTTCAACATTGTCAAGGGAAATTCTATACAGGAAACTGATACTTATAATAAATATCAAACCCCAGCAGAGTTCTTTAAAAAAATGCAAGCAAATACAGTTGTATAAAAGATATTTATCATGAAAACGTTTCGTTTTCGCGTTTCCTAAAATTACTATGCAGAGATTTGATATTTATATAATAAGAATCGTTCAACATATGATGCCAATGGCGTTTTATTGTTTGACAATATCAAATTTTATCGAAACCAAAACTATCAGTTTGAAAATTGGTATGACTTAGTGTTCCTTCTGTTTTGTGGCACTATTAGGAAAGGGCGAGTCATGGGAAATGAAGAAAACTTTAGTTTAGTTGTTCTGCCTGGAGAATACATTAGTTGCTAAAATATTTTAAACGCAGGGATGTGCTGTCAATATTGTTATTTTCATCATGCTCAAATATGGCTGACAAATATTTTATGAAAGTTGGCCACTAGCCATTATGTCCATAAGTTCACATACATATTATGATTTCGTAATGAATGCTACACCATTCTCGACGTTGACAACATTTTCATATAATTTCAGTGTGAAAATGGACACAAAGAATATCAAGTTTGGATTAACAATCGTAATACTTCTGCTCGTTTTGCGTGAAATTGATAACAAGTCTTTAAAGATACCTGGTAGTCAACCAATAAAAGTCAGAGAAACAAAAACAATTAAACTTTGTGGAACCATTAAAACATTTAGATATGAAATTTATCGCTGTAAAGGAACATGTACACTATCCAGTGGTTCTTATGGTTGCTGGGAACGAAAAGATGGAAAAGTTCACAGACTTAAGTTTCGAGGTTGTAATGAAAACATGGTATAATTGAAGACATAACATGCACATGTACAACATGTAAGAAGGTATGAATAGTCTGTTTCAAGAAAAGTTGATGGCGAATTTCTTCCTTATCATCAAACAAGTTTTTGTGGAACAGAAGAATGCGTCAGGAATGCCGAAACATTACCTTTCAAAAACATTTCCTTTGTTAATGACTTTTAACCTCGACACCACAATGAAACATTGTTTGAAATTGAAAATTGATTTACAATCCACTCGACCATAGTGAATTGGAAAGAACAAAAGTACACTGATTTAAACTTAATGTAGAAATGAAATGCTTTCATAAACAATGGCCTTATTTTTAAGTCACGCAGCCTTCCGACGAATGACTCTTATTTAACTTATAAAAGAAATCGAGTACAACAAAATGTCTGAACAAAAATAACATGACGTATAGAAATTAACTTATAGTAATTATTTATTGTAGTTAAGTTATGAAATATTTAAGTCAGAATAGTGACGTGTATTTTTTAGAACGTGAGACTAAATATAAAGTTCAAGATCATTCTGATAATTTATAGTCCAATGTTTCCGTTATCCAAAATTTTCCAACAAATAACTTCCTCGTTTTCTTAACTTCCTGTCCAGACTCTACAGCCAAATGTGTCATAAACTGTTGCCTTTTTTAATAAAATTATGCCAATGCTAATGCTCAACATTAATGCAAAGTGCAGACAGTGGTATATTTTTATGTTAGGAATCATAAATCCAACATAAAATTATTGCTTCCTACAAAATAAGCTGTGGATACAAAATTGAATCGGATTAACAAATAGGAGGAAGTAATTGCCTTGAAATGAAACACAATTATACACAATATTTTAGTTCTTATTTACAGTTCTGTCAACATAATCTTTCGCTAATTATTCATTCAAAATAATTCTTTCATGATTTCCTAGTTCACAGAAATTTTCTAATCTATTGTTTGACGTGTTCTTGAATCGTTTCGAAATTTCCTCAAGTTATTTAGGCTTCCTGTTATTGCTCCTCTAATCAAAGCTCCTTCATAGAAATATTTTTCCATTGAACTGCTATGATTAATAACACTGTTTTTCTATAACTGAGACATGTTTAGTCTTGTTAGCATTTAAACACCCGTGAAAAAGTGCAACGTCAATTTTTACTTATTCTAACAACACGGGAACAATCGTAAAGTTAACTGAAACATTTGTTATACAGTCTGCAGTATATATCTTGAGTCTTTAATGTTTAAATCCTCGAATCAATTTTTCCTGATCGTACTCAAGAAAGTGAACCTACACAAGCCTCATATGGACATATTTCAATTTGAAAATTTCCTTAAAACTTAATACTATTGATGAATAATTTTTGGAATCCTCTGTTGACAAAACTGTGATTGTTTTTGTTATGAAGAATTGATAAATTTACATCGTAAGCATATTTAATACTTCATACTAACCTAAATAGTTTTTAAGAGCGACAGTGGTAGCTAAATAATGGCTGATTATACTCCCCCAAAAATCCAGGTTTAAGATAACAAGCAAGAAAGAACTAACTGATAATAAGTTATTTAACTAAAACAGACATCTCCCAATTCCAATCCAAATTTTTCACCATCATCTCCAATGTCATACACAGCAATATCTCGAATTGGCAAACGCGAAGTCTTATAAGTATCGATTTCGAATTCAGAACTACTTTGTGAAGCAGTTTTTCTCTAAAACAACAAACGTTTTTGAATATTCAAAGAATTTGTTTAAGTCAGATAAGGAATGATTATGCATAAAAAACATAACAAAAGATTAAATTAAAAAATTATAAACAACGCTGTTTTACCCTACATCCATCTTCGATTACAATTGGACGATGTTTACGAGCAGTTGTTGCCCCATATTCCCTTTCATTATCACCTAGCAACTTGATAGAGTTAATGACGTCATTTGATGCATTAAACCATGCAGTTGAGTTGATACAATGGTATAATATCGTTTGTTTTACTCTATCACTGTGTAACTGCAAGAAGGTCAGTTGATCAGATTCTACGGAGTAACGAAACTAGAAAAAATGATAAAAGCAATAATTAGTTTTAATTTACGAGCAAAAAAGACTTAACAAAGATGTTAACAAGTTTACATACATTGAAATTTTCATCAATATCTTGTTTAAACCATAAATATCTATCACTTCCTTTATACCATTGTTTCACTTGAGTCTACATTGTTTGAAAATGACAATTTACATAATTCCTGATTTCTTTGAAGCTCATTAAAACATGAAGCATAAAAACCCTTTTAGCTTGAGGTTTGATACAGCTCAGTCGTTTCTCAGCATTGCAGTAAACCTTCACAGCATCTTCAGTTACTCCTTCGTTGGGATCAAGCCAATAAATACCTCAAAATATAAAATGATATAAACATCTTCAAACATTCGAAGGCTTTTACACGTGTTATTATGAGTTCCAAGACAGTCAGAAAACAGATTATTTACACTAATGAAAATTATGTACTTAATGAAGATTCATCATATTGTTAAAGATGTTCTATTTACCACTTTTCAAATGTGAATAATCATTAAAAAGACTTTTGCACGTTAATGCAGGAAATTCGCGTGTTCCAGTTGGTTTCCGATAAAGAGCAAAATCGTTAAAAAGACCATGAAGTTTCGTTAATAGTTCTGCTTCCTAAATAATAAGTATATTTTTTTTCGAAGTGCATTTTAATTCGGAAGTATTTCATGACATTGCTGAAAATGTTCTTTCAACAACTGACTGTTTGAGAAAATACGAAAAAACGTTACACGTTTTCCAAAATATTTTCGGAAGGAAAGTTTAAAGCTCAAACAATTTACTGAAATAGCTAAATTCACAATGGCAATTTTCAAACATTTGCACTCTCATTTTGCATTTAATTTATTATTTCTTACAAATTGATCCAAAGTTTTTCTTGGTTTGCTTTCACGTTCAAATTCACTTTCCTATATATTAAAGATTGCTAAACATCATCATCGTTCTTTTATCGTCTGACGTTTTTAAGCAAAACATAACAACTAAATTTTTCTTCTCACAATTAAAATTTGAGTTAAACCGATGATTCACCTCTTCGTCGCTATGATAATAGTTTGGTGTCTGAGTTAGATCCTCTCGACTGTCTTCAACTCTCGCTGTATCACGTGAGAAACCATCACGTGACTGCAAATAGAAAAACGAATTTAATATTTTTTAAATCGACAATCACCAAACGACAAAAAGCGTAAGGTTAGAAATTATATGGCCAATAAAGAAGACGATTTAGTTATAATATTTCGTAAGATATGTTACAAATTGCCGAACAGTGCAAATATTTTACAACAACAAACACCATTGCAAATAATGTAAAATGCACAATTCACAATTTGAAATCACTGCAACACTTTATGAAATTGTAACCTGACGTCCACCGGGTTCTCCGGAAGGTCCAGGAGGTCCTGGAGGGCCCTAAATAAATTAGAATTTATCGATTCATTATGATTTAGGTTTTAAGGAAAATATTTTTGTATATTATGCGCTCATTCTATACAACGCATAAAAAATGTCTTCTGCGATATGATTCGCACAATTTTGGCTATTTTTGTTAAACTTCAAATTCATAAAATTTTTTACCATATTTCCGCGAACACCCTAAATAAAAATGACACTTTTATAGAAGGTTGATAATAGATTTGATAATAGTAAAATTAATGAATGAAACATAGAAATACAAACCTTCCTTCCCCTATGCCCCTAGAAAAAACAAATATTGTGGATTTAAAAGAGATAAAGTATGTAAAATATAAACAAACAATAAATGATGATCCCATACTGTCAATCCAGTGATACCAATTTGACCCTCTACACCCTAAAAAGAACAATTAGTAAATGTATGACTACTTGGCGCGTATCCCAAGAAATATTTTTCAAAAATCAACCAGTTTCAGATAGGCAGGAAAAGAAAACCAACCAACATGCCAATAATAGACTCAAAAATATTTATCAGACTAAAAACCAAGTAAGTACATGTCCCTCTGGAGATGATAGATGTCCCTCTGGGGATGATAGATGTCCCTCTGGGGATGGTAGATGTTCCTCTGGGGATGATAGATGTCCCTCTGGGGATGGTAGATGTTCCTATGCTGATGATAGATGTCCCTCTGGGGATAGTAAATGTTCCTCTGGGGATAGTATATGTCCTTCTGTGGATGATAGATGTTTCCTAGGAAATGATTTATGAGAAGTTCATCTGTGGATGATAGATGTTTACTAGGAAATGATTTAATAGAAGTTCATCTGTGGATGATAGATGTTTCCTAGGAAATGATTTATGAGAAGTTCATCTGTGGATGATAGATGTTTCCTAGGAAATGATTTAATAGAAGTTCATCTGTGGATGATAGATGTTTCTCTGCAGAAAATAAATGTCTCTAGGGACAATAGATCTTATTTCACAATAAACATACTACTGCAACAACAGAAAAACAAATTCAAAAGCAAACCTTTTCTCCTATTTTTCCAACTTCACCGATAGAACCAATATGTCCTTTTTCACCCTAAAAACATTTCCATTTTAACAAACAATAAAAAGTAAAGTAAAACAAAATATATTATATGAACAAGGTAAAGAGCAGAAAAAATTACCAATAAATAAACGCAAAAAAATCCCAAAACTCTGAAGTGTCAATGACACAACTGGTTATTCAACTTAAGTTAGAAAAAAAACAACATGAAAAGAACACACATTGTTGTTGTAATAATGAATTTCTAAATGGAAATTTAATGTTATGTGATGTAATGTGATTTGTTTCATTTAAACAAGCAGTCATGAGTTTTTAAAGACTGCAATATTTCGCTACAGTCTTTAAAAAACTAACTTGTGCATGTTTATCCGTAATAACAACAGAATAGCAAAGTAACCTATAGTAATGTACGTTGTTAACAAGCAAAAAACTCTGTTTATGGTAATAATGTACGTTGTTAACAAGCAAAAAACTCTGTTTATGATAATAATGTACGTTGTTAACAAGCAAAAAACTCTGTAATGGTAATAATGTACGTTACTAACAAGCAAAAAACTCTGTTTATGGTAATAATGTACGTTGTTAACAAGCAAAAAACTCTGTAATGGTAATAATGTACGTTATTAACAAGCAGAAAACTCTGTAATGGTAATAATGTACGTTATTAACAAGCAAAAAACTCTGTTTATGGTAATAATGTACGTTACTAACAAGCAAAAAACTCTGTTTATGGTAATAATGTACGTTATTAACAAGCAAAAAACTCTGTTTATGGTAATAATGTACGTTGTTAACAAGCAAAAAACTCTGTTTATGGTAATAATGTACGTTATTAACAAGCAAAAAACTCTTTTTATGGTAATAATGTACGTTATTAACAAGAAAAAAACTCTGTAATGGTAATAATGTACGTTATTAACAAGCAAAAAACTCTGTAATGGTAATAATGTACGTTATTAACAAGCAAAAAACTCTGTTTATGGTAATAATGTACGTTATTAACAAGCAAAAAACTCTGTAATGGTAATAATGTACGTTATTAACAAGCAAAAAACTCTGTTTATGGTAATAATGTACGTTATTAACAAGCAAAAAACTCTGTTTATGGTAATAATGTACGTTATTAACAAGCAAAAAACTCTGTTTATGGTAATAATGTACGTTATTAACAAGCAAAAACTTCATGGTAATAATGTACGTTATTAACAAGCAAAAAACTCTGTTCATGGTAATAATGTACGTTATTAACAAGCAAAAAACTCTGTTCATGGTAATAATGTACGTTATTAACAAGCAAAAAACTCTGTAATGGTAATAATGTACGTTATTAACAAGCAAAAAACTCTGTTTATGGTAATAATGTACGTTGTTAACAAGCAAAAAACTCTGTTCATGGTAATAATGTACGTTATTAACAAGCAAAAAACTCTGTAATGGTAATAATGTACGTTGTTAACAAGCAAAAAACTCTGTTTATGGTAATGTAGTCCTTATAAAAAGTATTGACTTCATTAAAAATTTCTAACCATAAAACCTTTTCTTCCAGGATTGCCAATCTCACCAATGTCTCCGTAAACACCCTACAAAAAACATTTAAAATATACGACAATATACGAAATATATTTAAAATATACGAAATTTATACGAAACATGTTTAAAATATACGAAATTTGTCGTATATTTTAAATGATTTACGCGATTACCGTAAAAAAAACTTAATAGAACTTAATAACATTGCATCAATATTTCTAGTATAAAGTTAATTGTTTTTATCAGGAATTATTGTTACATGTTTTTAAAAGTTGATCGTCGACGTTAGTGAAGTTCTAAGAAAGAATGTTGTTGTTGTTCTCAACATCCTCTGTGGTAGTTGTTTTAGCAGTAAAGATGCGCTAACACTGGACAATCTGTCCTGAGAAAGAATGTTGTTGTTGTTCTCAACATCCTCTGTGGTAGTTGTTTTAGCAGTAAAGATGCGCTAACACTGGACAGTCTGTCCTGAGAAAGAATGATGTTGTTGTTCTCAACATCCTCTGTGGTAGTTGTTTTAGCAGTAAAGATGCGCTAACACTGGACAATCAGTCCTGAGAAAGAATGTTGTTGTTGTTCTCAACATCCTCTGTGGTAGTTGTTTTAGCAGTAAAGATGCGCTAACACTGGACAATCTGTCCTGAGAAAGAATGTTGTTGTTGTTCTCAACATCCTCTGTGGTAGTTGTTTTAGCAGTAAAGATGCGCTAACACTGGACAGTCAATCCTGAGAAAGAATGTTGTTGTTGTTCTCAACATCCTCTGTGGTAGTTGTTTTAGCAGTAAAGATGCGCTAACACTGGACAATCAGTCCTGAGAAGGAATGTTGTTGTTGTTCTCAACATCCTCTGTGGTAGTTGTTTTAGCAGTAAAGATGCGCTAACACTGGACAATCAACATCAAAAACATATAATTATAGTCTAACTAAAAACGAAAAAATTGTATTGATTAGAATAATAGAATAACTAAAATCATTATACTTTATCACCACGAGGTCCTTCAAATCCATAAGGACCCTGCTCTCCTTTAGCGCCCTAAACAAAATACAAAAAGCAGTTAGTAAACATAATAATACATTGGCGGATTGAATAACTTAATCGTTGAACCTTCTCTCCACGAACTCCTTTGGAGCCGGTAGAACCAGTTCTTCCTTTGCGACCCTTTAACACATAAAATTGTTGATTTGTACATAAATGTAATCAATACAAAATAAATCATGAACTTTCATTTATCTTACACGCAATCCTGGAGCTCCATTACGACCTATGACTCCATCAGACCCCCCATCACCCTAAAAATAACAAATGACTCAAATCACCTTTGACCATTGTGATCCACAATGATCCATAATCAGTGGTGTAACGAGCCCGCGAGTGTTGTTCCTGCTATGTAATTTTAAGAGCATAAACATTGTCCATTCCTTTAAAACGACAATGTCCTTAATCAGCCAATTCGTAATGTTGTGGTTAAATATTAAGAAAATTTCAAATATTGCGTATCATAACATCATAAATAATAACATCATGCTATTACTTATTTGATATGCAAATGCAAACCTTGTCTCCAATGATCCCCTTTATTCCTTGAAGACCTTCACCACCAATGTTCCCAGCTATACCCTTAGGACCTATATCACCTTGACTCCCGAATTCACCTGGCACACCCTAATGATACAAATTTAAAAAGAAATATAAAGAAAAACAGAGCAATTGGAAATTCTTAGGTTTAGACGAGGGTTTACAACATTTCGTTCATATTAAAAAATATTGAGGACGCGTTAAATAATTTGTTCATATCGAATCTGTGGTTAAATGATTAAATAACTTTTAAAAATGATCGAACAGCCAACAAAACATTTTTATGTCGGCGTATTTTACAAACGTGTTTGCGTCGATGTGAAAAAAACTTTAATGCAGAAACTGACGTATAGTTTTATTGATTTCAGTGCTACATCTTTTATAGTGCTGCAGAACTAAATTTATCAGATGGGGGGGGCTCTCTCTGAAGCCATAAAATTATGAAAAATTATCCATTTCAAAGGTAGAAGTGGGGCTCCTCCCCCAAGCGCCCCCCACTTCTACAGCACTGATTCTTTTACATCAATTTTGTATAAATGCAAAAAAAATGAAATGGAAGGGCAATCACGTTTATGATCCGTTCATAGAGTTTGCGTCACAACCTCTAAAACTAACAATCAATGTCTACTTTCTAGTTGTAAATAATGTTCTATCAAATGCAATCTCAGATTTAGAATTGTAAGTTGTAAAAAACTTTGGTGAGGAATGTTTTATTGGATTCAAAATTCATACCATACATTTCAAAGCTAGACCTTGTTTGGCGAGCAGTCCTTTCTGTGAAAAGTTAATTTCATACTATACACGATATTACCTATAGAAAGTCTGTTTCTAAACCATTGAAAATTGAACATTTGAAAAATTCATCGAAACATTGAATCGCCAGTTTAGAAGAAACATTTTTATACAATGAAAATAGGAAATTTTACGTTCAGATGTTAAGTTTTGTAACTCACCAATAGAAACATCAATAGTATGTTTTAAAAACACGATAAAAGGAATATTACCTTCATTCCTTTACTGCCACTATCACCAACAAAGCCTGGAGGGCCTTGATCACCCTGATATAAAAAAGTCGGACACACGTCACCATAAAGTTTGGTAAAAATAGCTAAGACAATACTCACCTGCAATCCATCACCACCATATCCTCCCTGTACTCCTTTTAATCCTTGTAATCCCTTGAAAACAAACATTTGAAGTTTTGCTCCAAAAATACAAAAAACGAACACAAATCATACAAAAAAATTTTTTCGTAAAATGATGTCAATCTATTATTCACAGCTCAATTCATCTAACTAGAGCTGCAACAAACTATTCCAGAGGCATTGTGGGAAAATTCACAAACATCACATTAAAATTAAATAGTGAGTACTTGAAGAAACAAAGTCATACCACTCATCCCACCTGTTTACCCAATGGTCCCCTTTTACCACGTTTACCATCTACTCCAGGTAAACCCTGCAAAACACATTATTTTATAACACACTTTGTATGATTGCATGACCGTATTTTGTCAAGGTTGTAAAGTTAAACGGTTATAAGCTCATAAGATTTTAAGATTTAAAGATTGTAAGTTTGTTGAGTAGCGAAGATAATAGTTCGCAAGGTAATAAAAGCTCATATTATTTTAAGGTTGAAAGATTATCAGTTTTTTAAGTTGCAAAACCAAGAGGCTCAAAGGACTGAAAATTTTGACGTTCTGTAGATATAACATTGTAAAACTAAAACAATTTATTTACAAAAAAACATACAATATTTCCTTCCTCTCCAACAACACCAGAATAACCTGCAAGACCCATATCACCCTAAGGCAGGAGGAAAAACGAAATACTTTATTAAACACTGAGAAATTTATATTATTTAACATGATACTCACAGGTGAGCCAGCAGAACCAGGAAATCCCGGCAGTCCAAGAAGTCCAAACTGGGCCTAGATGAGGGCACGCATGGGTTAAAACGTTATTAATATATAAGTATTTCTGGAGCATATTGAAGCTTTAGTTACAACAGCCTCGACCATAAAATTAAACTGCGTATAAAAATTGTGTGAGCACTAAAAGATATTGTATTTAATATATAAGTATTTCTGGAGCATATTGAAGCTTTAGTTACAACAGCCTCGACCATAAAATTATACTGCGTATAAAAATTGTGTGAACACTAAAAGATATTTTATTTAATATATAAGTATTTCTGGAGCATATTGAAGCTTTAGTTACAACAGCCTCGACCATAAAATTATACTACGTATAAAAATTGTGTGAACACTAAAAGATATTTTATTTAATATATAAGTATTTCTGGAGCATATTGAAGCATTAGTAACAACAGCCTCGACCATAAAATTATACTACGTATAAAAATTGTGTGAGCACTAAAAGATATTGTATTTAATATATAAGTACTGCTGGAGCATATTGAAGCTTTAGTTACAACAGCCTCGACCGTAAAATTGTACTGCGTATAAAAATTGTGTGAGCAGTAAAAGATATTCGATAATCAAAATTGATTTTTTTGCTTAAATTCAGGAGCAACTTCAAAGTAGAATTAAAAATAATTCCAAGTACTTTGTCACATCTATTCTATGCAAGAATCTATAGAATTACTCATTTTCTTTATGTTTGCTGCATTTTTTTGCAATTCTTTTGCATTCAATTTTCTTGATGAACATTGAGTTAAGATGGTTCAGATAAATTACAGATGATGAACACATAAATATATCTTGGTGGAAATATTTTCAGTTTATTTTTTTATTAATGAATGCGAAGTGATATTTTTTATTTCCTGCAATCTGATTGGCTGAAGTAGTGGGCAGCTTTGTACGATATCTTGACCATGTCCAAAAATGATATTTGTTAGCAGTGTGTTTGTTTACAAAGTGGGTGTTAAATTTTAAAAATTGATTTAATTGTCAATTGTTCAAGGAGAAAGCAAAATATTGGTGCACTTTTTATTTCTCACTTACCATTGGAGCATTCTCTCCAATATTTCCTTTTTTGCCGTCTACACCTTTAAATCCCTGATAAAACATTAAACGTCAAAAGACAAACCAAGACTTAAAATACACAGTTTATAGGTATACTTACGATAATCCCACGCACTCCTAAGTCCCCCACTATCCCCGTATCACCTTTATTACCCTAACAAAGCAAAGAGAACAAACAGCAAAATATGAAGGAATTATGTCAAATTGAAATAAAACAAAAAAACATTAACGCCTTGCACCTTATCTCCAATTTTTCCAAATATTCCTTCGGGACCTGTTTCGCCACGCATTCCTAAATACAAACAAATCTTTATTTAAGAATAAAATAACACAAGGAAATAATAAATGTGAGTGTAGGAACAGAAAAGTTCTAAAGTTTGTTTTTATTACTCGATACATAATAACGATGTGAAATAAGCCTTGCCGTCACTTGAACAAGAGCGAAAAGTTACCATATGTCCTTGATATCCCTTAGCGCCTTTTGCACCTTGAATCCCAGGAGATCCCTGAACAAAAATTACGCATTCATGTCATTAATTAACGGAGCCAAAAAATAAAAGCAAAAAAGAGTGAGAAATAAATAACACACATTGCAAATTGTGAATTTTTGTAAAATATAACTAATGTTTAAAAAACATTTGAGAAAAACGACAATTTTTCAGCTTCAAATGGTTTACCGCTAACATATAAATGAATTATTTGCAATGAATAGGATTATGATTTAGTTAGAAAATATCGAAATATTTACATAAAAATATATGAATTCAATTACTTATTGAAAACTTCAAATGTTTTTTAAACTTGCTGCAAATTAGAAATTACCCAATCTTTAATAACAAATGTGAAAAGAAAATTTCGTCACCTAAACACTAATCCGAAGACATTTGCAGAGTTTATTTTTTAAGCTGTTTATACAGAAAATATTGAAATTAGTCGGTGCAGAGCATCAAATCGGACATTACTCTGTTGTCACACGAAACTGAATTAATTTACAGCAATTTGTTTTATTAACTCTCGGTAAATGACATATTTTACACTAACCAAACGACCACGCTCACCACGAGTCCCTGAAGGTCCAGGAGCACCTTGTTTACCCTCGAACAAAACAATATTTTCATTGAATAAATAACTGTAAATATGTAATATTATTTATCCATTTAAAGTTATTGCCCATTTTAAATCAAAATGTTGTAAATACTAACAACAATACTGACGTTGCTAAATCAGAATAAATAATTTTTTCACGCAATTGAATAACTTGTACCTGATCCCCTTCAAACCCAGCTAATCCCCTATCACCAGGTAAGCCAGCCTCACCCTACGATACAAACAATAGATCATAGTTGTTAAGAATTGTTGGAGCTGGAGAGGTTTGCCTGAGAATTTCGAAATAAAATGGAAAGGGAGAATATGAATAAATGATATATTACCTTGATACCAATAATTCCTGGTTCCCCATGACCACCAAATATCCCAGGAGGTCCCTATAAAACTGAAAGTTAAATTCTTGTTTCTACATGCAAAGACATAACATAAAAAACTTACAGAAATCCCAGATTCACCTATAGGACCAGGATCACCAGCAATACCTCTTCTTCCCTATATAAAACAATATAACTGCAACATTATTATAACGTTTTGTGAAAGATCAGGTATTATTACAATTCTTACCCTTAATCCTTCTTTTCCAGTTGCACCCATAAGACCAGGGATACCTGAAGCACCCTAAAATAATTTTTTTAATTCAAGTAAAGTGAAAAACTCTAGCGTGTAAATACAATAAAATAACAGGTCGAAACGAAAAAAAGTACATAAATTCAATGGCAACCAAGAATGGCATTTGAATAAATTCAACATTGTTTTTACTAAATATTCTTTTTTATATTTCATTCAATGAATGTTCATTAAAAAATATTCTCATTGCCTTAGAGACGTACATCACTGTCTTAGAGAGGTACATCACTGCCTTAGAGAGGTACATCACTGCCTTAGAGAGGTACATCACTGCCTAAGAGAGGGACATCACTGCCTTAGAGAGGTACATCACTGCCTTAGAGAGGTACATCACTGCCTTAGAGAGGTACATCACTGCCTTAGAGAGGTACATCACTGCCTTAGAGACGTACATCACTGTCTTAGAGAGGTACATCACTGCCTTAGAGAGGTACATCACTGCCTTAGAGAGGTACATCACTGCCTTAGAGCGGTACATCACTGTCTTAGAGAGGTACATCACTGCCTTAGAGAGGTACATCACTGCCTTAGAGAGGGACATCACTGCCTTAGAGAGGTACATCACTACTTAGAGAGGTACATCACTGCCTAAGAGCGGTACATCACTGCTTAGAGAGGTACATCACTGCTTGAGAGGTACATCACTGCCTAAGAGCGGTACATCACTGCCTTAGAGAGGTACATCACTGCTTTAGAGAGGTACATCACTGCCTTAGAGCGGTACATCACTGCCTTAGAGAGGTACATCACTACTTTAGAGAGGTACATCACTGCCTAAGAGCGGTACATCACTGCCTTAGAGAGGTACATCACTGCTTAGAGAGGTACATCACTGCCTAAGAGCGGTACATCACTGCTTAGAGAGGTACATCACTGCCTAAGAGCGGTACATCACTGCCTTAGAGAGGTACATCACTGCTTAGAGAGGTACATCACTGCCTAAGAGCGGTACATCACTGCTTAGAGAGGTACATCACTGCCTAAGAGCGGTACATCACTGCCTTAGAGAGGTACATCACTGCCTTAGAGAGGTACATCACTGCCTTAATGAGGTACATCACTGCCTTAGAGAGGTACATCACTGCCTTAGAGAGGTACATCACTGCCTTAATGAGGACATCACTGCCTTAATGAGGTACATCACTGCCTTAGAGAGGTACATCACTGCTTTAGAGAGGTACATCACTGCCTAAGAGCGGTACATCACTACCTTAGAGAGGTACATAACTGCCTAAGGGAGGACATCACTGCCTTAGAGAGGTACATCACTGTCTTAGAGAGGTACATCACTGCCTAAGTGAGGTACATCACTGCTTAGAGAGGTACATCACTGCCTTAGAGAGGTACATCACTGCCTTAGAGAGGTACATCACTGCCTTAGAGAGGTACATCACTGCTTTAGAGAGGTACATCACTGCCTAAGAGAGGTACATCACTACCTTAGAGAGGTACATAACTGCCTAAGGGAGGACATCACTGCTTTAAAGAGAGAAATCACCACCTTAATGAAAAACATAGTGCCTTAAAAAGGACATGTTCACTTCAGAGCGGAAATCTCTGCTTTAGATGGAAAAATCAATGCCTTAGAGAAGGGATATCTCTGCCTTAAAGACAACACCACTTGAGATACGGATATGAATATCTCTGAGAAAGAAGACATCATCTTAGAGATGGACACAACTCCTTTATTAACTATGGTTGCTCAAAAATTTCTTCTCAATGCTATAACAAAAAATTGAATCATGTCTTCTTTACATTGTTCAGACATTTTTATATTTTTCGGAATCTTAAAAGATGTTTTATCGAAGATTAAGTCTATTCTGTACCTTAATTCCGTCACTGCCAGGATTTCCCACGAGACCAGGAGCACCAATTACACCCTACAAAGTGTAAAAACTATAACAAGCATGAATCATTCATGATTTTTTATTTACTTTAATTTAATCTTACAGGATCTCCATTATATCCTAATAAACCTGGCAATCCAGCCAATCCACGATCACCCTTAAAACACAATTAAAGAAAATCATATTGAAACTTTCCTTATTTTCAAAATTATTTCAAATTTGACATGAAAATACTGCAAAATAAAATGGCAAGTGAAAGTTAAAGGTTTCTTTCAAGAGATACTACTGTCATACATTAAAAGAATGAATGTGACATACACGCAACATAAATATTTATTTCCAAAATACGACGTTCTTCCCAAACGATTAATGAGAAAAAATTGAACGATGACAGATTTTATTTACAGTCTGGATTTTTGTTAACCTTAAAATATGTGCAAATGAAAGAAAGTGTATATTAAGGTTTAGGAACTTTTCCACTTCTTTTTTACCTTTTCACCTTTTTCTCCAGGTGTTCCTTGTCGGCCAGCTTCTCCTAATAATCCCTAAGAAGAAAATAGTGATAAAAACACAACTTCTTGTTTCCTTAAAATTGATAAATTTATACACGTAAAGGTCATGCTATGCCGTTAAAACCCGTATAAATGTCATGCTCTGTTATTGAAATCCGTGTAAATGTTGCACTACGTCTACGAAGATATGTCATGTTATGTCGTTAAAACCCGTATAAATGTCATGGTCTGTTATTGAAATCCGTGTAAATGTCGCACTACGTCTACGAAGATATGTCATGCTATGTCGTTAAAACCCGTATAAATGTCATGCTCTGTTATTGAAATCCGTGTAAATGTCGCACTACGTCTACGAAGATATGTCATGCTACGTCAGTTTCAATGAAAAATATAACCAAAACATAAAGTTAGCAACAGATAAAGTTTAATTACTCACGGCAACACCAAGGTCTCCTAGCTTTCCCGGTTTTCCCAGCAATCCAGAAAGGCCCTGGAAAGGATAATTGAGGTGAGCAAAGTAAACACACAGCATCCAGAGATCTTTGATAATAAAAAAACTAAGTTTCTAGATAACTTTAATCACCAAGAAATTGAGGTTTTAAACATGTTTCATAATTTTGATGTTAAGCGTGTAATATCTATAATTACCAGGAAATTAAACTTCTTGACACCCTAAATTACTTAAGATTCAGCTTCTTAAGATCTTTAAATACCAAAAAGTTGAGCTTCTTAAGGTTTTAATTACAGCAAGAACTTCTGGAAACGTTTAACTACTTAATACTCATCTTTTAGATATCCTAGACATCTTTTATTACGATAAAATTAAACTTCCAAAATGTTTTTTAAATTTTTGACAAGAGAAATTTCTTCAACATTATGAACTTGAACTTTAAGTGAGGTATCTATTCCTCCCACTAAGTACAGTCTCTAGATTATATTTTCGTTCCTTACGCTTCTTTGCTCTGCATTTCCCAGAGCTTGTTTTTTGTAACTCATAGTATCAACAATATGGAATAAATTTCAAGTTCAAACTAGGAAAACCCACAACTTCATGAGTTCTGAGCATTGTGCATTTGAACAAATATCCGTACAGTTTTTAACAGCATAAATGGCCTAAATTAACAACATTTGACTAGTCTGGAATTGGAAAAACTAAAAACTAATTATGTCTACATACAACGGGCCACTCAAAAGCTCGGGCCTGTAAAGCCCAAGACTGTAATTCCAAAAGTAAAATTTTCTCTTCATAAGTACTTGAAAAAATATAGATATATTTTACTTACAGGAAGACCACGAGGACCTTGGTTACCAGTCTCTCCTGGAACACCAAGCAAGCCCTATATGTGACGCCATGGAATGTAAATGAGAATTTAGACAACTTATGTTAATAACAATAAAACTCTGAAACTTCAATTAACAAATTCAAAATATTACAGGTTCACCAATTAATCCTTGTTCTCCCGTGTCTCCAATTTTGCCCTATAACGGTAAATAGAAATTCTCCATTGAACGGTATAATCCCGGGCGATAAGTCAAAACAAGAAAAATCGATCTTATGAAAATTACATGATGCAAATTTCAGTATTAACTTACCTCTTCACCATTCAATCCCAGAATTCCTTTCTCACCAGATGGACCCTAAATGTTTCAATAGTTTAACACAAATGATTATAGACTGTTTTGAGTCGATTTATCTTTTTATAAAGAGTAACCAAAGTAATCATATTGTAAATATTTAACACTAAACATAATTTAAAAATAAATTTCATTAAGAAAATCATAGTACACAGTGTACAAGAAAATTGCAGTTAGGAAAACGCAGTTAATTGAATCCTAGCAAAAGATTTGCAAAAATCTTTAGTGGAAATATGTATCAAGACTTGTTTTTATCTGACCACAAAATTGTCGCAAATAATAATTATTAGGATGAGAGTTTTGTTACAAAGAAATACTTTTAAAATAGATATAGCTTGTGGTAAAAAAATGCACAAATCACTTGTACATGTAGCTACTACATGTATGAGTAAAAAATGGCTTATGTTGTACATGTGCCATAGGTTTAACTATAGACTGCATTATATACTATAAGGGGAAGATTTGAGTTTATAATTAAAACGATGTTCTACCTTATCTCCAAAGAGTCCTTTGATTCCCTTCACACCAAGTTCACCAGGTGAACCCTACTCAATACAATCATTGACGTGTAAAAATGCAACAAATAAAATTATTGAGTTAAAAAATTTAAAACAAAAACGACAGACATTACAGAATAATGACTAATTAAGCACAGGAAAAAACTTCATAAACGTGAAAAATAATGAAATGGAGAAAATTATGAATCAATAACGTAGGGGTTGATACAGAGGCGTAACTAGAACGTTAATTGGGGATGGGGGTGTATATTCATATATTCAGTTGTGCCCTACTGATTTCTTTTGAAATTCAATTCACTTTGAAAAGAAATCAGTAGGGCACAACGGAATATATGAGTTGCACCCTCCCAATTAGCGTTCTAGTTACGCCTCTGGGTTAATAGGAGCATTAACAGGATAAATGAGGACATTTTCCTTAACAAAACATAAAATAACTCACCTGTGCCCCAGGAAGACCGTCTTCACCAATTAAACCTCGTTCACCTAGTTCACCCTGATAAAAATGATTATTTATAAAACAACTTTTACAACAGAGAAAATAAACAAGACAATGGTAAAATTTGCATGCAACTCATAAACAATTTTTCGACAAAATATTACACTGACAACGTCAACGTAGAGTAATAAACATTAAGGACTGTACATGATATAAAGAAAAAAGTAATTAATAAGAAATTGCGCTTTTACATCTACGGTGATAACTCTAAAATCATTACCGATAGACCAACAAAACCAGGCATTCCAAAATCACCAGAATGACCTTTCATACCCTGTAAAAATAGTCAAAAAATACATTCCTAACAAAATGCCACAGACATATAATATTAAATAAATTATTACAAAAATCTTGTTTTTGCCTTTTCTCCTTTATCACCAAAAGGACCTAGAGGCCCCGTAGAACCTTGTGGACCCTATAAACGGTAAAGACATAAATATACTCATTTGCAAACATTTCTAGTGAAATTGAACGGAAAACAAGTCACTACCTCTTGTCCTTTTAACCCGACAGTTCCTTTACTTCCTGTGTATCCCTTAATACCCTGCATGAAACAACAACATAAGAATTGAATATTACCTATAGTACCCTGCATGGAACAACAGTACAAGGTTTAGAGATATATCCCTCATTATCTTGCATAAAAAAACAATGCAAGGTTTGTGTATCCTACACTACCCTGCATTAAACAACGATGTAAGGATTGTGTATCCTACATTAGCCCCCATGAAACAAAAATGTAAGGATTGTGTATACTGTAAACTATTGAAGCAAGTAAATAAAAACAACGTTTATAGTGGGTAATGTTTGAATCTGATTCATCCAAAGCGAGGTCCATGCAGTGAAATATCAAAAGAAGAACTGACTAAGGATGCGAGGATAGTGTAAATTTAAAAAAACACTGTTTTTCAATACTTATTTAAACCAACTATAAATGTTTCAAATATTTTATTTCATTTCTCCATTGACTTCAATTTAATTTTGATTTATGTATCATGAGGTGAACATTGATTGATTTCATGGTAAATAAAAATATTTTTAATAAAACTTACAACATGCAATAGTTTAAATAACTCAGTGTTATGTCTAATATTGTGCAAAGGTTGCATTTCAACTGAAATAAAAACTCATAATAAATAATCTGGTGTTTGATTAAAAATACTATTATGTAAACTCAAAAATTATTCTTTTACCTTAAGACCAAGTTCACCTTGTTCACCATCATCTCCAGGTAAACCCTAACATTATTTGACCATTATCAACAATGATATGAGGCATATTGAACATTTCTAGCCATTTTAACTTACCACTATTCCCACTCTGCCTTGGTTTCCAGGACGTCCAATACGACCTTTCAAGCCCTAGACACAAATATGATCAATGAATGAATGCCGACGGTTAATCGAGCAGACATGTCGGAGAGTTTATTGCAAAGACATTGCAATAATCAATAAGTAAAACTAAAACATTAAAATGCTTTTATCACCCTCGAGGAAATAATGTATTCAGACAGAGTTAGCAATGATGGTATTAATGGTGGTAACAATGATGGCAACAATGGTGGTAACAATGATGGTAACAATGATGGTGACAATGGTGGTGACAATGGTTGTATTAATGATGGTGACAATGATGGTAACAATGGTGGTGACAATGGTGGTGACAATGGTGGTAACAATGATGGTAACAATGGTGGTGACAATGGTGGTGACAATAGTTGATTAATGATGGTGACAATGGTGGTGACAATGGTGGTGGACAATGGTAATGAATGATGGTGACAATGATGGTAACAATGATGGTGACAATGATGGTGACAATGGTGGTGACAATGATGGTGACAATGATGGTGACAATGATGGTGACAATGATGGTGACAATGATGGAACAATGATGGTGGAATGATGGACAATGATGGACAATGATGGTGACAATGGTGGTGGATGGAATGATGGTGACAATGATGGTAACAATGATGGTGACAATGATGGTGACAATGATGGTAACAATGATGGTGACAATGATGGTGACAATGATGGTGACAATCGTGATATCGAAATAACATAAAAAAAAGAATTAAGGTGCATATGACACGAAAAAATTTACAATTTAAATTGTACTTTCATTCAATATAACTTTTAAAATGACAGCTTGATTTAAGTTGGCATTAAGGTAGCAACATAGTTATAAATAAAAGTCATTTCATCATAGGCACGTTAAATCGTCGAAAATTACTAGTGCGCAATGTAAGCGCACGCGTATGAAAAATAATTAAAACAAGAAATATATTGGGTGGATGGACCATTGAACTAAAATACATGGAACGCTGTCTGTAATACAAAACCCTAATAATTTTTGGAAGCCGTGATTTTACCCCAGACACGCGAGACTTTACCCCAGACACGCGAGATTTTACCCCAGACACGCGTGCGTAGTCAATCCCTTATTACTCCGGGAGAGAAACACTAAACACGCGCGTCTGGAAATAAATCTCGCATGTCTGGCGTAAGATTTGGCTTCAATTATTTGCTTAAGGAAGCGTTCCATGTATTTTAGTTCAATGGTTTTAACAAACCTGTTTACCATAACTTCCTGGAGGACCAACTTTACCAAATCTTCCCTACAATACACATAAAAACAACTATAGCGAATGCACAACATACGTAGTTTAACAAACAACAAAGACATACTCTACATAACACAAAAAAAATTTACATACTGTACAACGTCTAACGCACTAAAACAGTAAAACAAGTCAAACACACTAAAACAGTAATATAAGATAACAAGAGAATGAAAAGTAGAAAAATGAATAAATATGAACAAAAATGTTTTTTTTGTAAACCAATTATTTTTGGTTAAAATTGTCAAACCTTTGTGCCTTTTCTACCATTCAAACCCAAATTGCCATTTCCACCAGTTACTCCCTATTTAAAATCAATAACATATCCTGAGCATACGTCAACAAGGTACGTTTCTACAACATATTGATAAACTGCACACTTAAAATAGTTGTTAATCTTGACCTTTTTCCCAGTTTTACCATCGATGCCAGCAAAACCACGAGATCCTTGTATTCCCTGTAAAAATTGATTTAGCGCAAAATCGTCAACTTAATAAAAATTTAATTGTTCTCACCTTTTCTCCAGCGATTCCCTCCAGTCCAGCAAGGCCTAAATCTCCTTCATCTCCCTAAGAAAAGATAAAATGCAATCCAAATCCACTATTGAAAAAGGTTGAATTTTACATAGGACATTTCTGATTTGAGGCCAAAAAAAACGAGTATGACTGTCTGTCTGTGTGTACGAGTTTTAAAGTCTTTATAGGTCATAGTGTAAAAGCGCATAGAAAAAATAGTTTTGATAAAAAAAATGGGTTGAGCACGAAATACTTCAATGCAGTCTGGGTGTATCAATTTATCTATATGAAGAATCACATATATACCATCTTGCCTCGCGATCCACGATCACCAACAATACCTTCCAATCCAAGATCACCCTTAAGTGAATCAAACAAATGCCGTAGATAATGTTCTTATATTTACAACATTTACAGAATGGAGTGTTCGTATCTTAGCAGCAAGTTTTCTTATCTTAATCTTAGGTTAATACGTAAACAGTCGTTTCTCAGCTAAGAATGAATACTTAATTATTTTTTTCTAGTGTGGTAATACGCGACTCTAAATGCTTTACTTTATTCTTTTGCTTACCACTGATCCTTTACTTCCCATTACTCCTTTCATGCCAGTCCTCCCAAAATTTCCCTAAAATAATAACAATACATACATAAAAAACGAACTATTTTACAAATTACAAAGTTACCAAGACATAAGTGGTTGAAACACTGATATGTATATTACACTGGTTAAGGCATCCATGTATCAAATATAGTAAGATAATTGTTGCCGGAAGTTGGCTCATCTGATTATGATCTTCGTGGGGGGTATCGGTCTCACTTTACCATACTTTTGTATTACAAAATCACAGTTTTTGCGTTTTTATTCGTTCTACAAACTTTTGTGAAAGGGACAGAACAACCGGCAAAGATTTTTAATCCTAAACAGTTTGTCTTCTTGGCTTTATAATGGCAGAAAATTGAGATGGTACAAGGTCGACGTGCATTGTTTTAAAACAAACAGGAGATTATACGATGCTGCTGCTTCTTAAAAAATGTAGAAATATTACAGAATCCTACTACTGCTACCAAAATTTCATCTGCATTGACGTTTATGGAAGATTGCTATAAATGTACTTATTTAACAAAACTTTGTTATTCACATCTCTAATATCATAATAATTTCAAATTACGTCTTTATTATATCAGTGAAGAAACAAAACAAATCGACGTAGAAAAATAATCAGAAAGACATTTTAATGAACAATAGTAAGTTGAAAACGGTATCATCAAATTCTACGAGATGTACATCATCAAAATATGCGAATTAAAGTACTTCTGTTGTCATTAAGCAAAGCAAAGTTTTCAACCAATTCCTATGTGAACAACTTCAATATCGATGAATATGTTGAAGACATGAATACCTTTGTTCTTATTTTCTTGTAAATTTGTAATTTAAGTATTCATATTCTAAAAATGCCTCGCACGGCTGAAATTGTCCTCGTCACCTTCAACTTTCAATACAACTTGCCATCTTATTTTCAGTCGTTACAAAGCCAAAAAAACAGAGCTTCAGGGTTGAAACTCTCTACCGGTTTTCCTCTACATGTCATAAAAATTTTGCCTCAATGAGAACTTTGTAAAAGGGATAAAAACTGTGATTTTGTAATAAAAAAGTATAGTAAAGTGGGACCGATACCCCCCCGAAGCCAGTAGCAAATGATCGATCTTCTGGTTTCAATTTTCGCAAGAGATGCGTTATCCAGTTTAATATACATATCAGTGGGTTGAACTGGTAAGAACTAAAGGTCTGGATTCCCAGCGACAGGCGGGTAATGCTGTAACCTGTTAACACAGTTTAGGAAGGACGAACAAAAATCTTATTTGGAACAGGCTAAATCGATAACAGAAGAATATATATACGTTATTTCTTATTTAGTATTACTTACAATGCTACAATGACACCACTTTCACAAGAATAAAATGTGTTTAAATGCATGAAAATCCCGCCATTAGAAAAGAAAAACTATCACAGGTATCGCACAAAATCTCTCTTTGTGGGCAGTAAAACCTTTGCACCCCTCCCCCCCAAAAAAAATCCGTACATGATTGACAATGAAATTAAGATAATAACAGCAATAAAGAAATCTTACTCGTCTACCCTTCATTCCCGGTGGTCCAATAGATCCTTTAAATCCCTGAATGAGAGATTAAGTCCTTATGACATAGAAATCAGTTGTAAAGAACACCGTAAGTCGTATTTTTGATTCCATATTAAAGAAACTTACCATACTTCCAATACTACTAGCAGATCCAGTTACACCACTCGGTCCACGATCTCCCTTTAAAAACGATAATACAATAAAATAAAAATTCATTTTAATAAAAATGAACGTAAACTTTGGAAAAAAACCATTGATCCTTTGCGTCCAGGTTTTCCAACACTTCCTTTCATACCATCATTACCGGGAGGTTGATCGAAACCAATTAAACCTGGCGATCCTGTTTGTCCTTGAAAACCTATGTGGCCTGGGCGACCAGAAGGTCCAGGAAATCCCTTGATTCCACGCCTTCCCATGGCTCCAACCATCCCTGGGTTTCCAGCGGGACCCTACGTTTATTAAAGCATGATATGCATGCTGAAAAATTGCAGCTCTGCTTCAATAACGTGTGTAAGAGGAAATAGTTAAAATTTGATGCATATGGATGACTATATCGGTGCTTTTAACAGGAATATTTACTAACTTACTGTTGTTCCTTCATTTCCTAAGCCGCCTTTTTTCCCACGATCTCCAAGTGTACCTAAAGATCCTGTTTGTCCCGGAAATCCATGGATGCCCTGAGCACCCTATGATAAAATTAATCACTTGCTTTGGTCAAGCATCCTATGTATTCACATAACAATATTAAACACATTTTCAATCTGTGAAAATATTTGGAGCATCTTTAAATGTCAAAAATGGTAAGGCAGCTAAGTAGAGAAAAGAAAGCAACACACAAATAACATATAGTAAAACACGTGTAACATATAGCAACACACAAATAACATATAGTAAAACAAACGTAACATATAGTAACACACAAATGACATATAGTAAAACGCAAGTAACATATAGCAACACAGAAATGACATATAGTAAAACAAACGTAACATATAGTAAAACACGTGTAACATATAGTAAAACACAAATAACATATAGTAAAACACAAATAACATATAGTAAAACACAAATAACACATAGTAAAACACAAATAACATATAGTAAAACACAAATAACATATAGTAAAACACAAATAACATATAGTAAAACACAAGTAACATATAGTAAAACACAAGTAACATATAGTAAAACTCAAATAACATATAGTAAAACACAAGTAACATATAGTAAAACACAAGTAACACATAGGAAAAAAAATTCTTGTTATTTTTGTGTTACCTTCTTTCCAATTCGTCCTCTAACTCCAATTTCACCTCTTTTTCCCTTTAAAAAGATTGATCAAAATATAATTGTACATAAATCTATTCTACAGAATAGTAACTATTACTTACCATATCTCCTAGATCCCCTGGTATACCTGGTAGTCCTTTATTACCTTTAAGCCCCTGGTCAAAAATGAAGATCATGTACAGTTATTTTATTGAAACATCAGCAACCAATGCTTTCTGAATTAAACTTAACGTTTAGAAGAATAGTTGCAAACTTCAAGATAACAAAACCCGCTTACTAACAAGCAAAAAAAGTCTCAAACAATCGCACTCATAAAACAAACATTATCTGGTCAATATCAAATACAAAGAAAATGTTGCATTGCAGATTATGACAGAAAAACTAAAATGATTCTTCGTATAACCTTTTACGTTCTCCAATGGAGCATAAAGGATTGTAGTGGCAGGATTATGCAGGCAAGTACCACGCTTTTATGCAAAAATTTTTGTTATGAAAGAAAACTGTAGAAAAGATTAATTTTCCTTCAGCCCTAAAAATTATTTTCTTTAAATGTTTCTTTCAGATAAACCAAGCAATTACATGATGGAAAAAGTTGTTCTATTGTTACAGCAATGTTGATGAAAGGCCATAGTTTATTGATAACACTCTCTTTTCCTATTATGTTCTTAGCCACATGATATGTCTGAATACAAATTTCTGAATACGTGATTAAATTGTGAAGAAATTTAACAAGTTAACCATCTTCAGTGGCTATATTCTATCTATTTCCTTAAGACGATGTTTTCATGAGGAAAATTTACGTTTGATGAAGATGTTTTATCATCATCAACACAGAAAATAACGATGACAATTTTATGTATAATGTTCATAAACAATGAAACAGAACTTTGTCAAGGAAAACATAATACAACGTACGTATAGAATATCTGAAACTCTACCTAGTTTGTCTCATCAATAGTAATGTAAATAAAATAATACCATGTGTCCTTTTTCTCCAAATCCAACAGATTTTCCAGCTTCACCGCGTTCACCCTAGAGATATGAAAAATACCAGAATAAAAGAAAATTTTTCTAGGAGTTTTTGGAGATTAAACATCAAGAAGATCGAAACGTCAAAATCCTTATTCTGCACACAAACCCACCTTATCACCAAGTGTACCCGGCCTTCCTGGTGATCCATCGTCGCCATGACGTCCCTGAAAAAGAAACATGGTTAATTTAACCAGGAATACTGGCAAAGACATACATCTGGTTCTTTTACAAAAAATCTCAGGTGCAATTGGATAAAGTATAAATTGTGGCAAAATGCTATTTGAAAATACGCTAATGTTTGAAAATATGCTCATATACACAGTGTGAACATGTACATATGCAAATCTGTATACGAGATTCAGTGGAATAAGCTTGAACACTCCCCCCTGCTATGAACTTTCAACTACATAAAACAGGGAGAGTTTAAGTTCAACACACCAGATCTAACAAAAAAATTCATGTATGGCCACCCTGCATAGTTGCATTTACGTATTTAGTTTGAATTAATAAATTATGCTAACAATTCAACAAATTTAAACATAATGGTACTTACAGCAAGTCCTTCACTACCATATGGTACTTACAGCAAGTCCTTCACTACCATATGGTACTTACAGCAAGTCCTTCACTACCATATGGTACTTACAGCAAGTCCTTCACTACCATATGGTACTTACAGCAAGTCCTTCACTACCATATGGTACTTACAGCAAGTCCTTCACTACCATATGGTACTTACAGCAAGTCCTTCACTACCATATGGTACTTACAGCAAGTCCTTCACTACCATATGGTACTTACAGCAAGTCCTTCACTACCATATGGTACTTACAGCAAGTCCTTCACTACCATATGGTACTTACAGCAAGTCCTTCACTACCATATGGTACTTACAGCAAGTCCTTCACTACCATATGACACTTACAGCAAGTCCTTCACTACCATATGGTACTTACAGCAAGTCCTTCACTACCATATGGTACTTACAGCAAGTCCTTCACTACCATATGGTACTTACAGCAAGTCCTTCACTACCATATGGTACTTACAGCAAGTCCTTCACTACCATATGGTACTTACAGCAAGTCCTTCACTACCATATGGTACTTACAGCAAGTCCTTCACTACCATATGGTACTTACAGCAAGTCCTTCACTACCATATGGTACTTACAGCAAGTCCTTCACTACCATATGGTACTTACAGCAAGTCCTTCACTACCATATGGTACTTACAGCAAGTCCTTCACTACCATATGGTACTTACAGCAAGTCCTTCACTACCATATGGTACTTACAGCAAGTCCTTCACTACCATATGGTACTTACAGCAAGTCCTTCACTACCATATGGTACTTACAGCAAGTCCTTCACTACCATATGGTACTTACAGCAAGTCCTTCACTACCATATGGTACTTACAGCAAGTCCTTCACTACCATATGGTACTTACAGCAAGTCCTTCACTACCATATGGTACTTACAGCAAGTCCTTCACTACCATATGGTACTTACAGCAAGTCCTTCACTACCATATGGTACTTACAGCAAGTCCTTCACTACCATATGGTACTTACAGCAAGTCCTTCACTACCATATGGTACTTACAGCAAGTCCTTCACTACCATATGGTCCACGTTGTCCTGGACGGCCTGGTGTACCCTATAAGGAAGTGAAAAGGTAAAGATGTAAAAAAGTGAAACATAAGTGCATAATAAATTGATTTTTAAAGAATCATCATGAGTTCAAATAAGAAAAAAGAATAAACAGAAGTAAGAAAGACATGAAATAACGTAAAAAATATAACAATAAATACAATATTTTATAAATATGACGAATTCTACATACAGTTTCTCCTTTACTTCCTCTCAATCCAGAATCCCCAAGTTTTCCTCTAGCTCCCTAAAAAAACATAAGCGAAAATGTTGGGCATTAATTTTTATTACACGAATTCGATTTCCGCTCGGCAAGTCTCTCGCTACTATAATAAACAGTCCGCTGTTCTTTACAATTGCTGCTGACTTAAATTTCAAAATTTAATCCAAAAGAAATATCAAACACACCCTAATTCCTTGACGCCCCTTGATGCCAGATTGACCAACATTCTAAAAATGAATTTAATCTTATAACAAGAGCAAATCTTAAACACTACAATTCAAAAAGCTTACATTTGACGGCATAACCATAACTCTACGTATTCTGCCATTAGAGTCTGTACCTGCCATTTGGATAAACTAAACAAGAACAATAAGCAAAACAAAATTGATGATTTTGACAATATATGTCTTCAATGACATTTATTAATTGATCGAAAGCATTTTAAAACGTTTATTAAAAAACATTTTGCAAAAATGCACAAGCCCTACACGGTTGGAATTTAGGAAACATTTTGCAAAAATGCACAAGCCCTACGAAAGAGATTTCTCATTTCTCAAAAATGTCATTTTTGACTCTGAAGATGACTACCGCTTATTTCATCCCCACTGTTGTCTAATTACCACGCTATCCTTATTTCATCCTCACTGTTGCCTAATTACCACGCTATCCTTATTTCATCACCACTGTTGTCTAATTACCACGCTATCCATTTTTCATCCCCACTGTTGTCTAATTACCACGCTATCCATATTTCATCCCCACTGTTGACTAATTACCACGCTATCCATTTTTCATCCCAACTGTTGACTAATTACCACGCTATCCATATTTCATCCGCACTGTTGCCTAATTACCACGCTATCCATATTTCATCCCCACAGTTGCTTAATTACCACGCTATCCAAATTTCATCCCCACTGTTGCCGGGAAAAGACGATGTTTGTATTTTTGCCCGATAATTACATATTATCGTCATTTCACGTTTGTTTTTTTTTAGCCATCATTCATATGAAAGCAAGAGATACAAATTAAATGTATTTATATTGAAGTAATTTCAAATACATTTATATAAAACTAAAACTATATCAAAGATTGTTCAACTACAGCTCAGTTTCTTGATTGTAAAATGTCATTACTGGATGGAAATGTCAATAAATCAAATATAAAAAAAGTTTAACTTACAATTGGTCCAGGTGAACCTCTTGGTCCTCGAGAACCTGGTGGACCAGCACGTCCAAATGTACCAGGTGTACCAATTCTACCATCTCGGCCCTAAAGAGAACAATATTTCCATAAAATAAAGCCAATGTTTGTGCATTTAGTTTTTAGTCTCCATTTACAGCTTGTCCACTGAATCCAGAATTTCCTGGTAATCCTTTAAGTCCTCTATTTCCCTGAATATAAAATAAAAATATGCACCTCAATAATACTTTAAGAGGATTGCGACTCAATTTCCACAAAACTATAATGAAATTCAATGGAAATTATTGGTCGAATAATGCTTTTGAACCGTCAAATGCTAGGGAAGCAATATGCATACTTTAGGTCCAGGCCTTCCAGGCTCACCTTGTGGTCCTTTCATCTTGAGAAAGAAAATTTATAAGTTACGTATTCAACAAGAAAGATAAAATAGAATCGCACACAAGATTAGCTGATAATTGTTAAAAGCCTTGAGAATATTTTTAATCTGAACTTACCAATTTTATAACAGTAGGAGAATTAGCTAAAAGATAAAATTGGTCAAAAAAGATTTCAATTTTACTATCAATAAAATAATTGAACAAATATCAAATGAGCAGGAACACAGCGCACTTCTAGACAAAAATTTATAACTTATAGTAACTATGCACTGAAGTCAGTTTTGGAAACGATTTCAAGAAACATCGATTCTAACAGCTTATGACCATCTTAATAAAACTTTGAGATATGATTTGGACGAAAGTGAACATAAAGTAACCTTTGCAAGCTTCTAGTGATATCTGGCTAAGATATTGACTTGCTGCAAGTGCAGATGAAGCAAGAAACACATGATCTGATGCAATCTTTTTTAAAATGGTAACATTTGCATTTTTCGAAATTGCCACTGGAAAGATAGATACTCCGCGTCTTTTTAACTCATTTGCTTCACTTATTATCTTTGGGTCTGACAACTGACCATCTGTAATCAAGACTACAGCCTAAAAGAAATAAATTTGTTTTCAATGAAAGAAAGCAAAGCAAATCGAACAGAGTTGAGTAATATTTATTCATAACCATCAAAAATCTGCTATAAAATATTCATAACCATCAAATCAACATCAAAAGTTTAAGGTTTTTCTCAAACTAATTTATGTTATGATTTGGATGCTTCAGTTGTCAAAACTTAAAGTAAAATGAGCTCATACGAAAAATGAATTTAGAAATGCGAAATTCATTTCAAGTAGATAGTGAAAATGAAAGTTGGTTAAACATTTGACAAAATAAGGTTTATCTAAGCAAATATTTTTGTTCCACCTTGACTGCGTTCAATCGAGATCCACTTGCTGTCGTGAATATCTGTACATACGCCCGCTTTATAGCAAGATGGGCAGCAAAATTTGTATTCCCAGCAAACATAATTCGATCAATTGATCTCATGATGTTATTACGTTTGTTTAAAATGCCTACAAAAGAAAGATAATAATAAAAAACTGATTACGAAAAATATTTTTAATACATTCATAGCATGATTATAAAAAACGCTCGAAAGAAACACAAAGTAAAAGTTAGTCAACAGAAATAGAATTTATTTTTCATTCAGGATTGATATGCACTACCAAATATTAACGTTTACCTTTATATTTGTTGAAGCCAAAATGAATTGTTAAGGAGCTACTGTATGATAATAATGCTATCTCTGTCAATGAATTGCCAGAAATTAACGAATTGACAAGATCTTTCGTGAAAACCTTCAATTTGCGAATATTATTCTTTCCCAATTTTCTGGATGACTCCAATAAAATAGCTAGATCCAACGGTTTGTCACAAACTAAAGATTTAACGATACAATGAAATGGAGCTTTATTATATTTCATAGCAGCATCAAAATCATTTAACAGTATTAAACAAAAAGCTAATGATATTTAAGTATATACAGGCTGTTTGGAACTGATCTCCAATATAAATTATTACAAAAAAATTTTGCGTTGGTTCAAAAGAACATTTCAGCCACTATTTTTCAACCATGAAATTTTGTTAAAAAGTAATTCTTTGATACAATATTTTTCTACGAATTTGCGAAAATATGAATTACAAACATAGGAAATGGGACAGAAAAAATCCACAAAAATAAATAAAAATGGGGAACATACCGACAGAAACTTGCAAACATGTTTTACGACATCCGTTATAGCAACATTTTGAATAACCAGGACATTCATGATCTTTTTCACATGAATTGCTTTGATCCAAGCAAAAGATATTCTGGGGCCGAGGACACTCACCCGGTTTATCTGGAATAAAGACAAAAGTTTTGTACCATGAAATTAACAATATATTTACGTGTACGAACACATTCCCTCATATGTTGCAAAATTATCAATTATAACAAAACCATGTGATATAGCTATGTATCTTCTATAAAACAAAAAAACATTTTCTTCAACTGTTTTTCACATTTCAAAGTCATTAAAATATAGACTCAAAATGTGTATTGTCATAAAATTTCACGTTCACCGCAAAGTGTTCAATTTTTTCTATAAGGGCTAATGCACGTTTGTTGAGGATTCTTTCTTTCTTGAAGAGTCAATTATGCTGTAAATATGTGAGCGAAAATTAAAAAGAATTACAGTTATCTAAAATCGAATGTTATCTAAAAGAACTATGGAACATGATCCAAAGACATTTAAGGATGATTAGCTAATCCAAAATCATAAATAGTCAATGGATTAAATGACCCAAAGTTGTCTCCAGAGATGATGGATTAACAGATATTCAAATTACAACTCAGTTCATAAAGTTTACCTGAGCAAAGTTTTTGACTAATCCTTGAAATAAATGGATTCAGATTCTCAAGAAACGTCGTTTGAAGAAATTGATCATCCGAAGACGCCATATCTTTCATATACTGCGATGAAGACTGTGGCCCACTATTCATACTCCAGATATCTATAGAGTTCTTTAATGATCTTGTGATTCCATTCAATTTAGATAAAGTGGATGGTGTGCCCCCATTTAAAACAATTAGTACTGCAGGAACTCCCTAGATGAACAAAAAATGCGTTAAAACCAACAAACTTTCTAATAATTCATAAAGAATTCCCAAACCCACCTGACGTCGACCGGCTTTCATAGAAAATATTTCAGATTGTACAGTGAGAAGAGCCAAGTCAAGACGTCTCTCCGTCTAATTTCTCAATTTTCCTAACCACATTTTGGAAGTCTACATTTTCTTTAAAATTTAAAAGTATTCTTGCATCTTTATCATAAGCTATTACAGAAATTCTCGCTCCAATTTCTGAAACACTAAAACCATTTACGACTTCTTTCATCGTATCTTTCATTTGTTGAAACACTGTATCGTTGACAGAAACAGACGTATCAACGAGAAACGCTAACTCCAGGGAGCGGAAACAGGCTTGAAAATATTACAAGACAACAATGAATAATAAAAAAATATATAAAAACAGAAATGTACGATGAAAGAACACAATAATAAGACGAGATATATGTTAAAACTATAACTGAAAAAGTACAAGAAAAGAACAAAATAAATGTAATGAAAAAAAAGTGTGAATAAAGTTAACAATACCTCTCCTGGGAGTGATACATTGACGATTACATCCTTGTATACAGCACTTAGAATCACCAAGACAATCGTTGTCAACAGTGCATTCGTCATTGCGTACCATAGGACAATTTCCAGAAGTTTTTGTGTAGGGACATTTGCCATTCTTACCTGAACAAAAATCATCACAAAAAGTAAATAAACATTTGTAATGTTTATAGCATATCCATTATGGCATGTCATCAATACAGAATTATATGTGTCATGAAAACATTGCATCTATAACATCTCAAGAAATAGACTAGTCCATAGCTTCAAACGTTTGTACATAGTCTTAATACACCACAAAATTTAGGCTAACTCATTTGTATGCATGTTCTTTATCAAGAATTTGAAAGAAAACAAAAAAAACTTTGAGTTAAGTTTTATGAACATAAGCATTTGCAGTTTGTGTCCAATTGTACAGAACACCTTCCAATAACATACATATGCAGATTTTCTATAGAAATGGCTAAGAAACTGGCTCACTTTTGCAACTGAAGGCAACCAGAGATTTTGGAACACGAACCAACAAGTCTGTCATAGTAGGGGCAATTTTAAAAGTTTCACTTAAAGGAAAACTTGATATATCTCTTATAGTTGAAGTGTCGACATTTGATCCATACGCTACACCGATAATATCAACTCCTAAGGATCTTAACTGCTCAGCTGACGAAAATATTGCTGGTCTATTTTGAAATTCTGAAGCCACGCCGACAACAATCAACTTCTTCGGAGCATCTAAACAATTTAAAAACAAAATACATGATTCAAGGGTCAAAAGCTGAGATTTTAGGATAAAGTCATAATTGTACCTTGTCTTAGTCCATTACGTAAGGTAAATAATTCATTAGCAGCAGCATTTAGCGCTAGATCTAATCGATTTTTCAGAGCATCACGATTCACAAATCTCAGACGGTTTAAAGATTTCTTTAATTCACTCAAATCATACTCGTCATTGAATTTAAAGTGCACTTCTGCTCCATCATGATAAATCAATAAACCGACATGAACCTTTTCAAAGCCCAATACCACATAATCAACAGTTCGTTTCATGAAGTCTTTTAGATCTTCAAACTGAGCAAAGGTATTTGAAGGAATAACAAAGCCAATATCGACTGGTTTGCTACAAGCTAAAAGTGATTTAACGCAAAATTATTTTATAGACACACCAATTATAATATATTGAAATTTGTTTGCATAAACAAAGAGAAACTTTACGATACATTTATATATAAATCATTCACCATTACATAAACAAAGAGAAACTTTATGATACATTAATTAATATATGATTTACCTTTACATGAACGTAGAGCAACCTCACGAGGTAATGTCCGTAAATCATTAAAACCCATTGGATTATAAACAGCTCCGTTTCCTGAAGCCATTTGTTTGAACTGATTAATTTTGACATCATCGCCTACAGCAACGACAAAAATCTCAACTTGATCGCCCTTTAAACTCCTTCCCAGTTCGCGCATTTCAGCAAAGTTTATTTGCCATTGATCACCAATCCCGTCAGTGACAATAATTAAAATCTAAATGTAATAAATCCATAGTTAATGTAAGAATTAACATTTGGGGATATTCTACTTAATTATCAACTAAAAACTTTTTCAAGGTAATTGAATGTTTAATCATGACAACTTTACCCTTGGCGATTTATCACGTTGCCCTCCAGCAAAAGAGAAAACCCTATCTCTTGCAATTTCTAACGCCAAGTCTAATCTATCGGCACCAGCAACTTGTGTGATTTCATCAATTTTTCTTGTAAGATTTTTAAGAGTTAAATTGTTCTTTTGTAATTCATTGAAGTTAAACAACAAGTTAGCAGTATCTCCAAAGGCAACTCCAGCAACGTGTGTCTGACCTTCACGAATATTATACTCTTTAACAAAATCTTTTAGAAATGTTTTCATTCGTCTAAAGTTAGCTGGTGTTATGGAAGTAGAGGTTTCAAGAATAAAACCAAGATCCAAGGCAATGTTACATGTCACGTCTGAAATAAAAAAAAAAGGTTAAGAGTCAACTTTGTATTTATCTTCTTTCTTTATAGACAAAATCTTTCGTGGCAATCGAGCTTTATTAGTTCAAAACCTCGTTTTCACGGTCTGGCAGGGAGCTAACATGTTAACTAAATTCAGAGTAGTTCACGACATATAACGATTTCGTTGCTTATATGTACTAACTGTTTGTGGGCTTAAGAAAATTACATTTTCTAAAACTATAATAGACGTTAGGCAGTGCAAAATCAGTTTGTAAAAAAAACTACTTAAAGTGACAAACAAAAGTTGTAGAATTTCACGGTTATTTTGAATTCCTTCGCAGTTGATAAATCATGTGACGAGATGATTTCAAGGACTTCAAAAATTGTTATAAATCAATATGTCACAGTAAAACATTCTTATTATGTGCAATCTTTATCACATCATATATACATGTGTATTTATAACACAGCACCAACTCATGCATGCATGTAGGTTTTAGATTAAAGGTAAAAGTGAATTCACAGCATTTTTAACGTCAAAGTTAAAAAATTTCTAAGATCATTTTCAAAAAGTCCATAAACTGAAGTTTGTAAACTGAATATATAAAATCATGTAAAATCATTGTATTTAGAAGACCACATAAATCAGACGACAAAGGGTAACAAGCTGGTTGGTAGATCATAACTTGCAAGAAATTTAAACCATAAATACTTCGAGAAACAGTATGGAAAGCAGAAAAACGCTAGGTATATACAAACGTTGAAAGCAAACACGTTTCTATGATTATTACAAGTTCATATAATATCGCTAATTGTTAGTGCATGAAGTTGTTATCATTTTATGCATACAGTTAAAAAAATGGCGAACAAATACATATTTTCTTTTGTCAATTAAGACAATGTCAAGAATAAAATTATTTCGAAAATCATCAAAAATTACTTTATTTCTCTTACCTGTTTGTGGTTGAACACAAACTGAATTTCCACAAGAATCATCACAACATTTATAATTTCCGTCACATTCTGCATCAGTGAAACAAGGCAGACCGTTAACATTACACTGAATCGTTTTAGGACAAACACCTGGCTTGTTTAACGTAAACGAACCTAAAGTAAATATTAAAACGAAAAAGTTAATACTCAACGTAAAACTTGTTACAACATTGCAAATGACAAACACTTCATAATGTTGCTACTTATGTCACTCAACGTAAAACTTGTTACAACATTGCAAATGACAAACACTTCATAATGTTGCTACTTATGTCACTCAACGTAAAACTTGTTACAACATTGCAAATGACAAACACTTCATAATGTTGCTACTTATGTCACTCAACGTAAAACTTGTTACAACATTGCAAATGACAAACACTTCATAATGTTGCTACTTATGTCACTCAACGTAAAATTTGTTACAACATTGCAAATGACAAACACTTCATAATGTTGCTACTTATGTCACTCAACGTAAAACTTGTTACAACATTGCAAATGACAAACACTTCATAATGTTGCTACTTATGTCACTCAACGTAAAATTTGTTACAACATTGCAAATGACAAACACTTCATAATGTTGCTACTTATGTCACTCAACGTAAAATTTGTTACAACATTGCAAATGACAAACACTTCATAATGTTGCTACTTATGTCACTCAACGTAAAACTTGTTACAACATTGCAAATGACAAACACTTCATAATGTTGCTACTTATGTCACTCAACGTAAAACTTGTTACAACATTGCAAATGACAAACACTTCATAATGTTGCTACTTATGTCACTCAACGTAAAATTTGTTACAACATTGCAAATGACAAACACTTCATAATGTTGCTACTTATGTCACTCAACGTAAAACTTGTTACAACATTGCAAATGACAAACACTTCATAATGTTGCTACTTATGTCACTCAACGTAAAATTTGTTACAACATTGCAAATGACAAACACTTCATAATGTTGCTACTTATGTCACTCAACGTAAAACTTGTTACAACATTGCAAATGACAAACACTTCATAATGTTGCTACTTATGTCACTCAACGTAAAACTTGTTACAACATTGCAAATGACAAACACTTCATAATGTTGCTACTTATGTCACTCAACGTAAAACTTGTTACAACATTGCAAATGACAAACACTTCATAATGTTGCTACTTATGTCACTCAACGTAAAACTTGTTACAACATTGCAAATGACAAACACTTCATAATGTTGCTACTTATGTCACTAACGTAAAACTTGTTACAACATTGCAAATGACAAACACTTCATAATGTTGCTACTTATGTCACTTAACGTAAAACTTGTTACAACATTGCAAATGACAAACACTTCATAATGTTGCTACTTATGTCACTTAACGTAAAACTTGTTACAACATTGCAAATGACAAACACTTCATAATGTTGCTACTTATGTCACTCAACGTAAAATTTGTTACAACATTGCAAATGACAAACAAATCATAATGTTGCTACTTATGTCACTCAACGTAAAACTTGTTACAACATTGCAAATGACAAACACATCATAATGTTGCTACTTATGTCACTCAACGTAAAATTTGTTACAACATTGCAAATGACAAACAAGTCATAATGTTGCTACTTATGTCACTCAACGTAAAACTTGTTACAACATTGCAAATGACAAACACATCATAATGTTGCTACTTATGTCACTCAACGTAAAACTTGTTACAACATTGCAAATGACAAACACTTCATAATGTTGCTACTTAT